TAATTTCCAGTCATGGACGTTAGCAAATTTGCGTTTATCCAGAGAAATACCACCAGCATGAAGACAGTAACCAAGGAGGTAGACTGACTTTTGAGCCCAGGAGCATTTGTCACTGTTGAGCACGAGATTGACCTTGGAGAGACGACTAATAGCGTCTTGTACGTGATGTACGTGTTCTTCCATAGAGTCAGAGAAGACAATGATGTCATCAATATAAGAATCCACGTGCTTCACACCATTAAAGATGATATGAACACATTTCATAAATAAACTGCACAAAAAACGGATACCAAACGGACATCCCACAAAGGAATATTGTCGATCGTTAAAGGTAAATGAGAGTTTTGCTTGATCTTCTTCGTGTACTTTGAAGCGTGTGAAAGCGGATTTCAAATCAAGACAAGTGAAGACAGTCGCGTTTTTCATCCGTCTTGCAATATCGGAGCAAAGAGGGATTGGATAGGACTCTTCAGTTGTACATAAGGCGTTCAGTGCCCTAGTATCAATACAAGGTCGATAGGATGTAGGCAATCCTGTTTTCGGATCCTTTTTGGGTGCAAATGTCATAGGATTGTTCCATGCATTACCAGGAGGAGCGTGTTTGATAATACCATCAGCTAACCATTGATCTATCTGTGTTTGAAGAATAGGAATCAATTTGTCTGCTAAAGGATATTGACGCCGATTTACAACTTTTCCTTCAGGTGTGTGAATACGAACAACCGATTCGGGAAGAGTGCAAAAAGCAGAAGGAGGAATGTTTATATTTTCCTGTATGTAAGGTTGAATAGATTCAAGAAATTGTTTGTGTTGCTCTGGTGTACCAGCAGGAGAATTGTTTGGTTCAGGTAAATCTTCTGGTTCAGGCAAGCTAGGACGAGAAGAGCGGTGCCAGCAAGAGGCGAGCCCTTTCAAGTAAATACCAATAAGAGGCATGAGATCTGAGCCAATAGATACTTCGGCATCAGCATTGAATTCAAAGACTTCAAAAGAATGTGAGGCAGTGATTCCGTTGTGTAAAATCTTTATTTCGTTTGTATGACCAATTCTACTAATGCTCGGGCCAGGAGCAGCCAAGTTGACCTTTCCTTTCATGGGAGTGACAGACAGACCCAGAAACGACCGCAGCGAAGGAGTGATTGCCGAAAATGTGGCACCCGGATCAACAAACGCCCAGGTTTCATACTCAATCATAACAAGCTTTGTGAAGTGAAGCATCGACCTCTTCCATAACCGCGTCTTCCAGAGAAAGAGACGAGAACGGGGCAGAAGATGGTGATGGTGCCGTGTGAGCCACGGAGGCAACAGCAGCAGGGATCGGCGCGGGAGCCGAGGAAGGAAGAGAAGGGATTGGCTCGGAAGCCGGGGTGACTGGTGCGGAGCCAGAAGCAGACGATGACTCGGAAGCCAAAGTTGCTGAACGAATAGCCAAATGGTTGACTTGACATCTGTGCGTTTTGTCCCAAGGGGCACCACAGCGGAAACACTTCTTACCACCTGACGATGGCGACGACAAGCCTCCCAAACCAGCAGAACCAGCACTCGGAACCACACCAGACGAAGACGACGACGCACTCGAGTGCTTCGAAACCTTGCCAGACGAACCATTGTTGCGAACACCTGTCAGCATGCGGCATTCTTCTGTCGAATGGCGGCCAGCACCGTGCAAACGGCAGACCTTGCCAGCAGAGACCTTCTTCTTTCCCTTGTTGTTTTTAGCAGCGACAGGCGAGGACCAAGGGGAACTTGAACCTACTACGGAAGTAGTATCCAGAGAAGCAGCTTCTTTGCTGTGTTTTGACACAACTACCTTGCCGTACAGCGTGCGCGCCAAGTTTGCAGCTTGGTCAGTGGAAGCCCGTTGGCTGGCCGGCAGATGAGCTTGGCTCAGAGCAACATGCTGTGTGAGCTCCGGAAGCAACGAATTAATGTAAAGAGCGGCGATGACCTTGCTGTCCTCGCAGCCAGCTTCTCTGCGGATCTTGTGAAAACGGTCGGTATACCGTTGCACCGATTCATTACGGCTCATGCGCAAGTTAAACAACTCTTGCATGCATTGGGCTTGACGTTCGGCATCCTGGATTCCGTACTTGGCGATGATGGCCTTGCGGGCGAACGACCAAGGGAACTCACCATGGGGCTTGAGGTGGTTGGTGAACCAGGAGCGTTGATCTGGAGACAACATGCGTGGGAGCAAGCGGCACCAGTTGGAATCCATGTTCTGGCTATACGAGCCAACGATGTCCTCAAAGCGGTCGAGGCACTCTTGCACCGAGGCAAAGACTGGCTTGGCTTGATCGAAAATATTCCCTGACCATTGGAGCAGAGGTAAGTCGGACGGGACAACAATTCTAGAAGCGGTGTTGGTGGCATCAGTCTTGAACAACCTCTTTTGCACCGAGAGCAAGATATCCAAATCCTTGGAAGCGGAGAGGTAGTCGGCTTGGACACGAGCATGTTCTTGGTTGGTGAGACCACCGAGAGCAAGACATTCAGCCAAAGAGGCTAAGCGTTCACCTAGTTGATCAATGGCAGCCTGAGAGCGAGCAGCAGACGAAATCCTAGTGGCAGCAGCGATGGAAACGGATTCTTGCATCACCACGTCAGGAACGTTGGGCAACGACAATTGTGGCACACCACCAGCAGCAAAAACAGCAGAACCAGCGGCACCGGCGACACTAGCATACGAATGACCTTGCACACCAGTAGTTGAGCCAGCAACTTGATTAACAAAGGAACTTCCCTGCTCGACAGCGTGGGGTGCTTGATGGACTTCTTGAGAACCAGCTTGATGACTATGGACGGATGTGGCCTGGACCTCTTGAACCGAAGCAGTAGCAGCAGCCGGAGAACCAGCAGACGAGTTGATGGGAGAACCGAAATCAATATGAGTGGACATGGTAAGTAAGGTAGTGAAATAAAGTAGTAATATAGAGAAAAGGAATTCGTTGAAAAAAATGTAATATCCAATAAACCAAAAGAGACAGAATAAGTCAACGAGACCCGAAAGGAATTGAAACTGGTTTATTATGATAACAAAAGTTCTCACTATTTATAAGAAATGGCTTATCCTTGGCAACTACCACAGCGTGTGCATTGAACGAATGAACTGATGTTATAAATCAATCATATAGGATTAAGTAATGTATGATGCGTGAGTAAAAGATACATCCGGGTAAATGCCTCAGATAGTAGCTAATGTGAATTACGTGATCCCAATAATGACAACTTCTTCCTGAGCACAGCTGATCGGTGTTTCACCAAGATGTGTATGAATAAAGAAATGTCCGCACAAGTGAGGTTATGAGGGAAATAACAGCAATCGTTAATGACCGATTAAAGAATATGTGTTATTGATCATGTTGGATACAACAACATGTAGATTTTGCTCTTGCATGTATAGGTCTTACGAGGAGCAGTCATTGTTTCAATTGACGCACTTTAATAAGGTACCGGCAGGAACTACTAGCAAGACAATGACAGAAGGACCGGACAACGATGTGTTAAGTGCTCTCAGTAAGGATAGGACAAAACAAGTAGCGAAAGGTACGAGACTACTTAAAATAGACGGAAGAAATAAGCAAACTGGTTGACGTCTTATTGTATAACGATATGTCAAATATATATAATTTTACTCTGGGATCTAAAACAGGATGTCGTTGGGGAGCAAATTGTATGATCACCAAGGCTGAGGTATGTTCATGGCACACACTGCCTTTTGAATGACCTAATACTTCGTTGCTGTTAGCAGACAACAAATAAAAATGCTGCGTTTATGCAACATACTTCTAACAAAGTAACCTTCTTCTTAAGACCGTATACCATTTTGGGTACAGCAGCAACGCCTAAGGTCGATAAAGCAATAATAGCTAATAAAGAGCGGGGAGTAGAATTGCTTTGTTATTGTATGGTTTTCGATTTACTGATGCTATGAAGTTTTCGATGACCAGGATTAATATACTGGTGTATTATAATGATTCCTGCTGATGTCATAATGTCCACCGCACGTTGTTGGTCGAATAAAAACGAATGAAAAAAGCCGCAAGAAGACTTTCCTATTCGTTTTATATACCCTCAAATGGACCGAGTAATCCTAGAGAATATAAGCAAACAAACAGGAACGTATGATTATGTTTCTATTAAAAGAAAGGACACTGCTGTATTCTTATTCTATTATTGGTGCATACTATACACATTTTACCAACGCCCTGTCCAGAGGATGGGATATAACATACAAAGCTAAGGAAAAATATCCTCCCCATCGTTAGAAACTCTGTATTACCCGCCGACTTTATATGTAGTGATACATTACATTCTAGTAGTAATCATATACAGCAATCAGCATGGAGCACAAACTACCATTCTTCGATACACTATATACTCTGGTTATTCTAAAAAACTCTCTTAAAAATGTGTAGATCAGAGTATCGTTGGCACAAGGGGAGAGTAGTAGTGAGATATGGGCGCGATATATTCGTTAGGTTATACTGAGTAGTAAAGCTTCGATGCTTTGCTGCTACGTTTAAAGGTGAAGGTGATTTTTGTGGTCGTCTGTCACTCCGTTCTAGACATTAGAGTGACTATACCATATCGGAAGAAACTGATAGCTTGAAAAGAAGGCAGACAGCTATTAAGTCCTGTATCTCTTTTCTGCTGTGAAATCCAGAAACAGCAGGAGATGCATAATGTGGACAGAGATCCTATGATTGATATATTGTACAGTGCTGTAGTACCTAGTACATGCTATATATGCATGAGCAAGTGTGCATAATCATTCGCCTTATTTTAACTTTGGTCATAGTGGCTTATTTTATTGACTTGTAAGATTATAACGGAAACTATCTCTCACAGCAGTATATGGTGTATATTAGCTGCGTAGTTAATTGCTTCAGTGAATAGTGGTGACTGATTTTCCGTGGCGGCAGTAGCAGCAAAGTCTCAAAGATGAGATAAATAAAGTTAAAAGAGAAGCGAGCCACGAAAAAGTCTTTTGAAAAAGGGGCAATAATATTTGTCGAAAACGGTTATATGCAGAGATAACATGCATAATAAACAGCTATGATATTATATGGTACTCAATAGTTACAATAGAGATTGTAAAACAAAACTTGTTTGTTTTTGTTCGTTAGCTCTCGCATAGCAAGTTTTCTAATATACAATATGCATAACATAATAATGGGCTTGTTGAGTGCATTATGACGATTACTAAAAGTCCAACTTTCAAATATAACAAAATGTTTATAATACAGCAAAAAGGAAAGAGACAAGACGAGAAGAACATGTGGAGATGATGAATTATAAGAGCGAGGGTGTAGCGGGTGAGGGTTTATATATGCGTAAAGAGAATAAAGTAGTACGATGAGCTACTAGAAATGATCAAGGCCTGCGGCGATAATTTGCAAGGAATCCGCTCAAAGAAAACAGAAAGGCATGTAATCGGTCGCCATCAATATTGGCAAATCGTTCGCTAAAAGACGGGTATAAAGAGGCACGGCTACTTTTCTCCCACTCTGCCAATCGCGCCAGCCGCAAACTGAAATGGCTGAGAGTGCCTGCCCAATCCATCGTTGCGATATGGCTCCGAACCACAGACCAAATTCGTGAAGGTACAATGCTACGGAACATATCATCGACCAGGCGGATAGCAAGAAAGAAACAAAACAAGCACGTGATAGCGAAAGCGGTGAGGACCCCGACGAACAGATAAGAGGCAATCAAGGTCAAATATTGGGTTATGGTACCGCACGTTGTACTCGTCGTTGGTGCAGCCATTCGAGATGGCTTAGGCCACGCGAGTCGCTGTTGTGGTAAAGAAAATACTGATGATGGAGCCGACGATGTACTGCTGCTTCGTGAGCATGAAGGCGAAGGGACAGTTGAGGAAGTCGTCGAAGATGAAGGTGACGGTGATTCCATGGTGCCTTATTGGTTGGCTGTTTGTATAGTCATGCGCTTTCGCCGCTCGTCAGCTACAAAAAAAACTGTTATCTATCAGAAAAGAAAGAAAGTACAAAGGAAAGAAGAAAAAGAAAGAAGAAGAGAATGGAAGAGGGAAGGAAGAAAACAATCTTGTTATTGACCTTAATATTCTGGGGGACCCGATAGCATTTTTTCATGCCCAGTCATGCCGCTCTGTCTTTTACTAGGCCTTCCTTCTTTCTGCTTTGTTGTCCTTTGCGCGCGCTCTCTCTCTTTCTCTGAGTACTTTGTTGCGCTAAGCAACTCTCGGCGCTTAGGACCCGCTTCATAATAGTATCACACACTTCTTGTGTGCATGTACGACCATGCTATCGATCTACGAACTCGCATCTGTAAATTTCGCTCCTTCTCTTCTACTCGTCACCTACTTTTTTTCCCGAGTTTTGATGGCCAAAGCGCTAAACCTTGTTACCACCCTGGTGCCATATAGCTGAGTCTCCAGAAAATAACAGCGAATTACTTATTAGATACAGCGTTATGCTTCAGAACAGAAGAAAAAAGGTAGCGAGTCATCATCAATGTACCATAGCAAGAGTATCACGAAGCCAGAAAATCTGGCGGCCTGCCTGTATAGCCGAAGGTATTCAGAATTGATTGGTGACTCTCACATCCTAAAGCTGAAAAGCTAACAATAGATAGTGGGATACAAGGTCATTGCCCCAGGACCGGTGTATAACTACATTGTTTTTCTCTCACCGCTCGTGTTCCCGTTTTCCAATGAGGGAAAGAGAGAGAGAAGAGTAACATGTAGCACAATTCGCATAAATATGGTAATAAGCGTGGGGGCAACGACAGGCTGTGGCAAAATCACTCGGAAACTCAATTTTTCCCCTAAAAATGTGAAGCCGAAGCATGTGCACATTTTCACATACGGATAGTTCGTAACTGCTATAGAAAAGGATCAGGGTTACTAAAGTAAAAGGTCGGCTGAATGTTGGTATTTACAGACACCCCTCTTTACCTTTTTTGAAAAGAAAGACATCATGTGGTTTCTTCTGTTTGTTTGTTTGTTTGATCAAGTCTTTCTCATAGAAATGTGGGGTTATGGTGTGCTATTACCGACTCTTAAACGAGTATGCACTTTGGAAAATGTTGTTTGATACATGAATCGTGGCATAGGGCAGCTTTTGACAGCATTACACTCTGGACGTGACACGTTTCGCGGACTTTTTGGATGGTCAGTGAGCCCTGAGAACACATAATTGCTCATTTCCTATCCTTTTACAGCGTACATCAGCAGCTGCTGACAAAGACCAAAGTTTAATCGGTCTTGATACAAAAAATTAGTTTTTGGGAGTAAATAGCAATAATACCGTAGCCGACTGATTGGTGCTGACAAGGGGTTAGATACCATCTTCGACCGCCTTGATCTTTATTAGATAATTGAAACGGCGAGGTAATAGATTGTAAAAAGATAAACAATAATATATATATATTTGCACCTTAATAAAATTGTAAGCGAGAATAGCAAAATGTCGCTCATTAGCTCGCTTTGCTAAGGCTATGACGTCGATGCTAAAGTGCACCGGCAATACATATTGTGACAACAGATGACCACTAGGGACCAGAATAATGTGCTGATAGCCAAATCCGCAAGTGTAAACTATGGTATAGCGTCGAAGATAGGTATAACATAACCATGCATTTTGATAGAAGATGAGCGAGTAGAGGCCTGGAATATCAAATGAAATGTTAAGATGGGCTGTGAGAACTAATATCTCACAGAGCTGAGAAGTGGTCATACATCCCTCTGCCATATAAGTCAATACTATCATCCATAATTTAAAACAAAAGTGCGGAAGTAGCACACGCTATCCTAGATGGTATGTGTCTTAATTGGACAGTTGTCGGATTACGGATTGTGCTTTCAAAACCGACAATGTACGTATAATAGAGCTAGCAAAATGTTGGAGGACCGACTTTTTTGTTTGTATTGAAAGTAATAAGTAATACGGGCATGTGAGTAACTTGGTGGCATACATGCTTTGAAGAAAAGACATATTATAGGTATGATGTAAACAAAAAGCGAGCCTTTGCATGATATTTTACTGACTAACTCGTCTCCGACCATTGTGTATGTTTCATCAACTAAGGCGTATGTGAAGTTTTGTGACAGAAGTCTACCACCACCTTAATAAATAGAGATATTGAATGTATAAGTAATGATAACCACTACATTAAAATCAAAATAATATACAAGTTTTATTCGATGTCCGTGAATATTCCTGTGTGATGGCAATAGAAGCCGATCTATGTAATACAATTACCGATAAGTGTTCCATCTGCGTAGCAAAGCATTGCAGATCTGATCGTCGGCACAAGGTTCAAAACACGCACAATTAAAACGTGTTCTGACACATAGACGTCGCGTGCATGACCATATGTAGGATTTGGGGAGGTGTTCTACTTGTCTGATTGCAAGGACCAGTGGCGTTGGTAACAGCGGACGGATAAAGAAAAGCAACTAAATAAATGTAACTGAAAGAAGGCCGTTGAGCTACGGTTTTGCCAGAACGCCAACTGCTTCGATAAAAGACGAGCCCTAACAAGCTTACAATATGTCAAGGCACAAGATTCAGTGCGGGTTTATCTTCTAGCAAAGTCCACTGGTAATAATTAGCCACGTGCATAGCAGATGCTGGGAGACGGTTGATTGGATAAAAGGAGTAAGCAGCTGTCTATTTCCCATGTCAGCTTCTTGTTTCTCCCTTTCTTTTTCTTCTTTTCAACTCTTAGTAGTATACCATGGAAAAATTACGCGAGGTAATTTCTTTTATTGCAACCACTTTACAACAAAAACTAACAATAGGTATTTAACTCGTAATTATTTAGAAAATCAGCAACATTCGCGCCGAGGCAGAAGCTGCCAATGCCAAAGTTGAAGCATTGGAAACCAAGTTGAAGGAGCTCGAACAGGAACAAATGCAACGCGAACATGAAATTATCTCGTTGACCAACAAGAACAAACACCTCACTGAGGATCTGGAAGCAGCACAAGAGAAAATCACGCAGCTCAAGAGTTTGGAAGATGAGGACGACGATTTGAAAAAGGAAAACGACGCAGCACAACGCAAGATCACCTTGTTGGAGCAGGAGCTTGAATCCTCAGACAAGTCGTTGCGCGAAACCACTAAAAAGTAAGTTTTGTGTGTGTGATGTGTAGTAGTGTTCTTTTCATGAACCTGATGATCCTTTTTGGTATTATCTGTAGTTTCCGTGAAGCTGATGTGAAGGCCGAGCACTTTGAGCGCAAGGTCCAGCAATTGGAAAACCTGTTGTTTGAGCAGGAAAAGAGAAACGAGGAGCTCAAGACCAAGAACCACGAGCTCCAAACTCAACTTGACGAGTTCAACGCACAGCTCGACGAAATCTAAAAACAAGAATAATATCATGTGGTTGACAGCCCAATCGTAACATCCAGAAAACACACACATCCCTATTTATATATCACACGCAAAGCATTCCCCATTATACTTCAAGAAAGAAAGCATTCAAAGAATAATAAACCAACCTGAACCCACGTTCACGTTTTACATCTATCACCCCCTCCTTTTCATGCTTGTCGTTTCAACTATTGTTCCTCTCCCATGTGGTCCAAGCTGTACTACCATCAATTTCTATTAGGTAAGGTAGCCTGGTGACAAAAACTTTTCTTTTTTTGAGAGCATGTTCCAAGCTGCAGTGATACCCGTACCTTCTCGATGTAAAAGATACGATGAGTCACACCGAGCATATTCATATAACAATGCATGCTAATAGCCTTCCCTTGCTTTCCGCATCTGTTGACAGCAAAGTATATCTGCATTTGATGTTACTCCCATAGAATAGACGGTTTTCAATTTCTTCCCTTGTGAGCACGTGGAATAATTATGCCGTCCCTCCAAGCGTTTCCACGACTTCAATATTCGCACAGAAAAAAAATTTTTGAGTGAATGTCCAAACATTAAAGATAAAATAAGTTGCGTGGGCAATGTCGGCTCTCTTTTGAATGTGTGAGTTTTATTGTTTTCGACAGGTAAAGAGTTGTTGCGTAGCTGATGGTGATGCTGCTTAGATTTCGGCCAATTCGCGAAGACGACGGACGGTCGAACGAACAGTGGTGGCAGCCGCGGTCGAAACAGTGTAAGCGCCACCGGCCATGGTCTTCTTGCAGCCCTTGCACTTCCAGATACCGACAGCTTGGCGCTTGACAGCGTCCTATACGATGATAATGAGATACAATTGAGCAATCATTCAAAAAAGTATCTTTGAAACAAACTAAATTGGAAAAAAATAATCTACCTTGCCGCAGAAGGTGCAAGTGTAGGTGGCGTGCTGGGTGATTTCCATCTTCTTCACCATCTTTCTGAGGGAAGCGCCATAACGAGTGCCGTACTTGCCGGTGATGCCGACTTTCTTGGTGCGCTTAGTCTATAGATTGATACATAGATGAATGGATGGATGGATGGGTGGATGGATGAGTCGGATGGTGTGATTTAGCAGATACGTCTTCCTTCGTTATCCTTCATACCATTTTGGATATAACGCGAGAGGGAGGGTTCCTACATCTGGGGCAGGCTCGCAACAAAAGTGCCCAAAATCCAGCTGACTTTAAACGTCCGGTCCGTTATTCCGTAGAGCCGGATGCTCAGTACGGGCTAATTCCGTCTTCTTCTTGGTCTAGGTTAGATCTGATAACTCAAGCTCCAATTATCGATACCATGCTTATATGCACCATCTTAGACATGATGCAGAGTAAGCTACTAGTGGCTTACTATCAGATCGTACACTATCTTGATGTCAACCAGCATTCTATTGAAAAACCGATCATTCAGCGCACCTGTATGTGTATACTCTGATTGATGTCACAACGTTCAAAGAGAACGATGCACCATTAAGATTATCCTCCACTGTCAAATTTGGCCTATTTGAAATAAAAATATGACAAGATGGAAAGGCAAGAAAAGCACGTAGAGAATCCTTTTTTTTTTATTAAAAATGTTCCTTCGTCGATTCGTCAGTAAATGCATGAAAGACTGTAAAATGACATGTCTACCAATTTTGGTGCGAGAAAGTCGTTTTCACATTATCATTGGAAGCGAGACAATTATATCATGGCAATTCTTCCTCATTTTCTCTGAGACATCTTGTCTTTTTCTCTTCCTTTCTTGGTCCTTCGTTATTTTCTTCCAGCATTCCCTATCTTATATGTTTCCAAGCAGAATTAACATATTAGATTACTATATTTTATGATGCATTTGAAGCTATAGTGAGCTGTCTCGGCTCGGACAAGAGCGAATTAAGCCCTCACTTTTGATGCTTCTCTGTAAACACGTTTCTTCAGCGCTTGGGCACACACTACCATGGAGTTATTATAAAGCGTTAATGCAAAAGAGCTTTGTAGAGGTAGATCAAAAAGAGAGCTGTTGGCACAAAGAAAGAGCGGAACGGAAGGCTAATCGTGCTTAGGGTATCGAATAATTGTACTTTGCTCCTTCGATAATAAAAATGCCGAACAGACTGAGTGGTTCGTGGCTCGTTCGTTGAAGATTGAAGGATTGCAAGGAGGTCCTTCAAGAGGTTGAGTGGTTGCCTTTTCCGTGCGTAACAGATCAAAGGAGCTTGTTGTTGTAGGCAGACTGCGCATTTTAAATGTGTCGCGAGACCGATGATTATATATAGTCACTACTCATTTGATGATTATCAACACTCCTTCTCTATAGCGTTTTATATAATAGTACAAAGCCGGTGCCTAAATTTAACGAAAAGAAAAGAAGCCGTCCTGCCGGAACGCATAGACCCGAAGGCGACGTAGTAAACATATGCAAAGTTAAATAAAGCTAAACTTCAGCACCTATTCCTACGAATGAAAACACCACGAACACATATACCCTTAATAGTGCCCTAATCGACTACAATTGCGACATTAATATCAATGTACGTATTTGCTTTGTCAATATTTCACTCATAACAATATCGATCCAACAAAGTCGTATAGGTTGGCATGATAAACCGCTACTGAGAACTTAACGATACTCATTATCGCCCATGAATCACGCAGAACTCTTTGTCACTTGCAAGCGGAACTCACATTGCAGACGAGTCTGGGGGAGGGGGGGCATTGTATTCTCTTATTACTATAACGATGTATTCTGCATAAAAATGACCGATGATACAATTGATATAGCTGCATTTCCAAATGATATGGCTTAATCAAAATCCAAAGACTACAGCCGACGTTTATATAAAATGTAATGGTCCATACTTGGTGCGCAAGCTAAGCTTTGCTATTTCGACCGGTATTATTAAACAATCAAAATCAGTTTTGTTACATAGATGTAATAATGACGTGTTTGATAATTCTCTGACGCCACGTATCCTCGTAGTATATGTGTATGTATATAAGGGCAAATGCTTCTTCAAACACTACGTCAGCAAGGTTGAGAGCAAGAAGAGCGGTCAGCAAACAGGAGGACACAACGACGACGACGTAATAAAGAGTCCATCAAGTCATATTATACATACTGTTTCCTTTTATTGTGTATTGTGTGTACTAATGTTCCCATTCTTGTATTGTGTATATATCTATGATTTTTACCGTTTACTGGCTCACAAACTTGACAGAAAACAGGCGGAGCAGCTGCTACGTGCTTAAATCTTATTATGGTCCTCCCCGGATCTATTGTGTGCTGTTGCAGTGCATACAAAGGTGCAAAATCCTTAATATACACATTTCTTGACAATAGTAGTAATGGCAATAGTGCATATTGTTTCTTTGTCCGCAACTCTTTTTTTTTCATATATGGCTAGAGTATGTTTTTCTTTGGTGAAGTCATCTTTTCTCGAAAAATAAAAAGATTAGTGACTACCGCACATATCTTTTACAGTTAAATCACAAGACTCTAAAATCTATTATATGGCTTTGAGAGATGATCTCCTTGCTCGGCAACACAGCACAGTAGCAATTATATAGAGTACTCGTCATTTGTTACAGTGATCTATTTGCTATCATGTTATAACGTGTAGTCAGCAAACAACGAGTGTTGCATCAGCAATTGCTTCGAAAACTGCCGGCCGCAAAAACTCAGGCACGAAACGGTAATAGCGGATCAAGTTTTATAAATTTCCCTTTTCTGACCTCATTATCAATATATTTACTGTCTATTACTCAATATCAAAGGTCGGCTATTGCTTGACTATGCGCGCCAAAGCAATCTGAGAAGCACAGCAACATTCAAAGGCGAAACTCAACAATGGCACACAATTATCTATTAATATTCACTATGTAAGCATATATGAATGGCTCATATGGGTCTATTGGAAGCACAATTTCACTATATATAATTTTTTTTTTTTTAGGCGCGCAACAAATTATTGCGTCGGTTTTTATTTCAAGTCACGTGCATATTAAATATCAGAGGTGAGGAGAAGAAGCTAAGTAGCGTTTGACTAGTTGGCGATAGAAGGGAGATTTTCTTGGGTGCGGGTTAACAAAAGAGAATGGATTTGTGTTATAATGTTATCGGGAACGAAGGGAGAGTTGTTTAAAACAAAGCGCCAGTGGGCGTTCCAAAGACATTCTAATATACAGCTGATAATTATATCTGAAGGGAGACGGGGAGCATTTTGGGGAAAATACAGGTGAAAGATGGCATTGTGTACAGCAGATTCTGTAACAGATTGTAATAGTAGGTCGGGCCACACGGAGCACCAGATCGACCATTTGCGAGGGCATTGGTACAGGAAATGAGACCAATCATCTTCATCTTGGTTACAAATTGGGCATACAGCGGATGTGAATTCGGAGGGCATAATTGAATGTAGAGTTTTACGGCATGAAATCTTATTGTGAAGCGCTCGATACCAAACATTTCTTGCCGTTGGCGATATCTTCTCAATCGCCAGAAGGTATCCCATTGTCTAGGTGTTAAGATCGTGTTTTCCCGGGCTTCGACGTGTATAGACTTGTCGATGATTGCTTGTCTGAGTTCTTTTGCTCTGATCGTGGTCAATTGTTTATCTTGGACCTTGCACCATGCTCCCAGATCGACCGCCTTATGTTCACGGATAGCGGGATCAATAGAGTTGTGAAAAAGATGCCTCGGGATCAAAGTCTGAAACACCGCTGGATGGAATCCCAACTCACCCAAGTCCAAGAAGCGAACCAGTAGACCCAAAAGGCGCGGGTAAATCAAGAATTCCGTGGCGAGCCGTCTCCGTAAACAGCCATTCGCTAAATCAAAGATGAACAAATCATCCGTTAGGATCCTGTGTTTGGCGATGCGTCGTAAGCATACGTCTGAGGTTTTGGTGAGCGGGCGCTGTGTCGGCGTCATGGCATCTAGGACGTGCAGTTGTAGAACTGTAGCGGTCGGTATGAGTTGGGATTGATAGTCAACCGTAAAATTGTCTAAGGCCTTGCATAGCTGATTTGAGAAGCTGACGGGTTTACTCATTGAAGCGGTCCGAAGTCGGGGAAATAGGAGACACATATGTGGGTCCTGGTTTGGAGTCCATGTTGCCTGAGTATTAATTATCCACGAATGTATGAGCGATCGCTGCTTGGTGTCATTAGTAAACATAGGTTGGATCCATCTGAGCTGGAGTGCTGATTGTTGTGCTTCCGGGACTAATATTGCAAGGCCCCCTTGTTTGCGAGGTGGTGCCAGTCGGTGAAATGTAATCTTGGGAAACATCTTTTTAGTCGAGAAGTCATGGCAAATGCTGCGAACTTTCAAAGTGATGATAATATCAGCACATTCAGAATTGTCGCTCGACCGCGAATCGAGAGTGACCGGTGCGCATGGGTGTTGCAGGCTGATTTGATCTTGCCTAGGAGTTTGTCCAGGAAGCCATCCCGTTGCTGCGGCGATAGATACAAAGGATATCCGAGATATACCAAGGCTTGATGGGCTCGTCGATCGAACCATGATCTAATGCCCGTTCCCTCCAAACACGAGCGCAAAGTGGATGACGACTTGCCAGATAGCGATATGGCGTGCGTTTTGTCCATATTGACCTTGGCGTTTGATGCTCTGGAGTAGGTGTCTAAGTGGTGGCGGACTTGTTGCAAATCTGATTCATTATGAATGAAAACAAAGCACTCATCGGCGTAGGCTAGAACCTTTAGTTTAGTTGGAGACGGTGTGACTGGGGTAAGAGCTTTACTTGCTGCCATCAATATATCATATCCGTGTAATTGTTCATCGTTGAGGATGCGGACCAAGAAAGGCTCTAAGGCCAGATTGAACAAAATAGGCGAGAGAGGGTCTCCTTGTCGAACGCCACGTTGTTGTTTAAATGTTGGAGACAAGAACCCGTTAATGTTGATTCGTAGATTGCTGCCGAAGAAAAGAGTCTTGATAGAAGAGATGATCTTTGCTGGGAATCCCCATTTGCTAAGACAACATTCGAGATATTCTGGATGAACGCGGTCGTACGCTTTTTCCATATCCAAAGATAAACCGACGTCATCGGCATTTACGCTGGCGGCATGGTCCATAGCAAGTCGTACAGCAAGCCCATTGTCTGCGATGTAGCGTCCGTGCACGAAACCCGTCTGATACTTGTTAATTAATGCATTACTAACACGGACTATTCTTGAGTTCATGATACGGGTAAATATTTTAGAGTCCGTGTTGATCAATGCAATTGGACGCCAGTTTCGTAGTTGGGAGAGCTCCCCTTTCTTCGGAATGAGATAAATACATGTGTCTGACCATGATGCTGGGAATAGTGCCTGATGTAAAGCTGAATTGTAAATATCAACAGCCATTCTGCCATATAACGGGTGTTTGAAAATGGTAGACAACATGTTATAGGGCAGGCCGTCTAGTCCCGGACTGCTTCCTTTCGGTACACGTTTGGTTGCGTCAAGTAACTCGTCGAGAGTCATGTCTTCTGTTAAGATGTCGCAAGAGTCTTGTGAGAGCACGCATGATGGCGGTAAATGGTCCAACAGGTCTGATATTGCTGCTGCATCAGTCGGTTCCGGTGAGTATAATTGTGAATAAAATGAACAGACTGCTTGATGCATATGATCAATCGAAGAGTCTACGATGCCTGTTACTGGATGTTCTAGCTGGAGGATGTTCCTTTGTGCCATTCGTTGTTGTGCTGTGCGTTTTAGATAGCCGGCCGATATTTCGCTACGCTCTCTCCAGCGGACATTAGCTTTGATAGCTAAAATTCTAGCGTGATCTTCTTGAATCTTGTTGAGCTCGGCGGTAATATCAACAAGGCGCTGAGGTCGACTTCCTGTTGTCTTGAAATGGCGCATCATCTTATTACGTTGACGAAGTAGGTGTTTTTCGCGATGGTCCTTTTTCTTGGCTAGATAACGTCCATATTGACGGCATTCCTCTTTCGCAATCTTTTTGACTTCATCCCAGGCCTCCTGTGGCGAGGCTATGTTGGCAATTCTTATATGTGCCGATGAGAGTGCTGAATTCAGTTTTTCTTTAAACTGTACCGAGTTGACAATAAGTGGGTTGGCTCTCCATATGTCTTGACCCTGCCGGATATTACTGGCCCGCATGCTGATCACTATCAATGCATGATCTGTCCAGTTGCTATTCACATGGCGGACATCGGGTGCTGAACACAGCAGGGAGAGTGATGATGACGCAAAGATATAATCAATTGACGATGTGCCTCGTCCGTTGTAGAATGTCGTCGTGAGGTTATTGGATCCGTCCGACGGCAGCATCAGGTTGACAAAGTTTTCATTCAAGTGTGCGCACCACTCTTTTGGTGCTGCTTTCATGAATGATGAGTCGCGCTGCGCATATGAATAGTTGAAATCTCCAAGGATAAACAACCTATCACTATGCGGAATCATATTTGGCTGTTGCAGGATTGGAAGGAGTTCGAGACTATAAAAATCTTTCCGATCCCTATAAAAGGGAGGGGTTGATCTAATCAGAGGCCATAGTCTCGCGGACGATTGACCGGTGATCAAGTCGTTGGCGTGCTGTGGACCGCTGTCGGGGGACGTTTACTCAGTGGCGTCGAATTTGTTGTCGTCGCTTGAGTCTTCACTTTGCTGCTGCTGGGGATTGTGCTTCGAGGCCGAGGCACCCGATGGTGTGCTGATAGGCGGCGTGAAGGCGGAATCCGAACCTCCTGCTTCCGACGGAAGCGGTTGGGTAGCATCCTGGGTCAATGCATCCACTTCGTCCGAGCAGAGTATCATGTCTTCTGTTTCATCCTTATCAATTTCATCGGAGGATGATTGAGATGATGATTCATCGTCTGTTGGGGGTGTGAATTCTTCGTCTGAGGTATCCGTGTTGTCGCTGAGCGGTTCCTCGGTGACCATGGGTACATGTTTAGGCTGGGAACTTCGACGTTTTGAGTTCCCTTTGGGTTGTTGCTTTGGTGTGGCCTCGTTGACCTTCGAGTGTAGCTGAGCCTGGTTTTCACGCTCTTGTTCACAATTCGGGTTTGGAATGGTAATCGTCGTTTTGTCCAAAGCTGACTTCGAGTGAACATTATGAGAGCGATGATCAGATTGTGTATCACTTAAATGTTGAGCTGGTGGATGCGATTGTTGGGTTTTCATCTTCTTTGGATCTTTGCTGGTTGTCGTCGACTTTATTGGCGATGCTGAACTAGTCGTCGTCTTTGGTTGTTTGCGCGGGAGTGCGTTGTGTGGATGATCGCATTCTCTCGCATAGTGACCGATCATTCCACAGTTGAAGCATTCTGGTTGAACGCGGCTTGGACATTGTTTCAGAGTGTGGTCTTGGGAGTGACAGTATCGGCAGTAATCACCCATGGATTGCCAAGTAGCGTAAAAAGACCGTTCTCGGCCTTGCACGAGACCGAAGTCGACCTTGTGGGTGAGGGGCTTGTAAGACTCTGGGGTGGTGTTCTTAGATTTCATGAGCACTGCGTATCCTTTACCCTGGAGCCAACCACCCTCTACAGAGCAGTATAATCCAAGTTGCAACACGTGTCCGAATTAGGTAAGTGTTTGGCGCAACAAGACCTCCAGCTCATACATTTTTGACGCCTGTAGGCAGTTTTTCGAGTTGTACTTTGGTGAGATCGTGTTCCGGAGGGAGCGATCTGACAGCCGGGAAGTGAACATCACCGACGGTAACGCCCTTTTCCAGTGCCAGGTTGCAGATGTCCTCGTCTGCAAAAGTCATCTCATACAGGACTTGTTTCTTTTCGCGATGGTGGATGAGACCTATGGCCTCATCCCAGTTTTCAAACGTTTCTCGAGCTGCTCGGAAAAAGGCGTCCTCTTTGACTGAGCGTGTCGACATATCAAAGACAACACTGTATTCTTCCGTTCCTCGACGAAGTAAATGGGATGCGATTGGTTGACCGTCGGCTGCCATGCTGCCAAGTGTCATTTTTACATCTTCAGGGACGTATTCGTTAAGCTGGGTTATCAGACGACCTCGACTGATTTCCGGACGTTTTTCGGTAACTGCTTGAGCATAGGTTCGTTTTGGATGTGTTGGTGGATTTTCCTTGGGTTGGTTGGAGTCACCATCAGGAGTGACCCCAGGCACTTTTTGAAGGGAATCGGGAAGAGCCATGAATTTCACTATATAAAACTTGATCACACTTATGGTATCTCTCGCTCTAGCTCTTTAAGGAAATAACTTCTGTATTACATATTTGTACCTTATCGTTGAAGAAATACTGATCAATTGCATAATAGGTCTGTTTTCGCTTTCTTCTCATTTCATTAACTGAAAGTGATATGCTTTTGCATAAGAGTAGGAGCTTACGTTACATTGGGCAACTTCAGTTGCCATATAAAATGAACAGTGAAGAAGTGACGACAAGAAAAGAAGCAGCATGTCAGGTAGTGTTGTGATATCAAGTTATGAGGCACGAATATGTCATTTGTTTTGCTTGTTTGTCATGGTCATCAAACGTCCTTGTCACCAGTAACAGTGTAATCAATAAAAATAAAAACAATCGCTTGACCACGTGAGGAAGAGCCTTATAATAAATTCTGTCTACACATACGTCATTTTCCCAAGCCAAGAAAAATTCTTTTACCGTACCTGGCAACAAGACCGAGGTTCACAGCAGCAACAACGACGGTGATGCATTCTGCACGCATTGCATAGTGTATGCAACCTTACTAAGTATTACTGCTGCTACTGCTATTCCTACTTCTAGCTCTTATTTGAATAAATTAGCTTTGTATAACTTGAACCTTGTTTAAAATGAAAAATGAGACTTTTCCAAGAATAGGCAATTGCTTGTTCCGGTGGTTCCGAAATGAAATTGTGTTAATACTTTTATTATAATTAATCAAGTGGTAAGCTAAGGTACTTTTTTTTAAAGGTTTGTTTTTTTTTCTCTGGAGTGGAGGGTTCGAGGACGGATTATACAAAAATTATAGAAAAACTTTTTTTAAAATTAATACAGCAAACAGCAGCTAGTAGAACGACGGCTGCTGGTCGCATAATAATGCTGCTACCAATTCAAGGTAGCATAGTTGGATGTGAGCTTTACACAGTGCAGAAAGTCGGCGTCCATATTGGAATTGCCGCTAAAATCAATCCGATCTGTGGCATAGCAGCCTCTGTGCAACAAGATCATATCGACAAGATCTTGGCCACAAAGCCGAGCATTCCGAGTCATTGTGAGACTACGCAACAAGGGTGTTGACGACGCCGAGGGTAACGATCTCTCCCATAAATAGATCAGGAGTGCATCCGTAAGCGTTGGGAAACCTTCCACCGAAAGATCGACCAGCGCCGCACATTTCGCCAAGACCTCGCACAGGCCAAGTTCGAAATACCGACCGGCATGATCAAGAACTGACGGCTTTTTTCGGTGTTGTTGTTGTTGTTGCTGGTGTCGTAAGAGAAAGAACGAAGCACAAGGAGATGGTGTCGGTGTAATCGCCAGTGTCAATGATTCCAAACTGTTTGGCAAGCTTGACAAAACATCGGACGACTGATGCAACCAGTCTGGCGAATCCAAGATGGTCAAGGATCGGAGCGTTGTTGGCCAACGGATCGCGGGCGACACATTTGTAGCCGATACCGGGTCCCATAAAGTGAGTGCAGAGATCCGAATTGTGGAAACACCCGTAAGATCGATCGCTGGTAGTCGTTGCTGCGTAACAAACAGTGTTGCGACACAATGGGAGATTTCCAGCTCTTCCAAGTGGCAACCAGTACAAGTCGTAGTAGCATTAGCAGTAGCGCAGCGTTGGCTTATCCACTGTGTCAGCGTCTTCAGGTGAGGCGTGATGATAAGTCGTGTCAGGTGCATCAGGTGCAGCTTTTTCAACGTTGTCGGCTGCCATTGCGAAAAGACAAAGACGGCGTTCTTGGACATGTTGAATGTTCTGTCGTGGAAGTCTAGCTCGACTGTTTCGACACGGGCGCACGATTGCAAGACCGCCAAAATGGTGAAACAAATATGTTGTCGGTGTTGCTGTGGAGGAGAAGGAGGATGAGGAGCAGTAGCAGTAGCAGTAGTGCTAGCTGCTGCTGCTGCTGCCGCCGGCTGCACCATCGGAAACTCAATCAAGCTGCTGCGCCGCTGTGGGTCGACGATGGCGTTGCTAGTACTTCCGGGAAATAACTTGAAACCTTTTCGTCGTAGCGAGGATGTGCGCCGCTGGACTTGGAGCGGTCGCAATAGCTGATGAGGTGCTTGTGGGTCTTCCAAAATGGACATGTCGAGGTAAAGGTGTCTAACGTGGCGACCGTACTCGTTGCGTAGGAACGTTTTTGAGGTGTTGGTATCAGAAGAGAACCGGGAGGTGATGCGTAAGCGTTCGTAAAGAAATGGGATAGAGACTTGTCGCCAGGTGACATTGACACGCGTACACTGGGCCAGATCCTGACGATCGGTGACATGGAGGAGGATGCGCTTCAGGACCTCTGGAGGACATAGCATCGTCGTAGTGGAAGAAGAGGCGTTGTTGCACTGCATATCTCTCACAAGCACACGCGCACTCCACGCACAAAAGAAGGAAAAAAAGATGAGATAAGAAAAAGAAAAAAAAAACAATGCACGGACTCTGTTTCTCTGGCTTTTTATATTGTGTTCACGGCAAAGATGATACAGGATTTTTCCTAATGATTGGCGGGGGCTTTATTCTCATCATGACGGGGTTTTTTTTTCATTTTGGCGTTGGGGGTGTCTTTTGATTGGCGGTGTGATTTTCGTGATTGGCAGCAGGTGAAAATTACAATGGCGGTGTAATTTAAGATGTTGGCAGAATTACAAAATTCATACGGCGGGCTGGGAACTGTAATTTTAGTCCCTTCTTTAAAATAAAATTTCTTAACAGGTGATGGTTTCTTCATACTTTCATGTTGTAAACATTATAATTTATTTGAAAAAACATACGTGAATATGAAAAAAATACTACATAATACACACATGCATACGCAATTGCCTATACAAAAAAAAACACAAGTAAACGGTAATATTAAACCTCACAGATGTATATAAGAATATGTGATCGATATAACCAAACCCATGAATCCAATAAAAAAAATACTCGATCTACAGGGCTTGATACCTCTTCTCTAACTCTCCTTAAGAAATATCAAACATAATTCTAATTCCAACAAAAATTGTTGATACCTCTATTCCTGCTTGAGAGGTATCAACAGAATCTGTTACTGCGTTTGATACCTCTAACCTGGCTTGAAAGGTACTGGCGTATATTAGGGCATGTTACCTCCATACCTGCTACCAACGTTGAAATCGTATTTTTTTCTTTTAAAATCAGATATTGCTACAGGCAATGTCAATCGAAGTAAAAAAAAATGCCGAATACATTTATTATTAGGCATAAGAACTTGATAAGCTATGATCTAAAAGTTATTTGCTTACAGTCTTCTATAAATGGATATGCTGCGAAGAATTTCTTTCCACATGCATTCATTCGGCATTATCATTTCCCTTTCTTATTATTGCAACAGTAATTGAGCTTGAAGCAAGTTGCTTACTATATATCGTTGATGTAGATTTTTTATTTGACAAATTTATCTTTATAAAGAAATTTATTTGAAAACAGGCAGTAAAGACAAGGATTGATATATGTCAAACTTTTTTTGGCGACTTTCAATATAGCTATATATTGATCATTGATCTTTTTCACTCGTGTTAATATAAAAAATACTTCATTAAGCAGATCCCGTCTTGAAAGTTTTCGACAAGCACTTCTTGGGCTCGAGTTATCATCTCTTTTTTTCTTACACACTTTTATACAATCGTATATACCTTTCAGGCATACTCAATATCAATATACACAACACTACTACCCATGCTTATCTCACCTCATCAATGTTGAGTTGTTTGTCAAAACTGAATCCCGCATTTTAGAGGCAAGATAATGTCTTACAAACACAAACATTGCTGTATTATTACTAGGTTGTATACACTTCAAATTCATTGCGTTTGGAAGGTGTTTGTTTTTAAGCTTTACTGTAGCATGAATCGTGACGTCTTCTCCTTTGTCTTGGCTATCCACAGCCTTTCTCAACCCTTTTCAACAATGCAGGATCATATTTATTAGTCGTCAGTAATAGATTACGTGTAGAACTACGCAACATTATAAACTAGTTTGTCGTGCCAGATTAAAATTGAATCTACTATTCTTGAGGTTGTGATTCTTCGAATTCTCTCATTAATATTACTACCTTGGGGCTAACTAATTATTTTTAACAATTTTGCATTACATATCTTTTTTGTGATGTTTTTACTAATAGCTATATTTTCAAAAGAGTGATTCAGCTTTATACTTTACTAATGTTGGTGGTTACTTGGTATAAAAATTTGTTGGCATGAATACTACAGATTGCATAACAATTAAGAAAAAAGGATTCAAGTTACAATAAAAGAACAGTGTTTTGGGCTAGTCGCGTGGTTCGGTCATGATGTATATCATTCATATTTACAAAACGAGGAGGATTTTTATGTATCAGGGTAAAAATGATGATGGTAAAAGATATAAAGAAAAAAAGTATCATGTCAAGTCTTCGTTACTTGCACAGAAATACTTGATGTTGTTCAATTTTTCAATTTCGCCACTGTTGTTTTCTTCAAGAAGTACTTGGGTTAAAGCTTCTTGTTCTTTGAGAATAGTCTATGTATGTGTAATAAATAACGGGTATGCTAATGGTTAACAAATCTGTCTTCACTGATTCATTCCATATTTATTTTCTCATTACAACTTACGTTCATCTTTACAACTGTAGCTAAGCGATGCCATTTTTCTCCTTGCTTCTCCTTGTACTCGAAATAGAATTCCTTCTTACTGGTTTCAATGGCCAAAATTAAAGTTGAAGATGATAACGAAATGCTATTGACGGCCTTGTTTTCACTTGTTGAAGAAATATGATCCAATTTGAGTTTGTTCTCTTGATTCACACAGCGATGAACGGTAATCGCATAATAATGTTTACAATCCAAATATGCTGTTAAACCAGCAGCAGTCGATATATCTAAATTATCATTTTGCAGTAATTTAATGTTGCTTAATTTGATCGTTACTCAGCATTTGACATGACCTTGGCGTAAACCCACAAGGATAACGTTTATGCAACATTACGTCAATTAAGGCAGAACCTACGCAACGTGAAAAGACAGTAAAATGAAATTATAGATCGTTTGACGCCCTGTCAAGTACTAGAGTTGAATAAAAATATAAGATGAACCAAGATTAGATTCCCATGCCCCTTATAAAGCACAAACCATATTTTTCTTCATATAACGAAAAGGTTTTGTGGTTCCCATCATCTTACCGATGAGACATTGATTATTACCTTTTTTTATACTAGTCACCAACCAGTTTTGAAAAACATGGCCTTGCTGCATACGCTGCAATAATTCCATATCGAATAGATTCCTTCCACAATGGCTAAATATTGACTAAAAATATACAGATCCAGATTTAATCAAATATATATTCAAGTGTATGAAAATAATATTAGCTTTACCAGATTTCATTAAGTAACGCAATGGCACGTCCGAACAGACAACAGCTGAACCAAGTCAAGTCACAATCCAGAAGACGGAATAAATTGCAACAAGACAATACATTAAGGAAGAACCAACTATCTTTACCCTTCAGCCACTTAATAAGAAGGATCCAGCAAGTTACCAGACTCGTCCAAGGATGCCGGAAGTATTGTAGCAAGATAGTAGATGGAAAAAAACCAACCACCTTCACCCTTCAGCGACTTATAAGCAGGATCCAGCAAGCTACACGCAGACACACCTCAATGATGCCGGAAGTATTGTAGCAAGATAGTAGAAGGTAAAAAAAAACCAACCACCTTCACCCTTCAGCGACTTATAAGCAGGATCCAGCAAGCTACACGCAGACACACCTCGAGGACACAGAGAGCATGGTAACAAGATAGTAGATGGAAAGTAAACCAATTACCTCTACCCTTCAGCAACTTATAAGCAGGATCCAGCAAGCTACACGCAGACACACCTCAAAGATGCCGGAAGTACTGTAGCTTGAAATAGATGGATCACCCCTCCTAATAAACAATAATCTATTTAGTGCAGGTTTTTATAAATGATGTATTTCTTTTTTCATTGGAATACATTGCCTGATTAGCCAACAAGGAAAGAGTTTAAATCGATTTGCTATTGTCAAACCAAGTGAAATAAAATGCGCGTCAGCTATATCCGATATAACTTACACGAATAGACCAGTGTGTAAAATAATATTAGCTTTACCAGATTTCATTAAGTAACGCAATGGCACGTCCGAACAGACAACAGCTGAACCAAGTCAAGTCAGAATCCAGAATACGGAATAAATTGCAACAAGACAATACATTAAGGAAGAACCAACTATCTTTACCCTTCAGCCACTTATAAGAAGGATCCAGCAAGTTACCAGACTCGTCCAAGGATGCCGGAAGTATTGTAGCAAGATAGTAGATGGAAAAAAAACCAACCACCTTCACCCTTCAGCGACTTATAAGCAGGATCCAGCAAGCTACACGCAGACACACCTCAATGATGCCGGAAGTATTGTAGCAAGATAGTAGAAGGTAAAAAAAAACCAACCACCTTCACCCTTCAGCGACTTATAAGCAGGATCCAGCAAGCTACACGCAGACACACCTCGAGGACACAGAGAGCATGGTAACAAGATAGTAGATGGAAAGTAAACCAATTACTTCTGCCCTTCAGCAACTTATAAGCAGGATCCAGCAAGCTACACGCAGACACACCTCAAAGATGCCGGAAGTACTGTAGCTTGAAATAGATGGATCACCCCTCCTAATAAACAATAATCTATTTAGTGCAGGTTTTTATAAATGATGTATTTCTTTTTTCATTGGAATACATTGCCTGAATAGCCAACAAGGAAAGAGTTTAAATCGATTTGCTATTGTCAATGTTTTTACAACAATGCTGGCGCCGAACAAGAAAAAAATCGAAAATATCAGAAACAAACCTAAGTAAAATAAAATGCGCGTCAGCTACATCGGACACGAATGGAGATCGTTAAAACTTTTTGTTTCGACTCCGCTTGGAGAACTGGTGGCAGAACAATAGACCACGTGTTTTTATGGGAAAGAATCCCATTTACTCTTATTGAAGCCTGCTCAACAATGGAATTTTAACAATTGCTCTACTGATTTTAGAAACTATTGTGGAACTTTTGCAAAAACTCTTAAACTTAGTCCTTAATAACAATCTACTGTTACAAAATAATTTATCAACGTAGCCACGTAGCCACGTAGCCACGTAACAGCATATTCTGAATTATTCTGGGTCTAGCTATTGCGGGTACCTGTTTGATACATTGAAAGAGTTTGTATACATATACAGTTTGAATTACATTTTAATTTATTTATAAATGCGAGAATGGCATTTACTTGCTTTGCATATAAAAATATATTATACAAGAGAACTTATTGTATTTTTTTATGGTTGTGTCGAGTTTGATCATCGCTATTATTCAACAACAATTTTATTATAAATGAGAAATTCTACAATAGCATATAATATCAAATGAAATAATCTATACACTCATTCATGGAAGCCAAATACAATATGTTATGTAAAAGATTCGAAATCTGGCAGTTCCACTTTTTGCATAATAATTCTTTCTCTCCCCTTAAAAATTTCAATTCCTCTTTTTCCGTTTTCTAAACACACTTTTTTATACAATGACCAATTCAGCATATACGTGCAGCTACTATTTCACTGTGGCTGTTAAGGATTGGAAGTTGTCTGAAGCCGTACAGAAGTATCGAGAATTGGGAAAAGACAAGCCATTGGCGCTGGTACTGTCAAGCATGATAAGCGATCTTCAAAAATTACTCAAGGAGAGAAAACCATTACAAAACACTATCAAGTTGGAAATTGAGAAAATAAAAGTAAGCAGAAACAATAGTGTAAAACAAATGCCATTCGATAAGGTAATAGCATTGAAAGGAAGGCTAATCTAAAAAACATCTTTTTAGGATTTTCAAAGCACCGTTGAAATTGAACAAGAGGTATTGTTACCAACATCATGCTATTTATATTGATCGATACTAACGCTTTGCTTTAGTTAAAAATTGGTACTGGACAAGATGAATCGAACAATACCAATCATCCGTTTGGAAAAATTGCTGATACTTGGACTAGCGTTGGTGACGTACACCAAAAATTTAACATTGAAACTTTCAGTCCTGGTTCGAGCTCTTCTTCTGGAGTAAGCTAGTTTCTTGGTTGCACGTTGTAACAAGAAAAAAAACTCATGTTAATTTATCTTTTACTTTTAGAGTAAACGAAAGGATCGTCAAGAGGAATCAAGTAAGATTTTTAGTTAACCGTAACTATGTAGCACGGATAATGATTGACTTTTTCTCTTCGTTACCTGTATTAGTGGTTGATATGCGAAAGGACAAAAAGCAATACAAGTTTATTCCACCAATGAAGCCATCAGTATCAATGAACAAACCTCGCTTGGGATCATCTGACCAAGCAACCTTATCTAACATCGTTGAGATCAAAATCAATGATTCCATCTTTACACCAGTCAGTAAAAGCACGATGAATTATTTTAACAAGAACGTTGATGAGCAAGAGGTAAATTCGTGCCTCGCTGAATTACCCAAGTCCAAAGTTTTCTTGAAATCAGCGCTTGAACAAGAGCTCGAAAATCTCCCATCGTGGCTGTGGAGTCAAACATTGGATATCACAAAAGAAGAAGAGAACGAAAAGAAATTGATTCAAGCTATGAAGTTGGTTTTAACTGATTTTTATGCTACTTGTTTACGACCTGAACCGACTCCTCCTCTTAATGAACGCACTCCTTTTTGTGAACATGTCATACCTTTGATCAAGTATTCAAACGCTGTATATCAAGTTTTGCGAGTTCAATGGTAAGTGTTGTCACATTAGTTGTTTACATACATGTTTAACTAACTATTACTTTCTTTTATGCAGGGCCGAAAAAAGCATCGATGCAAACAAATTCATTGGAATATGCATGCCCGGTGAAGGATCAATACCAAAGAAGTTGGCCGATGGAATTGGTAAAGGTGTCTTGGATAATAAGGAAAGATTAATTGTCGAATCATCTGGGTAAGGAGCAATAAAGACCATGACTTCCTATATTATGCTGTACACAAAGCTTACTGAAATTAATGATTATTAGTGAAATTGATAATGGCCATACGATTGAAGACACTCTGAAAATCGTTGAATGCAGCATTCAGTGTCTTAAGATGGATATGATCTCAAACAAGTTGGCATCAATTTCAACTTTCCAAAAAAGACAAGTACTTGGTTTACATTACGTTGGTGACAAGTTGTCTTTGACAAGTACCAAACTTTTGAATAACGGCCGATACTCACACGTATTATTACGATCTGCTGTGATCCCCCGAACCTGGCACGACCGTCACAACTGGATAAAAGTATTTGAATTGGTGGTGAAGATGAACGTAAGTTGTAATGAGAATATAAATATGGAATGAATCAGTGAAGACAGATTTGTTAACCATTAGCATACCCGTTATTTATTACACATACATAGACTATTCTCAAAGAACAAGAAGCTTTAACCCAAGTACTTCTTAAAGAAAACGTCAGTGGCGAAATTGAAAAATTAAACACCATCAAGTATTTCTGTGCAAGTAACGAAGACTTGACATGATACTTTTTTTCTTTATATCTTTTACCATCATCATTTTTACCCTGATACATAAAAATCCTCCTCGTTTTGTAAATATGAATGATATACATCATGACCGAACCACGCGACTAGCCCAAACACTGTTCTTCTATTGTAACTTGAATCCTTTTTTCTTAATTGTTATGCAATCTGTAGTATTCATGCCAACAAATTTTTATACCAAGTAACCACCAACATTAGTAAAGTATAAAGCTGAATCACTCTTTTGAAAATATAGCTATTAGTAAAAACATCACAAAAAAGATATGTAATGCAAAATTGTTAAAAATAATTAGTTAGCCCCAAGGTAGTAATATTAATGAGAGAATTCGAAGAATCACAACCTCAAGAATAGTAGATTCAATTTTAATCTGGCACGACAAACTAGTTTATAATGTTGCGTAGTTCTACACGTAATCTATTACTGACGACTAATAAATATGATCCTGCATTGTTGAAAAGGGTTGAGAAAGGCTGTGGACAGCCAAGACAAAGGAGAAGACGTCACGATTCATGCTACAGTAAAGCTTAAAAACAAACACCTTCCAAACGCAATGAATTTGAAGTGTATACAACCTAGTAATAATACAGCAATGTTTGTGTTTGTAAGACATTATCTTGCCTCTAAAATGCGGGATTCAATTTTGACAAACAACTCAACATTGATGAGGTGAGATAAGCACGGGTAGTAGTGCTGTGTATATTGATATTGAGTATGCCTGAAAGGTATATACGATTGTATAAAAGTGTGTAAGAAAAAAAGAGATGATAACTCGAGCCCAAGAAGTGCTTGTCGAAAACTTTCAAGACGGGATCTGCTTAATGAAGTATTTTTTATATTAACACGAGTGAAAAAGATCAATGATCAATATATAGCTATATTGAAAGTCGCCAAAAAAAGTTTGACATATATCAATCCTTGTCTTTACTGCCTGTTTTCAAATAAATTTCTTTATAAAGATAAATTTGTCAAATAAAAAATCTACATCAACGATATATAGTAAGCAACTTCAAGCTCAATTACTGTTGCAATAATAAGAAAGGGAAATGATAATGCCGAATGAATGCATGTGGAAAGAAATTCTTCGCAGCATATCCATTTATAGAAGACTGTAAGCAAATAACTTTTAGATCATAGCTTATCAAGTTCTTATGCCTAATAATAAATGTATTCGGCATTTTTTTTTACTTCGATTGACATTGCCTGTAGCAATATCTGATTTTAAAAGAAAAAAATACGATTTCAACGTTGGTAGCAGGTATGGAGGTAACATGCCCTAATATACGCCAGTACCTTTCAAGCCAGGTTAGAGGTATCAAACGCAGTAACAGATTCTGTTGATACCTCTCAAGCAGGAATAGAGGTATCAACAATTTTTGTTGGAATTAGAATTATGTTTGATATTTCTTAAGGAGAGTTAGAGAAGAGGTATCAAGCCCTGTAGATCGAGTATTTTTTTTATTGGATTCATGGGTTTGGTTATATCGATCACATATTCTTATATACATCTGTGAGGTTTAATATTACCGTTTACTTGTGTTTTTTTTTTTTGTATACGCAATTGCGTATGCATGTGTGTATTATGTAGTATTTTTTTCATATTCACGTATGTTTTTCAAATAAATTATAATGTTTACAACATGAAAGTATGAAGAAACCATCACCTGTTAAGAAATTTTATTTTAAAGAAGGGACTAAAATTACAGTTCCCAGCCCGCTGTATGAATTTTGTAATTCTGCCAACATCTTAAATTACACCGCCATTGTAATTTTCACCTGCTGCCAATCACGAAAATCACACCGCCAATCAAAAGACACCCCCAACGCCAAAATGAAAAAAAACCCCGTCATGATGAGAATAAAGCCCCCGCCAATCATTAGGAAAATTCCTATATCATTGCGCTTCTTTCTTTGTAACTCTCACCCCCCCCCACCCCACAAACAAGAAAATGGCTTAGCGCCAGTAACGCCCCCCCCCACCCCACCCCAACCCACCCTCACTCCATGAGTAACTGCTATTTAGTCTATTGGTATGGCCTATGCGTTGGCCAACCGACCAAAGAAAGCAGTAGCACGTTCCACCACAAACAACACTTGAAGAAACTTTCTGCGCTGTGTAAGATTGTGATACTTTGTTTTTCTTTTTTCCTTTCCGATAAATTACAATAATAGATGTACACCCTATGCTTCTAAATAGGGGGGGGGGGCGGGGAACAACAAAATAATAGGTGTTATACAATTTGTTCTGCTAGCTGAATTGTGTGTGCGGTGGAAATATGTGTCATGAATGGGGAGGGGAGGGTTGTTTGGTTGCAGCGTAGGCTACCATTGGGAGTGGGCGTGATGAGGGAATTGCTGCAGAGGTGGTGGAGACGAACTCCAGCCCAACGAGTTTTCTTGCATGATCGGTGCAGAGATACTCTGTGCAAACACCTGGTGCTGCGCAGCCTCCTCCTCCTGGCGCTGCTGGCGACGCTTGCGGTACCGACGGACAAACAGGACGGTGCCGACAGCATACAGCACAACACCACACGAGACGGCAATACCCACAATGGCACCGGTTGACAGTCCGCCACTGCTGGATGGTCCTTGGCTTTCACCCGATTCCTGATTCGAGACTTGGTTGGGGTCAGATGGGTCGGCGCTTTGTTCTGATTCGCTCGTAGCACCATTGTTGCCACCATTGGTGTCGTTGCTGCCGTCGCTATTGTTATTGGTAGTCGAAGCAACGAAATAGTTCGTGTCAATCAGCGTGGCCAGTTGCCCGTTCGATGCGTCGTACAAGTCGCTGCTCGGTGTTGCCACGAGGTTCTGCAGAGTCTCGACGCTGCCCGAAGGAATCGCCATCGACACCAAAATGCCCGAATTGCTGCTGGATTCATCCAACTGCTCTTCGTCGCGTTTCTTTTTGCTGCTACTCTTCTGGTCGCTGCTGTTGCTGCCGGCTGTCGTGATCGACACGACAATCACGTCGTCGGCAGAGACGCCAAGCGACTTGCTAATGAAGACCGGGAGTGACTGGACAAACTCGGCAGTCAAGATCGCATCGTTCACCATTTGTGGGTAGGACAAGTAGTTGAACTTGACTGCAACAATCTGGCTGGTCTCTGCAGGTATTAATAGTAAACAGGGAGGATTGATGTGTGTGAGTTTTGATGGTGGTATAGGGCTACATTACTTTTGCTATATATAGAAACCTTGTGTTAAATTAAAAAAGAAGAAGAAAACGTTACCTGGAATAATCGCATTGATGTTGGGCGCAATGAATTGAGGTAAGTTTTCATCGTCATCGCTGCTGGAAGGCGTTGCACTTGGCGTGGTCGTTGTGGTAGTAGAGGGAGTGGCGGTAGCGCTTCCATCGTTGGGCGTGGTTGTTTCTGCAGAAGCAATTGTGGTGGTGGTTGTGGTGGTCGTGTCCGTCTCCAATGCAATGCTGAACGTGTTTGAAAGCCACGAGTAGGTCTGGTACTTGTAAGTGGAGGAAGGTGTGAACGTCTCTTCTTCCTCATCTTCAGTCGTGGTTGTCGCCGTGGTTGTCGTCGGCTCTTCCGTGGTCGTGGAAGGAGGAGGAGTCATTGTCGGCTCCTCAGTGGTAGTCGTTGATGGGGTGGCCCATTCTTCTTTAGTAGTAGAGGTGGTAGTCGATGATGATTCATGCACAGTAGACGTAGTGGAAGTGGAGTACACACCATTGTGTTCTTTGTCATCATCATCATCGTCATTGGCAAAAGACGCAGTTGTTGTTGTTGTTGTTGTTGATGAAGCAGTTGGTGTGTAATCACTGAACGATGAAGACCAGCTGTCGTCCGTAGAAGTTGCTGTGTAGTCACTGGACGATGAAGACCAACCGTCGTCGGACGATGGCTCGGGGACCCATGTCACGTACGTGGTCCAAAACGTAGTGGCACCATCATAACTCTTGCTAACCGAGTTCGATTCAACCAAATCGGACGACGATTCGCTGGGCTTGTTATCATCATCATCATCATCGTCGTCGTCGTCGTTGCCTGGCGCAGATGTAATGGTCGCAGAGGGCACACTAGACGAAGAAGCAGATGAATCAGTTGGCTTTGAGCCACTACCACAACCGAGCAAATCGCCATCGGTACGCAAATGGCAGCCACTGTCGTTGGTAAGATCATGCGTTGTGGTGGTAGTAGCTGTAGGCTTTGCTTCACAATCTTTATCATCTTCATCACAGTCCTCTGGAGCAGCGGTCGTGGTCGGTTTCTTTGTGGTCGCAGTAGAAGAGGCAGCAATGCAATCTTCATCGTCGTCATCGTCACCAGTGCAATAATCAGGCGCCGCAGTAGGTGTTTCTTTCTTGGTAGTCGTGGTTGACGACGTCGTTTTGGCAGTGGAGCAATCTTCATCGTCCGAGTCGTCACACGCATCTGTTGGAGACTTGGTCGGTTTAGTAGTCGTGGTCGTGGTGGTAGTGGCGTCGCAATCTTCATCTTCGTCGGGATCACACTGCTGGTCTGGCGTTTTCGTTGGTTTGGCAGTTGTCGTGGTTGTTGAAGTGGTCTTGCAATCCTCGTCATCGTCCTCATCACAGCTGGACTTTGATGGCTTGGGGTTGAAAACGCTCGAGAACCAGCTCGCAACGGGACCTTGCTCTTCGTCATCGTCCTTTGCACCGGAAGGCGTTGGCGTTGGCGTCTTTGTTGTGGTTGTGGTTGTCGATTCAGGGTCCTTTGATTCACTAGGTTCTTTCTCCTTGTCCGTTTCTTTAGGCTCGGCCGTTGTTGTTGTTGTTGTTGTTGTCGATGTGGTGGTGGTAGTAGTAGTTTTTGTAGTTTTAGAAGTTGCTGCTATGTCATCTTCATCATCGTCGTCTTTGGCTTTACTACTATCATCGTCAGCATCCGATGGTGTCGGCGTAGGTGATGGCGATGTTGTGGTGGACTTTGTATCTTCGTCGTCATCATCACCTTTGTCGAATGCCTTTGATGCTGATGTAGTAGTCGTGGTCGTAGCAGGATCATCGTCATCATCGTCGTCTTTACCACTCGATTTCGACGGGGTCGGTGTAGGCGTTGGCGTGGTGGAGGATTCTGTATCATCGCTTCCACCATGAAAGAAATCCGAAACCTTGTCCCAAAAATCAGGCGAGGTTTCTTCTGGCTCGTGCGCGGTAGTCGTGGTTGATGTAGGATGATATGACGAAGATGATGCTAAAGACGTGGCGTTCGCTGAAACGGACGACGAATATGAGTGAGCCTAATGATAATAAACAACAATTAATTTTTTTTTTTTTGCATAAAAAAAGAAGAGTGCTTCAGAAACTGCATTTACTAAAAAGAGAGAGAGAGGGTGGAAAGTTTACATTGTGGTCTTCCGAATGATCGGATTGCTCCTCATCGGCTGAAACCAGAATCAGGGACGAGATGAAGAAGAGCAGGAAAAAAGCGCGCAGAACGAGAGAGCTGTAAGAGGGATTCCTTTTGATGACCATCTAAAGCAGCTCAACAGCCATTAATAATGATTGGAAAGGGGTGGTTTTGTATGTAGGATAGGGATGGGGAAGGGTATGCTAAGATATGAAAAGGAATTGGAATGGACGAAACGAGAGGAAGGAAGAAGAAGAAGAAGAAGTGAGAGAGGGGGAGGGAGGGAGAGAGAGAGAGAAGAGATAAAATAAAAGGGAAAAAAACAAAAGGTCTAGAGCGTGCCTTTTTTGGGGGAGGTGGCAAAAGGTTACGATTGTCCACCACAGAGAGAGAGAGAGTGTGTGTGTGTGTGTCGTACGTTTTCCATGGAACGACATGTATCGATTTAGTTATTCAGGGCAAGGCAAATGGCTGGGAAACCACGTTAACTGGCAAAAAGCCAATTTCACCTTGTCCTACGCTGGCCCGTTTGTGTACCCTCACCCATCACCAATTCCGCTGTGATCCATTCTCGGGCCTGCAGCACGTTGTTTCCACAACGCCTGCTGCTTCTCCAGAGGCCATTGCCCGTCTTGACATTATACATCGTTGACATCAAGACATACGCCCATCGACTTTTACCGGAAACAACACACACAAGCAATTGCGATACTACGTTTTTGATTTTTAATAGGAAAAGACAAACTCCAACTTGTGAACATCATTTAATCCCTGTCGCTGCGATCATTGCTATGCACACTGCGGTTATCATCGTTCTCCTGCTGCTGCTCATTGTTGTCGTTGTCATTCTTTTCCTTGTCACCCTCATCACCATCGATATCGTTGCGACGTGATGGCGAGCGATCCTCGTCGTCTTTGCCATCCTCATCCATGCGGTTGCTTCTTGTTCGTTCCAACGATCTAGATCTGGATCTGGATCTGGATCGCGAACGTCCTCCACGTCTTGAGTTTGCTGGTGACCGGCTACGGCTACGGCTACGACTACCGCTGCGACTGCGACTGCGACTGCGACTGGGGGATGATTTTCTCCTACGGCCCTATATTACAAGAAAGGTGGCACATACAATTTGGTCGGCCTTCAAATCTATTTTTTTCTTCTTGTTGTTTGGGCCCATCCATGACAAACGAAACGCGCTTAAACGCACACTTGTTTGAGGGAGGGTTGCCTAGAAATAAAGACTTACTGCTTCCGATAGAGTGATACGTTGCCCATTCAACCGCGCATTATCCAGTTCACGCAATGCATACTTCATATCTTCACGATGTGCGTACTCCACCACGCTAAAGTGCAAGTAGAATCAAAGAAGGGTTTAGGATATACGTGTCATTTTGTAAGACAAAGACGCTCTGAGAGGAGCCGCTTACCCTTCGCCATCACGGTCTTTCAGAATATCAGCAAATGTGACGCGGCCAGCCTTTTTCATCAGATCTTTCAGATCCTACATTATCATCTTTTTTTAGCTACTTCATTTCATGCACACGAGGTTGCTCTTTTTTTCTTATTATTTACCTGCCAGGTGCTTTCAGGTGCGACATTCTTTACAATGACACGGTTCACGCCTCTGTACATACACATGTAATCCATCATTGCAGAATGGTGGTATGTCGGTTACAATGAACAAGAAGAATCACGTTGAGTATCTTCTCTCTCTCTTACTCGCATACATCATCGCATCAAACAATGGATGATATAGAAAACAAAAGGGACTTACCGATCACGACGTCGGTTCATGGCTTCTTCAACGATGATTCTATTTTTATCGTAAGCAATTATATATTTATCAGCATATACACATACATATAGTCCGTTAGAGGAGTGAGAGTAGGAAAAAGAGAGAGATAGAGTAAATACCTCTGGCCCAAAAAGCGCGTGCCGTGAAGATCGTGCACTGCGTCTTCAGCATCCCGTTTGTCAGCAAATTCAACGAATCCAAAGCCATTCTTCACTGTTGTTTCTTCCAGTCGACCATATCCTCTAAACAAACGCTCAAGATCTCTGCGCGATGCATCACGTCCGAGTCTTCCAACATAAACTCTGACGCCCATTTTTCTTTTTTTGCTTGGTTTGTATGGTGCTTTGTTAAAAATGTATATATACGGTTTTAAATTCTTTTCAAAAGAGGATTAAAAATGTATGAAAAGAAAGGTGGTTTAAGCTCCAAAGCGAAAAAATAATAATAAAGAAAGAGAAAGCGGGCAAAGTAAAAAAAAAAAAAGTTTGGTGCGTATGTTGCGTGTTTGCAGTGTGCGTGTGTGTTGAGCACTGTTTGGTTTGCGAAACACTCCACTCTCAGTTGAATCAGTCACCTTACCAACCAATGAGATTGAGCTACAGAAACCTTAGTCTGTGAATCCCCCACTCTCTGATTTTGTAGCTTAAATTAAATGGGCAAAGTAAACGCACGCACCCTCATCTTTCTCCTGTCTCCATTGACTCTTCCAGCCGCCGCTGGCTATCCATAGATAAGCTCATACTACTATGCGAATACTTGGATGGGTCTCTTATTAATTCTAATATTACACCGTCAACGTGATTGCCGTCCCTTAATACAATATACTGCTACAGGCAGTTGCTACTTGGCAATAATGAACCTTTAACAGGATCACTCTGTAAACCAATCTACACTATCTTGGGGCATACACCTGGTAGCGAGTAGATGCGGGTGAATATAGATAAAGACGACTTGAAAGTTAGGCATTGGAGAACGACAATGTAGTAGTAGTAGTAGTAGTAGTAGTAGTGCTTGAGTGCTAGATTATGATGATCTACAACTGTCATCTCTTGAGAAGGTGGTTTTGGCACATGCTATATTACGTTCAATAGAATGCAAGATGCTATGCAACCTAATAATATTGCTTGTGAACCTTTAGATGCTTCTGACAGACTTACACCGTTGATGATTGATGAGCACTCAAGTTGCGCTAACCCCAATAATCAATGTTCTCGTGCATGATTGTGTACAGTATTAAAGCCCTGTGTGGGTGGTGATACACACACACACACACACACAATACTAGAACCTCTTTCTTCCTCTTCCTTTACCAACTCTTCTCTCACACACACTGCCCTTTCCTATACCCACTGTTCTCCTGGTCATGACGGAAGAAGAAAACTCATACGACTACGTGTTTAAACTCGTTGTTGTCGGTGCGTCAGGAGTGGGGAAAACGAACTTGCTTGGCCGCTTTGTCCACGACACGTTTGAGTTGGCAACCAAAAGCACGATAGGTAAAGACGTCAGAGATCATAAAGAGAGAGAGAGAGTCCGTGTAGGCTTTGTGGGCAAAGGAAAAGAAACCGAAGACAGTTGTCACATTTCGGGGCATAAGAGGAACGACGGCGCAATCTAACCTCAAAACTTTGACAATGGGACCCAACTCCATCTCAATTAGGACTTGATTTAAATATAAAGACAATGACTATTGACGACAAACGGGTACGCGTACAGGTTTGGGACACGGCAGGTCAAGAGCGGTATCGGTCTATCACTAAACGGTAAAAAAATAAAGTACACACCCACCGGACTGGTTGGTTTCAAGATTACTGACTGTATAAAATACACACACATCAGATACTATCGAGGTGCGGTGGGAGCCTTATTAGTCTACGACATTACACGCCACGATACGTTTGAAGATATTCCACGATGGCTGGGCGAGCTACGACTTAACGACGCACATCCAGATTCTATTGTAATGCTGGTGGGCAACAAGTCGGATCTGGCCGAGGATCAGCGAGCTGTTCCGCAAGACGAGGCCACACAGTACGCAGAAGAGAACAAGCTGTTGTTTATGGAAACATCTGCATTGGATCGCACAAACGTCGACAAGGCATTTGAAACTTTGGTGTATCAGATATTCAAGAAAATGTCAGGAAGATTGACAACGCTGGGGGATAAGCAGGCCATGATGATGCGGGGGGAGGCGATCAAGTTGGATCACGCACCCGGCGCCAACGGTAGTTCTGCAGCCAATACATGCAGTTGCTAAAGAAAGAAGAATGTATATATTTGAATATGACTTATTATCTAAAACTACTACTACTACTACTATTATCTGCCTAACTCTTACTACGTTGTCACTACTGTTATTGTACGCCGGAATATCTGAATCCACTTTTAATGAAATCATTCTGAGCACCCTTGCATGAACAAGAAACGTTGAGTGCATATCTTTTTATAAATTGATATACACATGCCCTTTCTCACATTTCCTTTGCTTTCTTTTCAGCTTTTCACAACATGCCACCCAAACGCGGAACAAAACGTAACTCGAAAGACAAAGGAAAGAAGGAAGAGGAGCCTCCGCAAAAGAAGAACAAGGGAAACGAAGAGCAAAAGAAGGATGTCACCACATCCGAGACCAAGTCTACTTCTCAAGACAAGCCTACTGTACTCGAAAAGGGTCATATCTACTTTTTGTATCGACCCAAGGTAAAGAGAGCATCATTACCGTATGTGTATCAACGCGTAATATGTGCATCTCGTTCATTAACCGCAAGGGTTTTCATTATATCTCCAGATGGATACAGAAGGAGTCAGCAATGTCGATGACGTACAAAAGGTCTATACTGTACTGAAACCCTACTGGAGCTCATGCAAGCCCAAGCGCGAAAACACGCTGATCGTGCTGGGCAAAAAAAAGCTACCTGAAACGCAGCGTCATTCGCGTTACTGGGGTTTCGTGGCCGAAGCATCCGACAATATCGACGACGTGGCCGGTGCGTTCAAGGAGCATTCTTACGAAACAAAAACACGAGGCGAACGTACTGTGCAACCTGCACGACCTGTGGTAAAATACTCTCTTTTCCCCTCTTTGAGCAACCCTTTCACCGGATTAAAGATACATGAAAAAAATTCATTCAATGTGTGTAGGGTGAAGGCGTCTATGAAATTGCCACGCATAACGGTCACTCGCATCTGGCATACATGCTGACCCTGCCAGACAAGCCGCAGGATGTCCAAAAGGCGTTCAATATTCAAGAGCAAGCGAGCATTGTCATTTCCGTCAAGAATCCTGACAGTTCAGCCCCTGCTCAAGCCGGTCTTCCAAAGCGACAAAAGGCCGAGTTTCCCGACGAGTTGAAGGAACTGTTTGAGAATCGGCGTTTTGTCGACATGGCGACGACGACCGAGTTCCTCAACTACAGCAACTGTGAATTGATGCTCGTTGGCGCGACGGAAAAGATCGAGACAGAGCTGGGCAATGCTGGGAAAGAGCTGGAAAAGATGGAGAAGGAGGATGAGGAGCACGTTGATTACGTGGGTGCGGACCAGAGTGTCTTTGACGAACTTGAGTTGTCAAAGAAAGAAAATCCAATTGAGCCATTGAAAGGCGAGTGGACCTGAAGAAGAACTGAAAATAAAGCTGTGTTACCAACACCTTTCTCCGTTTCCTTATTTCTGTCCTGGGAAAAGAGACGAATTGAAGCAACATTGACAATGACAAATATTGATGGCGGCCGAAAAGACAAGTGAGGAGTGCCCTCTACCCACCCTTTTTCTCTCTACTTTGTTTCGTTAACTTGAAACTTACACGGCTGACATGCAAACTTGTTTTTCAATGAAGCATGACAGTAGAGCCCAAGTTCCCGCGGGAAAAATACGCTAATGCCGTCTACCAGTACGTTAGCAGTTACCAAATCCTACAACGTAACGAAAACAACATTGCACGTGTCAAGCTCGCCAATGGTAAAATCCAAACGTTTGGAATGGGCGGTCCCTACGTGATTGACGGTGCCCATTCCGTCTATGTGGGTGACATTTGGGTTATGGCCGGTCAAAGCAACATGCGTGGTCATGGTTACTATAATGATGTCTATAACAACAACAACAACAACGACAGAAGCGCAATATTAGAGCCCAAAGCTTCTATTCACTTGTTTCAGTCCAACGAAAGATGGGCGATAGCTCAGGAACCAACACATAAACTCGCAGAGTCGCCACGTGCCGTGCATCGTCGTATTCCAGATCCAACTGTCCGCAACCCAAGTGCGCTCAACATCCGTGGCGCATCACTGGGCTTGGCATTCGCACAATCGTATCAAAAGCACAACGACAACAATGTTCCTGTGGGTCTGATCGCCTCGGCGCACGGTGGCACTTCAACAGCACAGTGGATGGAACGCGATCCAAAAAATCCAAGCAACACGCTCTATGGCGCCATGATGGAAAGGATTGCCGAGGTCGATGGTAATGTTGCTGGCTTCCTTTGGTATCAGGGCGAAACAGATGCATGCTCGTCAGATCCGACATCCTACTCGAAAAACACGATTAAATTGATCAAAGATATACGGCATGACATGGATTACGATATCCCGGTCGTGTGTGTGCAGCTGGGTCGCTGTATTGGCGGAAGCAATGTGCATAATGAATACTGGACGACCGTACGCGAAAACCAATACGATATCTTTATGCCGCAACGACAGCATGTAGATGACCGTCGATTGTGTGCTGTGTCGAGCATTGATGCTGGCATGGACGACTTTATCCATCTATCAGCACGCGGATTAGTCAAAGTCGGCCATCGTCTTGGCTTGGCTGCCTCGTATACATTGCAAGGCAAGGCGTATCTGGCATGTCCACGGATAAAATTTGCTGGATACGAGGAAAAGAATGAATACGGGGAGTTACGGAGCACGATCAAGGTTACATTTGATAATGTTGATGGAGATGCTGTGAAATGGTCACCCGTGGAAGGAGATGTCCTTGGGTTTAGCTTACATACTCAAGATCACGAAGAAAAACTGCCTATTATTCTAAGTGCTCGCATCGAAGATGAGCGAAACGTACGCATCTACTTGACGCGAGAGGCATTGCATTTGCATGGATCATATGTGTTGTACTATGGTTGGGGTAAAAATCCATGCTGTAACTTGACAACAACATCAGACATGGCATTGCTCGCTTCGTCCATTCGTTTTGCTGTTGAGCACGCCCATTAAAAGTTCTTATCGATGTATATATATATATATACTCATTCTTTCCACCCTCCAACCCTTGTCTTTTTTCCATTGTCTACCTTCGTCGTAAAATTTTGTAACAATGCATTATACAGTATCGAAAAATCCACATCTTTATAAAATAATGACAGACATCACCATATGTAGTTCAGACATCAATAAAAGATGCGCATGAGCAAACAACATACATGGCGATTGAGCTTGCCTTACACTTAATTACGTATATAGCAAGGTAACAACTACTAGGGGGGGGGTCGGTTGGTAAGACGACCTCCTTGAACTTTATTATCATACACCGCTCGAGTGAACAGCCAGAACAATAAAGATTTAGAATCGTTGATCAACTTGAGCTCTGACCGAGTAAAAACGACCATGCCTAAACAAGAGGTACTGTTAATGGACAATTGCGGAGTCGATCAACGTGGTGGGGAGAAAGCGCTCGCTTTCAGTACCCATCCCTCGTCGAGGAGATTAACTTTAAAAGATCTATCAGCCGAGAATTCTCTTATTTCCTCTTTTCGCTGTTGCTATGATCGTCTTCTTGCGAAAGCTAGCGAGACTAAATAACATCAAGATATAAAAAGATCCCTATTAATAAGTGCGTGCTTTTATTTGACACGCTGAGGAGATCATGCTCGATAAAGATCTTCGTCAACCGAATTACTGCAGCTGCCCCTTCTTTTTTATTTCAAATCAATTCTTTCATTCGATAATAATATGCTTGGTTTTATTTCCCAACAATAAGATAGTGAGGCCAGGAATGAAAGCGTTTTTTATTGACATTTTATCGAAGCAACCACGCCCTTGTTTTGCGCACTGAGGCTTGTACCAGTATATAACGGTTGTTCTTGACACTCCAAATCATTATAGAGGTTGCAGATGGTTGAAGTATCTTCCGTCGTGAATCCACAAAAATCTTGGTACGCCAGATTCTTTGAGCATGTGTCAGGTGGTACCATAATCGTGATTGCATCGTTCTGCCCGCAATAGGTCACGTAGATGGTCACGGCTGATACTATTTGCGTTGATAATAGTAATAGAGATACGCCGAGGGATGATAGTACAAATGGCGATAGATGCATTATGTTGATGGTTGGTTGTGGCAATCGGTGAATGGATGTTTCTACGTAGCTGTGCTTTTTTTTATTTGTATACAAAGTATCTGTATGTTGTAATATATGATGATGGTAAGCGAGAAAGAAGAAGAGAGAAGGAGAAAAAAAAAAGCGAGATGACGCTTACATTTTTTTAAACTGATTTCTCCTCAGAATCCGTATTCTATTGGGTAATGAGCAAGGTAATTATTTAGGAGTTGATTGCTAATTATGGTGAAAGGTAAAGAAGGGCATGGATTGTGCTTAGGAGCCCAGGTGAAAAACGCACTAGCAATTTTCGGGAAAAAAGAAGGTACTCCAAGTGTACTACTCATGGATAAGTACGCTCTAGAGCACCGACATAGCGATTGTATACTTGGTCCCTGCACATCTCCCAACAGCCTTGGGCACTCTCGCCCACCTCCTTTTTTTTCTTCGAAAAGTGGCATACGTTCTAGCCTCTACATTATTGACCCGTGAAATATATAAGCGATACCGTCTCTGCATCCTTTGGATTTCTTATAACATAGGATTATTGCTCTTATTTCTTACAGGGAAAAAGATGAGAAAATTTAATAGTAGTAATATTCAACCAGCAGTAGAACAAAAATTCCACACTGTTTGATTACTAACTAGCTACTAAGTGATATGTGTAGTATAAGGGAGTAGTTTTCAAGTAAAAAAAACCTTCATTTACTTCTACTACGAAGGAGGAGATAGTAGAGAATCTGGACTACCATGTAAGAATGGAGAGTCGACAGGAGGAGTGGAACGCTGATAAGAAAAGCGGTTAAATGGTACTTCTTGCTTTCTATACTGCTTACTTGCGTTAATGACGGCTCTGCTTTTGAATAGAGGAGTACTCCTTCGTAGTTATCATCGGGCTGCTTTTTCTACTTTTCATAAAAAAAGGGAGAATCCGTGGAAAGATTATTTAGTTAGGGTTACTCCGGACTTGTAACAAAATGACAAGGAATCTTCATTCTCTTTTGCTGCTATGCGAGATTCAATAGCTTCGAAACGTGTGTGTACGGTATCAATAATTTGAGTATAGTGAAGGCGCAATCTTGCTTGTTTTAAGTCGTTTTCACGTTTACTACTTTCATCAGTGATATTTTAGGTTTATCGGTAGCATTGAAGCAGGTAGATCACTCCTCATTGCTATGCATAGCTACTGTGGTCTTCAACGAACAGGTTGTGGAAACAGCAGAACAACAGAATATAATCCACCTTAATAAAATCGTAGGAAAGTAAATAAGTACAATTTATTTTGAGAGGGAGGGGAAGACAAAATGCGATTGTGTCATTGTACACTTGTTTGGTGAAGATGGCAACCGAATCAAGTTGAATGAAAGTAGCACGAATCTCTCAACAAGCGTAAATTATCCAACCGATATACACATTGTAGTGGTAGTTGCCAAGGGTAAATCGTTTGATTATCGTGAATATATAAGTGAATATATAATAAACACATTATCGTAATGAACCGGTTTGGACTGCTTCTTTGGCGTCCGGCTATTGGCAACAACTACTAGTGTTTCATTTATACTATCGCCAATCGTCGGAAGAATCGCACTGGACGGTTCAGCACAGAAAATCAAAGTACAAAGGTGAAGAAGAGAGAGAGCGAGAAGGCACGGTGGTAATGAAGTCGCACTGTCTCTATTCTCAGATTTCGATGTAAGTAGGATACATGCTCGAGACGAAAACCAGCTTGTAATTTTGAGAGTACCTGTCATTGTTGGTGCATATAAGGACTTTCACTCGTTGACAACACCCTATTTTTATCATGGACTGTGCTCGACACACCCACTCTTCTTAATCTTACTACGCGCCTATAAGAGGGACAACAAATCTTAGTCGGGAGGGATGATTTAATTCAAAAGAAGAGGGTTTAATCGGACCATTGAAACTGACAATGATGCACGATCGCTATGTTCTACATCTCTTAACCAATTTTTTTGTGATGACTTTAAACTATTGTGTTAGTACTCCCACCTTCTTTACAGACGAAATGTGGATAGAGTACTTATACGGTGCCCTACATAGTTTTTTTAGAGTCAGCTGTTTCGTATGCATGGCGGCATGCTTCGAATATTCTGTAATCATTTAGCCTTGCATGTTTATTTTTCCAATTTCTGTTGCGGGTTTGTTCACCAGCTCCAATTATTGCTATAAAGAAGTGATGCTTCCCCCCAGCTATTGTAAGCAGGCATATAATAATAGAACCGCTTTTTTAATTTCTTTAATGTTACGCAGCAGTTTTTTTCACCTGGCTTTTTGCTGCTGTAACCATTAGCATAAAAGGTAGTACAGTGATTACACAAGCCACTGTTCTGCATGTAATATTACAAGAATCATCAATGCATCGATGTCGCGTTTTAAAATAGCTGCAGTATAGTTGATTTGCCATTTTCCCGACCTCTTTTCTCTTAAAGGTACTGATTTTAGCGATTGAAAGGTATTCATGCAATTGTAATCGGCAGTACTAGTACTATCACTGCCCATGCAATACATGATATAAAAGCGGTGCATGGCAATGAGAGAAGGTAACGGCTCCTAAACCCAGTGTAGAAATGGACGACATAATAAGAAAGCTGTTTATTTCGTTATCCCCAAATTATAACTTATATCAATTCTTCTTCTTTTATATTCATACGCTGCGACACTATCAACATAATCATTGTAGTCTCCTATACTATATCATTATTTGTACCCAACAATAAAGCAGTAGGAAAGCCATAAAAATAAACTCAGAAAAGCACCCTAAATATTTACCTCTTGCATAAATTGTTTGACGTAGCCGTTCAAACACACCAACACGAAGTCTGGCGTCGCTACCAACAGCAACAGCCTTCATAAGCCAATGGCAGGCCCCAAAAACGCTAAGAAATGCCAAGGGTTCCTTAGCATCGAATGTAAATACGGATAGACTTTAGAATAGAAAACGATATTGAACAATCACCTCTTTCACTTGAATAAAACTTTCAAAACTTATATTGTACATAGCTCCTTACTTGTGCGTCCTAACCTATTGCTCTTTCCTGCTAAACGGCTTATTTTATTCAGGACACCTTACAGCAAAGACTGAAGTCATTTTCTTCTAATTTGTTCTTACTCTCTTTGGTTTACATATCAGCCAACCCAACGTTGCAATAGACGATATTATTGCTGGTGCTTACTAAAAACTACACTTCGAACGCAAGCTTAGCTAAGGCTCAAAACCGAAAACCGCGTTATCAATATCCGTCGATAAAATATGACCTGGCGGTATACTTTATCAATGCACACAATCGCGCTCGTCTTTAATTATAGGAATGAGTGGTAACCAAAGCATTGCAGATAAACTCCAATACATTGGCTAAAGTCGGTGAGAATATACTACTACTACTACTACTACTACTACTACTATGATAGCACGATGTAGAACTAAATAAGAGAAAAAGGTGTCCAGTGTAGGTCCTCACATCCTAGCTTTGTTATGTTAGGTGCCTTCTGCCTTCTAAGCAGAATTATATGTAAATGTAGTAAGATGTAAAGAGTCGTCGCGATCGAATTTGTTCGTCCACCTTTCGTTGGGTTGCTCGTTAGCCCTGACAAATTAGACCCAAGCGCAAAGAAAATTAACAGCGCGCAAAGGGAAAGACCACAATAGAGCACATGATGATTGTAATCACAAATCTCATGACAAATAATAGTACAGTAACAGTGTATCTCCTTCTATTCTTGCTCTTACTATCCACCGTACGAAGTCGAGCACGTTGTTTATCCCTTTTTCTACAATATGTAAAGATGCTGTGCATCCCGACAACATCATCATTATTCTTCAGGATCATAAAAGCGATAAATGCTTTTCGTATTTCTCAAAACGGCTTTATTATCACGACCATGATGTATCTTGTATATCATGGTGAGCTGAAAGAGTATGTACTTAAGCAACATATTAGAAATTCTTGCTCACATGATAATTAGAGTTATTAACACTTTGCTTTCGGATATAATGTAGTTGCTATTACTCAATCAAATCATAGTAATAAGCGGTAATAAGCGTCTTAGTTGATTTATCGTCAGTGCTATAGACTCTTGCTCATCGACCTACGTTATGTAGATGAACATTTGTTGCGTCAATTTGAACTGATAAAATTCTTCAACGTAAGCTGTTATATCAGTTGCGTATATAAAATACATATTGTTTCGAGCTAGGGTAGTCTATCAACGATATATGAGGACTAATATCCTACTGGTATTAATTATCTAGTAGTTTTAAAGAGAAAAAAGGCCTAAAGCATATTGTTGCAGTAGCGAGTACCTTACGAAATTATAACCACTGCCAGTGGAAATGATATATTAGGCGCGTAAAGATACGGATGATAAAATGTATGATATACAACAGACTATGGATACTTCAAAATGATAAACGCTAACTACTGCTATTTTTAAATCAAGTGTCAAGTATTTTCTATGTATACACCAGGTATATAAAGAAAGCCAGAAAGTTTGTGCTTACAATATACCAATATGCATTTTCTTTTCTTGATCGTTTCGCTTTTACTATCGCTGCTGGCATGGCGCCAGCCTGCGTTGGCCGCCCCAGTTACTGACACATCCAGCGCTGAGGTACAGCAAGTGCAAGAACAACCTCTTGCAGACGAACAGCAACTGTAAGTTTGTTATGTAGTTGGCGGCTATACTTGGTGGAGGTTGGCGTGTGGGAATAGAGAACATGAAAGGTATAACCGAAAAGGATATAAATTTAGTGAGCAACAAGAAGCCCAACCCCAGCAATTTTGGCCCATTCCTATTATGTGGCCGACAACTCCACCATGGTATTATCCTCCTCCTCCTCCCCCTCCCCCTCCCCCAGCATATCCTCCGTATCCTCCATCTCCTCCCAGCCCTCCGCTGCCTCCGCTGCCTCCACTCCCACCATACCCACCCACTCGCAGATAAGGTCAAAAGAAAAGAGAGCGGATAATCATCTCTATTTTTGTCTCGGGGACTAGCATAAGCAACAATATTCAGTTTTCTTTCTTTTTGTACCAACTCTACGCATAACAACAATGACACCAACAACAACCTATAAGTTCCATTTTTCTTTCCAACAAACTACCATGGCTTTTTCTGTAACCTGATTCCGCTCCGCTTTCTTTCCAGCAATAAAGTTCCTAGCCCCACTTTGCTACTGTTCAATTTACTTTATATACTGTAGATAGTGTACCAAAGTGCTTCTTTATTCCTTGATTTAGTTCGTAATGTATTGCATGTTATAACGCCGACATTACGAGCAAGTAAAACGCGTGTTTATCTTTGCGCTAATGGATATTCATTGCTACGACTATAAGCAGGGTACAGCCGAAAAATAAAACCGCTGTCTGTGTTACGTTTCAGATATAACAAAGCATGAATTATGAGATATATTAATAGACAGCTAACATTATTAGGGTGTGGGGAGGGGATAATACGAGAAGAAGCAGGATCCAAGAACGACCAGGAAAGGGACTAGTCGCTAATAGTAACATCAGTACTCAATATCGCTATCCTCATCACTGAAACACTTCTCATAACCGTCTTCAGAGGAGTAATATACGTAATCGTCGTCTTTTACGAAACAAACGTGTTTTCGACCACAATAGGATGACTCGCCCAATTCTTCATAATCACTTTCGAAATCTGGGTATTTCATGATCAATGCTGTATCTTTCGCTTAGTCGCTGATGCTTGCTGTTGTCGTCATCATTGCTAATTCTGGAGTGCTGATTGAAATCATATAAGTGCGCATCGCCTCCATACTCAATGTGTACATTAAGAGAAAGTTGACCTTGGTATTCCTTGATGAGTCGAGACACTTTTTGCTTACAAACAACACGTAGCCGTCATAAATCGTTAAGCGCACCATATTGCGCACCGATGCTAGTGTCTTTATCTGCTTTCCTCTAATCTTGCAGCTTGCTTTGATTCGTAGATCCTATACATGTGAGTCGCGCAGGGTGTTCGTGATATCCACTAGTACTTGTGACTTACGGATATTAGTGCCACCCTCCCGCAAGATTTAGCTTTGTAATAATTCCGTGGACCGCAGCATCTTTTCCAATATGTGGTAGAAATATTAGTGTGGTTGTTGTCTTAATTCTGCACACAAAAGCTCATAAGACTAGATGCTGCTGGGCCACTGAACAAGGCGTCAATTCCACTAAGAGATATACATCCTTTCTGTCCGTACCGCTCTGCAACTCTTTTGGTAGTATTCATGAATCGTTCGGTGTCGCATAAATTGATAGAAACTTGCCCAACTGAGCAAGTTTATTAAGTGTATCAAGGATATCATCCCCCCAGCAAATCGTTCTATCCGGATCAATCAATGTGCATACTCACTCTAGATAATAAACCTCTGGCATGCTGCTGATTTTGCAGCTCTCATCGCTATTGGCACGGTTACAATCTTCAAATACACGATCGTAGTTGTGCTGCATCTCGACGTCAGATTGGTATGCAAGGTTTTTAAAGCTTGTGTGTATGGCTCGATTGCTTGACTGTAGTTTTGTGCTGCGTAAGCTTACCGTCCCTGGTCGAATGCTGTTCGAGTGGCAGTAACGTCAAGTTCAGTTAACGTCAAACGAGAATAAGCGCCATGTGCAACGATTGATTGATTGTCTGGCTAGACTTTGCATTGCTGTTATGGCAGACAATGTTGTGGTCAAAGAAGTAGTTTTGACACGGAAAAAAGCCTCAGTTCTATATTCAGGAAAATGCCTGACTCAGGGCCGGTGTTGATGGCTGGAAGCGGTAGAACCTACTAGAGGCATCTGGATGATCAATAAGCCGATACTATACGAATGCAAGGACCCACAAGCTTTGTAAAAAGCTATTTGTGTTGATAAGCTACGCAGAGTAATTTTACCTGAATAGTACTGCTGCAAAAAGCAGTTGAGCTTCAGACGGGGAATCGAGTCCCTGGCACTATGAGGTTTTGGTTAATTTGCATAATGCATATATGCATTGTGTGTTTCATATGAAGTAGTCTAGTAAATACATGTATGCATCATGAAATCTATGGTAACGCAAGACTGAGAAGCTTTGCCGTAGCTCGTTACATTTAAGGAGTAGCTGAGGTCTTTTGTACACGTTCCGCCACCGGAACCATCAAAGAATATGCCTTTTTTTCTTCCCTCAATCAAGTAAAACAACCATATCACTTCTTTCTTCGAACTCGTCAACATCCATGGTACCACTCAAAGTTATTTGCGCAGGCTTTGGCCGTACAGGAACAGACAGTTTACGATTAGCGCTGAATCACTTAGGGTAGTACTTTTAAAACCATGTGATGTCTATCGCAACCACATTATTATATACCTCAAAAATAGTAGCTCATTGTAGAAGTACGAGCAGGTACAACACACACCATATGTACGTCATGATGAATAACGAAGGAGAGCAAGATCCGGAAGCCTTCGAAGATGCTTATAGACATCCAGAACGTGAGGTGGATTGGGATAAACTTTACGCCGGGTTCAGTGCAGCTGCAGACTGGTAAATATACGAATTATGAAGCAGCGATAACAGTAACAGCGTATAAAAGTAGAGGGATAGAAGAGAGGGCGATTTCCATCCATTGTTTAACGTATCTGCTTCATTTTTTATTTTCGATGCGGTGCGTATATGATGACAGGCCAACGATCGCGTTCATCGAACCGTTGATGAAAAAATATCCAGACGCCAAAGTAATTCTCACTGTCCGCGATCCAGAAGACTGGTACAACTCGTTCAAGAAATCTCTCTTTGAAATTTCTCAGATCGATGGTGGATTCTTTCCAAAAATCCTACACTTTACCAGCAACGCTTACAAAGTTTAATAAATACGGTTGTACTTGATGGCGCCTTTGCCGATCCAAAGCAGTTTTTAGACAAAGGAGCAATGAAAGCTAAATTTCTTGCTCATAACAAGCGGATTCAAGAAACCATTCCCGCCGATAGTCTATTGGTCATGCAAGTCGGGGAAGGATGGAATCGCCTCTGTCAATTTCTAAATAAGCCAGTTCCTGATATTCCTTATCCGCGTACCAACTCCACTGATGACATTGCTCGGTATTATATGAAAAAAAGAGAGGAAAACTGTAAGAACAAAAATGAAAATGTACTTTGAGTATACCAAAGTCGTTCATTTATCGGCAATCACGAATAAAATATGATATGATATACTGAATAACCAGTGATTTTATTTGATATACATTTATATCAAAAGCGGGAAACTTTAACAAAAAGGTTACTAGCACAATTGATTTTATTAAAAGCACCAAGGTATTATGATCTCGTTAGCAGCAACAACGGTATTGTTGTTCCTCTGAAAAATGATTTGAATAATCGACTCGCGAGTTTTTCCGTCGTACTCGTTTTTTATGCAGATACCGGCTTACAAGTCTTCGTGAGTTGTGCACTGTTCGTCGATTAAATCGATCAAGTTCTGTAGTAGTTACTAGCGATGGATTCGGTGCTGAAATCGGAGAGTAACAGTACGGTTGAATTAGCATAATCTCGTTATCTTCTATGTCGTCGTCGTTGTTGCTGCTATTGCGATCACTAAAGCTCTGATAATCGCTTAGCTCATACTCTTCGCTAGGAACATGTTGCTGCTGCTCTGATGCTACGGTAACGTTGGTATGGTTATGACCTCTTCCTGCTATTACTGATTGTCGATTATTAGCGGCACTAGGATACTTGCTCTTACTGTCATCGGCCGTCGTTATGTCACCACTGGTTGTTGGTACAGGTCTGACATGCTGCGTTGACCTTGAAACTATATCAGTATCGATGTTGATGTTTTCGTTCGAATGAATATAAAAGGTGCCATTACTGCCGCTATCGTGAGGAATCAAATCAGCAGCCGTGGTACTTTTGCTGCTGCTGACACTACCACGACGAGAGCTGTAGCCTCTAGGGTGCGGCAGTGCTACTGGTTTAGTCCCCTTCTCCATGCTTTGTTTGTGTACGTAAGCTAAGAATATTGATTTCGTTTGAGAGTAAAGATATGTAAACTGTAGTTCTGCAGATATAAGAGGGAGATGGCTTCCACCCAATAGTTGTACCCATGACGTTTTTATAAAGTAAATTACTTACATATTATTGTTTTTAAACCACAACCACTCACTGTTTCATTGTTAGCTCCATCTTACTTCACAACCACATCATAAGGATTTTTTTAACGAGATTTCCCAATGCTCATTGTATTACATACAATTTGTGCAGTCGAATGTGGTAGGTTTGTGAGTGCGTCCTCATTGTTGCTATTAGTTTCATTCCTTCTATGTATTACTACTACAGTAGATACCCAAGCAATACATTTGGTACTAGAATGAAGCATAATTATCTGCTTAAGAATGCATGAGAAGCTATTTAAATTTGACGGCATTGCAGCATAGTGATGCTACGTATCCTAGACGAGTTTTCTCTCATGCTGATATCGTATGTTGATGATCACTTTTATCCATGTAAAGAGTTGTCGATGGTTAATAGCCAGTAAGAGCGAGCAAGAAGAGCTGTCCGTTAGAAATAAGGTTCTAACAAAAATGTACACTTTTTAGTTAATCTGTACTAATATCGTTAACATGATAGCAGCATGATGTGAACGTTTGATGAAATGTCCAAGTCTATTAGCATTCCAGACATCTGATAACGGATGTATGAGTCTTTTCAACCTGCCGACTAGATACCGGGATTGTGTTATTCTTTTTAGATAAAGAGCGAGGCGACAGCTTCGATAAGTAAAAGAGATTCTTGCCTTCCTGGCAAATTTCTTTCCTTAAACAATGTTTATTTTAGTGTGAATGCCGTTGATATGTAGGCCGAAAGAGAGGCTGCCGTTATTTTATATAGCGAGTTGGTGAGTGAAGTTTGCAGCAACTTATTTTCTGATTTTATGGTATTAAAATTTCATATGTATCAAAGTGGGGAAAACGATAATTGAAATTGCGTAGTATATTATTGGTACATTTATCAACCAGAAAATTAGCTTTATTTAAGTGGTGCTCTAACATGCAAAGTACGACCATGCGCCTTTGCCCATTCTACACAGTCTCTGTTTTGCTGCTCACATAAAGTCAGCAATACTTTACGTTTGACCATCTCGGCCACCGGTTCCCAATCGTTCACTAAATGACATTCCTTCATCTCGAAAACGACAAGGTTCCGACAATGCTTCACAAACGCATGGACTGACTTGTTTGTTAAACGGCGACAGTTATTGACGGATATCCGTTCCAATGCACGATTCCGATGCGTGGCCAATAGCAACATGCACTCGTCCGTGATATCGCAGCCAGCCAAACCCAAGACGCCGATATTTGTATGTTGAGCAACCAGATTAATCGATGCATTCGTAATCCGTTCACGGTCGCGCACTCGGCCAACGTTGAGATGGTACAGCTTCGGACACCTCAATGCAATTTGTGTAATGGACTTGTCGGATACATAACCACAGGCACGTACGTCCAACAGTGACAGATTAGGACATGATTCGGCGACTTGGGTAACTAGTGCGTCAGTGATTTGATAACAACCGGCCAGTGTCAAGTGAGTCAGCGTTCCATGATGCAAAAATGTAAATACAGATTTGTCTGTAACTGAATCGCAAATATACAATTCTAGCCTTTCGATCCGTACTGCGTGCTTTCCAACTTGTTGCAATGCTTGTGTAATCGGTGTGGGGTCTTTAAACTTGCGTAAAGTGAGTGATCGTAGTGTTCGTCGATATGTGTTCAGTCGTTGTGGTCGTTCATCTAGTATGGGATCGTTCAAACGGGACAAAAACGCTGAAGTATATGGATAGTCCGTGTTGTTGCTGATGTTCTGTATCTTGTGTTTTGAGACCAATGGCAATATTCGATGTTGATGTACGGAGGTAAGACGTGATGTTTCGTCGCTATTGATACTGTCGAACGGGTTAGCCACGGCCAGCGAGGCAGGTGTACTATAGGGTGCGAGATTGCGCTGCTGCGACAGCACTGGCTCATCGGAGAACATAGAAGCAAATTTAGTAAATGCTTCGTAGTTGGCCTTATGTTCGCCAAACTGAAGTGTTCGGTAAATGGCACGCGAGGCACAGTCTTGCCATAGCCGATTTACAAAAAGACATTGATATAAGTTGCTCTTGTCATTCTTGACTGCCGCTGTGGCTGCGGTGTGGCTGCTGCTGTTGGCGATATGTGTAATAATATTTGTGACAATTTCTGGTAGCTGTAATGCTAAATGAGTACGTTGTTGCTGCTCGTAAGTTGCTGTGGCAGTGGTGGTAAATGCTTCTAGCATGGTTGCTTTGCTGTTGTTGTTATAATCATTAAAATAACAGTGGTTCATGTATATACAAATGCGAGTAAAGTTGTTGCCCCGCAACTACTTAAAAAGACGAGAGTAAAGGAAAGGAGAAGTCTCGCAGAGCTGCTTCACTTCCGAGGATGATGTTCATGCACGGAAGTTTTTTTGATGGTGTTACATGCCCCAACTTTCAGTTAGCAAATAAACGGAAATTTAATCCTTGAAACTGTGATGTGGTGCGCCAATGTACTTGATCACACGTATCCTGATTTTGTGTTTCTATTAAAGACGTAAAGGTCACCTTACATACACGACAGGAATCTATACGAAACAAATCAAGCTCTTAACAGAAAGGTAGTGTTAATGCTACTATCAACCAGAACAGACTGGGGGCACATTAACAGCAATGATCCGTTGCTGTATTATCCTAAACCGGTGCAATCTACGTCGGCTAAAAGCACATTCACCTGTACAAAAGAAAAAAAAACGTTTCAGGCGGCCAGTACATACATGACAGTTCATGGGTAAGAAAATCATGTTTTCATAAACCTGCACTGCAAAGCCTAAAGTCGAGCAGCATGGTTCACAGACATAGTTTCAAAAGAACTCTTTTCTTCACTGTAGTCGTAAAAAGCGACTTATGATGGATACATCCTACCGTCATCGTCATCGTCATCTTCAGTTGACGGAGAAACAATCACCAGGGAAAACAAACTAATGCGAAAACCGCCATTAGCTGAGCATATATCGAATATGTCAATGCAGCATCGCCTCATATTGCATGGAGCAAACATTGTGACGCATAGTTAGCACAAATTTTGGTGACTATTCTGCTTTTACAAGTGCTATCCTTACACATTACTCTTCTTAATACTTTTTTTGCCCTTCCTGATAAACCCACATAACATCCATACAAGAACTAAGAATGAGCATCTGCTTCACTGTAGGTTTTCCCGTGAATTTTTAATTTTATTAATACTACCTTAAAGTTTGCGAAAGAGAAATGAGTCGAAGGGTTTAAATGGGGGAGGAAGTATGAAAATATACTATATACACACACAGATACAATTTTTTTGTTTCTTTCTGGTTGGGATATATATATTTATATATATTATGTACATGTTAGCGTTTCTTTTTTCTTTCTTTCTAATGATGATGATGGCTATGAGGGCTGCTGTTGCAATGGTGATTGTGGTGCTGCTTTTGTTGATGATAAGGTTGTTGATGTTGATGATGGTGATGATGTTGCTGATGTGTAGGTGGTGCTCTTTGAGCATAATGGTCGTCACAATAATCCAGCATATCGACTGCAAGTTCTACATTAATTGAGATGATAGATGAGCTTTTGTTTTCGTTTCTTTTTTGCAAGATGTAAACCACGTCGCTGAACATAGTTCGCAAAAAATAAAATGATTACCTGTAACTTGACCAGGTTCAACACCTATAGTTTCCCACCAGTCTGAAGGCGGATCTTCATCAGAAAAATGCCAGGCAAGTATCAAAGCAGCAGCAGCAATTATTTTTGGTCTGTATAAAAGACATAACGGTACACCTAAGCTATTTAATAAAAACGTGATGTGTAAGCCCACCTTTTGCTGGATAGAAGCAATCAATAACAGCAACAGTAAGTATATAATGTAGAATCAATAAAAAGACAAACCATTGGTATAGAAACATCCATGCTCTTTTGGTACATGTAGGCGACACTATAAATGTAATATATCCACCCGAACATTTAGTTTCCTAAACACAAAAACAAGAAACCTGTGGCCTCAATTTCTCTCCATAATCTTACCTTTTAGCTCTTTTTCCATGTCTAAAAGGATGATATGTGGATGTTCGATTGCAATATCGAAACAAAGGGTGTGCAATAGAATTGTTTCATTGCACAGCATGGTGTCCTTCCATTTATTAAATTCCTATCAATTCCGTTTCAGTACATTTTTAAGCCATTGCCGAGAACCGTATTCTCTATACCTTTGAATCTTCTGCGAGATGTAGCTTGTCATTCTTTGCAGCCTTCTGTGAGCATACGAAGATAATATCTTTAATTCGCCTCGTGCATTCTTCCACTTTTGTTGCAACAAATAAGCTCGTCGCAGCAATATCCTGTATAGTATTAATAACACAATGCCAATGTTTTAGCTAAGAAATTTCCACCAGCTCTTCTAATAGTCAGTCTAACACCAGCGGTAACATAAGAGACTTACATATACATGAAATCGCGTCATGGATTGTCTCATGAAAAATCTGTGAAAGAATGTGCAGGCTGTGGAAACGACAAGTTGCGGCCTTTTTTTTTGTTGAATGATATGAATGTTTGCACAATTAGTGTTTGCCACAAAAAGCAACTTAATAATCATATCCCAGATTCCACTATGTGTATGCATAACATGAAAAACAGAAATGATTTAAACGTACAAGTTTAATTTGGCAGCGATCGCAAGCAGATACAGACAACCTTTGGTTCGATCCAATTGCTCTTGCTGAACGGTCATTCCATCAGCGACGGACGGTGTGTACTGCAGGTCATCTTTGGAAAAATACCACTGTAATACGAGCAAAAACGATTGATTAATCAAATATGGGGTCTAACGATCGAACAAACCGCTGGTTTTTCCCTTTCTTTTCTCAATGCTTTTACCTGATCATTAACCATGCCGAGCACCACACACCACTTAGTCGGTCAGCGAACCCGAAAGAAAAGGTAATTTCACCTATTATATGATGTCACCCGTCACAGTTTCAAGTTACGACTGATCTAATTACACTTTGTATGCAGTTTTTTGAGTGCAATAGACCAACGGCTCACTTATATTATATAAGTTAGGGTATTCTTCTGAGAGAAGCCATCAGTTTAATAATGTCAGCGATCCATGGCTTTTCATTTCCTTTTATTATACCAGCTAAACCTTTGGCCGAGCTTCTTTCGCGTACCATTAATACCTATAGCAACTTCTTATGTATATTATCTCCAACTTTTATGTATTTTATCTCAAAAGCTTGAGCATGCAAGCTGTCTGGGGCGAGACTAAACGTTTTTAAATTGTAGTGGGGAGCATGGAGTAGATTCTAAGGACTTGTTGAGTGATCTTATATGCAACAATTTCAGCTTAGCGAAGTGTCAATTTTCATGCTTGGTCGACGAGGATCTCTATTTTCAAGGATCCTTTTACTCTTTAATATATGCGCGTACCCCATACCACGATTTCTTATTTTATAAATGTAGATTATGGCTCTTGACTAAGACCATACATAGCATCACTTCTTCTTTACATACTCTCAACTTTGGGTTTAATAAATTCAAACGTCACACATGCATATGCCTGATTAAAAGTTGACTTAAGGTCCGCCTTGCCTCTTTTCTCTCTCGCACTCTCGTTTTAAACGCCTGTACCTGAGTCTTTATATACTGTATATTATTTTTTACTATCAGAGTGCTCGACTGTATAGATATCGCGCCTGCGAGCATAAGCAACAGAAAACACAGGAGGGTAAGGCTTGTACACACGTATTTGCCTCTCTATACACCTTATCACTCATTCAAGTTGTTTGTTATCTAGCGCTTTTGAAACAAAATGACAGCAGAAACAGCGACTCTTCAATCCGTTGAAGTATATACAAAGGGAACTAAGGCTTGGTTTACCGACAAAACTGAGGGATGGATCTCTACGACATGCATCTCCAACTCCATCAGCGGAAATAAAGTGGCCATCACATTTCAAGGCGATAATGACCTTCAAGTACGTGTAAGCTCTTTGCAACAGTTAGTAATGTAGGCGCGTTCCGCCGGTCTTGCTTGTTCGGTCCGAAAGTTACATTATGTTGCTTTCAAGAGCGGACTTGCGTGTGCGTGTGCGGATTATTAAACTATAACACTGCTGTGCAACGCACCAACTTTTTCTTTTGTGCGTTGCCTAGTGGCAACAATTTTTTCCTATGACAACACGTCACTGATATACTGATATTCTCTACAAACGATAGGAATATGTGTTTGAGTCAACGTTGGCAGAAATTGAAAAAACCAGCGGTGCGAATCTTCCACCGCTAAGAAACCCACCGAAAATGGAGTATACAGATGACCTGACCAATCTCAGCCATTTGAACGAACCATCAGGTACCCATATCATGCTTGGACTAATGCACAAAATAGAAGCGATGGAGGAAGCGATATATATGGAAAAACAAAGCCTGCATATTCGTCTGTCCTAAGATTGTGCTAAAATAACAAAACACTAGTGTTAAACACGATCCGGACGCGTTATATGCAGCATCTGATTTACACATATTCCGGTATCGTGCTTATTGCCGTAAATCCATTCGATCGAGTGGCCTTGTATGACCCCGATGTTGTTCAGCAATACTCCGGAAAACGTCGTGGCGAACTGGAGCCACATCTATTTGCTATTGCTGAAGATGCTTACCGTTGCATGATACGGGAACAGATGAACCAGACGATCGTTGTCTCTGGTGAAAGGTAAAAGGAAGAAATCTGGGAGTAAATGCTCATGGGGAGGCTTTGCAAAAATGCCTTTTTTAAAAAGCCTCATGTTGTGGATACTGACTGGTTGATATTTTAAAAATAATAGTGGTGCTGGTAAAACAGTTAGTGCAAAATACATTATGCGCTACTTTGCTACGGCCGATGACCAGGAATCAGTGGGAAAGAAGAAAAAGTCGGGTGGTGGCATGACAGAAGTCGAAGAGCAGATTTTAGGTAAACTCGAAACACAGGTGCTCTTTCGCTTGAAATAATATTTACTCATAACTGCTGCTATGCTAAATTTCTGTGATTAGCTACCAACCCCATTATGGAAGCGTTCGGTAACGCAAAAACTACGCGAAACGACAACAGTTCTCGTTTTGGAAAATATATCGAAATTCAATTTGACGAGGGAGCCAATATCATCGGTGCCAAGATCCGAACTTATCTACTCGAACGTTCGCGTTTGATCTTCCAACCTCAAACTGAAAGAAACTATCACATTTTTTATCAGGTTTGTGATTCTATGGTTTAACAGTTGGGAAACACAATGAGAAAAAAAAAGAAAAGCGAGAAAGGGTGAGTTGAATACGAACATCGAATGTGTATATTATATAGCTTTGCGCAGGTGCTCCTTTGTCTGAGAAGAAGGAGTTCGAGTTGGGTGATCATACGAGCTTCCACTACTTGAACCAGAGCGGTACAGGCATGATTCCGGGAGTCGACGATGCGGCCGAATTCGAAGTAACCCAACGTGCATTGTCGACTGTTGGTCTTTCCGTACAACTTCAATGGAAGATCTTCCGACTCTTGTCTGCGCTATTACATATCGGCAATATTCAGATTGGCGGCCGTGGTGACGCGATGCTAAATGACAGCGATCCTGCCTTACTAACAGCTACCAAATTGATGGGCATTAACGCTTCCGAATTCAGAAAATGGATTGTACGTAAACAAATCGTTACTCGATCTGAAAAGATTGTTACCAATTTGACTCCCGCGCAAGCCCATGTGGTCAAGGACTCAGTAGCCAAATACGTATATGCCAATCTGTTCGAATGGCTTGTTGGTGTGATCAATGATAGCCTGTCGTCGCCCGATCTCGATAAAGTCGTTACTTTCATCGGAGTACTCGATATCTATGGTTTCGAGCATTTCAAAAAGAATTCGTTTGAGCAGTTTTGTATCAACTACGCAAACGAAAAATTGCAGCAGCAGGTAAAGTGATGAGTAAGAAGATTAGAGAAAAAGAGGCCCACACGCATGCATGCATAACATTGACATATGACCGTCATTGTGCATATATAGTTTAACCAGCACGTGTTCAAACTGGAGCAAGAAGAATACGTCCGTGAAAAGATCAACTGGAACTTTATTGAATTTAGCGATAACCAAAAGTGTATCGAGCTGATTGAAGCAAGATTGGGTATCTTGTCCCTTTTGGATGAGGTACGGAAAGAAGGGTTTGACGCTGTTTGTTGTCGCAGTTATTAATATGACGGATATACACCAGGAATCCCGTCTTCCAGCAGGTTCAGATCAAGGCTTCGTCCAAAAGTTATATAGCAACTTTGCCACACCTCAATACAAGAACTATTTCAAAAAACCGCGATTTTCCAACAATGCATTCACCATTGCTCATTACGCGCATGACGTACAATACGAAGCCGAAAACTTTTTGGATAAGAACAAAGATACTGTCCCCGATGAGCATCTTACTCTGCTTCAAGGCTCTGATTTTGACTTTTTGAAGGATGTTTTAGAAAAGGCCGCTGCCAACAACCCAGCCCCTCAAGTAAGTATACAAAAGCGAAAAGTATAATGAAGTATACATTGAACTGTTCCGATTCGTTTATCCTGTCCATCCCTTAGGCTGAAAACAAGCGCATGAGCATGATGTTCCGAAAACCAACCCTTGGTTCTATTTTCAAGGTAAACTAAATGTCGTAGATGTACTTCATAAACGTTAGATGAGTGGGTAAATAAACAGCTAACCTGGATTTGGAAAAAAAACTTGCTGATATCTAGCTATCACTCATCAACCTGATGGACACAATCGGACAAACAAACGTACACTATATCAGATGTATTAAGCCAAACGAAGCCAAGGTCGCTTGGGAGTTTGAACCGAACATGGTTCTTTCACAATTACGTGCATGCGGTGTGCTTGAGACGATTCGTATCAGCTGTGCCGGATACCCTTCACGATGGACATTCGAAGAATTTGCCGATCGATATTATGCATTAGTTTCTTCTAAACATTGGGATAACAAGTCAAATCTCGACATGTCACAGCTCTGCTCACTTATTTTGGATGCATCTATCAAGGACAAGGACAAGTACCAAGTGGGAACTACAAAGATCTTCTTCCGTGCTGGTCAGGTAAGGGTTTTTCTTGTGTAGATACGCAAATACTTATATTATGCTATTTATTAAACATACTCTGTTAATTCTGTCATACAGCTAGCATACCTTGAGAAATTACGCGCAGACAGATACAATGAATGCGCAGTCTTGCTTCAAAAGAATATCAAACGGTACATTTACCGCACTCGGTACGTTCGCATGCAAAGTCTGGCAATCGGCTTGCAGTGTGTCGCTCGCCGCAAGGTGGCTCAAACCAAGCTACAGTCTTTCCGGGAACGCAAGGCGGCTATTACCATCCAGTCGTGCTGGCGCAGATACGTTGCTCGTAAGCAGTATCTCGCTACTCAGCAGTTCATTCTTCAACTGCAGACAGGTATATATAAGTGGCATTCTGATTTACTTTATCCCACGAATATCTTCCGCTGAAAGCCTGTATTTTATCGATCATAAAAAATTAACAATAACGTGTGCGAAACGTATAGCTATTCGTGGATGCCATGCTCGTCGCAACCTGAGTACTGTCAAGGAACACACAGCTGCAATTGCTATCCAGCGGTTGGTCCGTGGCTGGTAAATATCACTACTGTCAATCGCATATCAGCCTCCCTCTTTTATAGAGATTTTGTTGTTATTGTTTTTGCTAACAAAGTATACATTCCTCTTACAGGTTTGCACGTAAACAGTATCAAGCCAAGCGTCAATTCATTATTCGGCTACAATCTTCAATTCGACGTCGTAACGCACGCAAACAGCTTGTGGGTCTGCGATCAGAAGCGCGATCTGCCAACCACTTCAAGGAGGTCTCGTATAAGCTGGAAAACAAGATTGTTGAGCTGACACAGACTCTGACGGGGCTAAAAGACGAGAAGAAGTCTGCCAATGACCGATCAACAGCTCTGGAAGCCCAAATCCGTACTTGGACCGACAAGTATGAAAAGTTAGAAAAGAAAAACAAAAACTTGGAGACAAGGTTACAAGAACCTACTGTACCACAAGAACAATGGGATACACTACAAGCGGAACGCGACCAACTGGCCACAGATTACAAGGCTTCGCTGGACAAGATTAAATCCCACGAAAAAAAAATCAACCAATTGACAGATCAGCTCGATGCCCAAAAGCAAGAAAACGAAAAACTTCAAAAAGCCGTCGAAGAAGCACAAGAAAAAGCCAACAATGCAGCAGACGAGGGCGAAGTTGCCGAACTCAAGAGTCAGATTGCGGCACTCAAGGCACAGCTGACCCAAGTTTTGCACACACCACGTCGTCAACAATCGCAATCTAATGTCAACAACCGAAGCTTGTCGCCTGCACCACCCCATACTGCCAATTTACGCAGCGTCTCCCCCACCCCGACTTCGAATAACGGCAAATTGGACACTCAAGCTGTCAAAGAAAGCCTCATTTCTCCTCCTCAGCAGCGCCAAGAGCAACAACAACAATCAACCTCGATCCGCAACAAATCACCTAGCACCGCTTCACCCACAAGCAGAAAAGCACGCCGCAACAGTACTGCTGATGTACCGAATAACCGATCCAAGACATCTATTGATAACATTCGCCACGCTGAGTTGTTGACCAGAAATCCACGCCCAACATCCATTCACCAGTTTGGTCCAATGCTTGGTGGAAAGGCTGGTGGCATTGCCGAAGCTATCGGTGAAAATCCAGAAGAAGAGGTAAATCACATCGCCCTTATGCTATGTCGTCAAACTTTTATGCTAATACCTTTGTAACCAACGGCACCTGTTCCTATCTTATTGCATATATAGTTGGCTACTATCTTAACCGAACAAGAAGGATTGCAGGAGGAAATTTTGGAAGGATTGATCAAGGCGTTGAAGATGCCATTACCAAGTTTGCAAAATCCTCCATCAAAGAAAGAAATCTTCTTCCCTGCTCACATGATTGGCATGGCTGTTACTGAAATGTGGCATCAAGGAAGCATCCAAGAGTCCGAACGTCTGCTATTTACGGTCATGGATACAATCCAAAAACAATGCCTGGTAAGTTTAAGGGAGAGAAAATAACACAAAGCCTTTTTTTGTCAAAGTTCCCTATGTGCTTGATCGGCTAAATAATTACTCCCTGATATATAGAGTTTCACTGGCGATGAAGCCATTGTACCTTGTGCATTTTGGCTATCCAATGTTCACGAACTACTTTCGTTGATCTGTATTGCAGAGCACAAATTGGGCAGCGAAGTCCACTCTGGCTCACGCAAGGTTGGCAGCTGGCAAGACTTTGAAAAGTTAGCATCGACTGTCAAGTTTGAACTGCAGTGCTTGGAAGACAACATTTTTCATGCTTGGATGAAGGAGCTCAAGAAACGGTTGGGCAAGATGGTCATTCCTGCTATCGTCGAAGGCCAGTCTTTGCCAGGCTTTATTACCACCGATTCCGGTCGATTTTTCAACAAATTATTAACCGGCTCGTCTCAACCGTCGTACACTATGGACGATCTGGTCAACTCTTTAACCAAGGTCTGGCGTTCCATGAAGTGCTACTATATTGAACATACAGTTCAGACACAAGTCTTGACTGAGTTGCTGAAATTGATTGGTGTTTCTGCATTCAATGATATATTGATGCGCAAGAACTTTTCATCTTGGAAGCGAGGTAAGCAAAGGATACGTGAATAATATGAGAATCTGACTCTCGCTTCCAGGAAGGATAACATCTAAATCATCATTGATCATATTAATAGCCATGCAAATCCAGTACAATATCACCCGAATTGAAGAATGGTGCAAGAGCCACGATATACCAGAAGGAACATTGCAACTCGAGCATCTCATGCAAGCAACAAAACTTCTTCAGTTTAAGAAGGCCTCGCTCGAAGATATCGAGAATATCTATGATGTTTGCTGGATTCTATCACCAACACAAATTCAAAAACTTATATCACAATATCAAACTGCAGATTACGAGGTACGCATGCCAGAAAAATTCATGATAAATATATCAGAGAAAAAGAGAACAACCTTTGTACGAAAGTGTGTGTATGTGATATATGTAGTTATTTATATATATCTATGATATATATAGAACCCTGTACGGCCGGAAATTCTCAAGGCTGTTGCTGCGCATGTGGTTAGTGGAGATAAGAGCGATGTCTTGTTGCTCGATTCAGTTTCGCTCGACGATACTACCAACCCGTTTGAGATACCTGTTCCCCGAAAGACGGAAATTCAGAGATACCTGCCTGCTTGGGTAAGCTTAAATTATAAATGTGAGGGTGACGACCTTTTTATGATATCAATGCTTATTATTTCTTTTCACTACAGCTGAACCTTAAGCGCTTACGACGTTTGACTATTTTGGTCCAATACCAAAAAGACCAAGAGGATGCTGTTGAGGCAACAGCGATCGCTTCACCTTGAAAATAACCAAAATCGCACTTGCCTTTTGTTCCTTTTCGTCACATATGTTTCTTCCTCCTTTTACCTTACACACCCTCCGCACAGGCGTGAAATAGCATTCGCCTCCGTAAAATAGCTTGTCAGCTATATTAACCTGACGGCATTTGTATGAATTGTTCAAGTATAAATATATTTAACTTATGTAAAATGTACACTTTCCATACTATTATTTACAGCGAAGCGTGTGGTGCTATATAGCATACATCATGAAATCTTCAGTGGCCGTGGTTTTATGTACAGTTAAATGTAGGATTTATTATATGGCAGTTCCTAGGTGTTAAACAATTTAAGGCTTAGGTACAGCAATGCATAAGGTTCGGTTTTTTCAATGTACGTAGATCTATCAATGTACAATCATAGAGATGCAACGGAAGTGAATGCTCATTTTCCCACCGTATACTTGCGGGAAGTACACTCAAAACTGTGCTTCGGCCTTCTTGTGTCTGGTACAATCTAATTCATGACGACAACCGCATCAATGTTACGAGTAGTGCGGTACGATAATGGACACTTGGTCAAGCTCAAATTTAAGCAGACAATAGTGTAATCAAACAGTAATATTAACAAAGACCATATTCACATATATTATGATAGTCACTTAGTGTCGAACATAGAAACATTCCTGTATGCATTAGAATACTTCAGGCCTTAACTAGCAATAGCTGCCCGAACTCCCCTCTTCTAAGTATTATGATGGGCATGTTAACACAAAAGTATTATCTACTCTTGTATTACTGAACCCTTGCTACTGTGTAATTAAATGTAGTTTAGCATACAAATGCCACACATATTGCCCGCAGACGTTACTCATCTGAGTATCATAAAAAACTGGAGTCTATATGTATAGGTACGCAAGTTCTAATGTATCACCTGGTTTTTTTTAAAATCTTGATCCTCGATCCCTCATTCAAAACAAAGCAACTCTTCAGCAAGAGCTACTTTGCTGCCCGCAATCGATCCATACTCAAAGTAGCAAAAAATTTGTTGAAAATAGTCATATATTCCACCACATCCAAAATCTCGGATCACCGTTTAAGTCTTTTGAGACCTCACAGAGTCGCTTGGAAGGTCGTTTTAGGTGTCCGAAAGGCGGTTTGTATCTTTCGGATGCAGGTTTCACTTGTTGTGGTGATCATAAACCTAAATAGACAGCTGAAATATAGGTAATATATGTTACATATGAGACTAGACAATTCTGCAATGATGGTGGCAATAGTTCCTTTGGAGCCATCCGGCACGAACGATCACCTGAAATATTTTCAAGTGCCCTTCCAAAATTAGTATCTATGCCAACATGGCTGCTTCGCACGTTTGAGATGCAAGTAGTCCAAGGCGCAAACGTAAACGAAGGTTACTACGCGTTATCGTATTCATGAATTGCTCTGGCGATGATATTTTTGACAAGGCTAGCAACAAGAGCCATCAGATCATCAAGGCAGGCACAGGATTGTTTTTGGACACCGAGAATTCCAGGAGAGGCCGGAAACGCATATCAACCACAGCAGAATTTTACTATACGAAAGGGTCAGTCGGCAATTATCAAAAAACTTCAACATCAAATGCATTCGGTTTGATCAGATGTTTATAGACTAAGGCAGTGACAAGGAGAAGCTCCACGAAATCGCCACGTGTATGGAAAATCACCACAACGCGTACTGTACAGTTGCACTGGTTCCAGAGTACTATACCTGGGTATTATTCGATAGTTTTCCCGACATGAGAGCGGTATTCAACTCAGAATGAATCAAACGACTGCGAACTCTGGAAGAAGGTTTCATGTCATCAAGACGGCTGTCGGCTGCGACGTCATATGTGGCGACACAACGCCAGCGAATACCGTTTCTCACAGACGATCTGCCAATGGAGAATGGGCGCTGTTTTGTGGATGATCGAACGCAAGTGAGTTTAAATTTCCTGGTTTCCCCGTATTGATATACCACCGAACTTCCTGGCTTTTCTAGAATATTAACTTATTCAGTGTTCTGCTACTTGACAATGCACATATGGTCACTATGGATGCAGTCACACCTTCCTCTAACAAATATAATAATAATGACGACAATGATATATGTTATCAACATACACCAATATCGATAACAAGAAGAAGAAAGGCTTCGATTGACGGGGAAATATATCACGAGCATGATCAGCAATTGACTGCCAATCAGCAGCAGCGTCATTACCATCATCATAAACGAGGCTACAACAATACCAGAACAATAACAAAAAACATTATTGCAGCAGCAGCAATACTCAATGATACCAGAGCAAAAGCAAGCTTATCCTGATCATCATCGGCGACGACGTGACATCAATGATGATAATGGCAACAATGCTAGCCCAAGCACAATGAGGAGCACAGTCTCAGCATCACCCCCGTCAAAACGCTCGAAAATGTCACGCGCAGTGACCAAGGCACGTCGCGGAACCTGTCAACCGGGACAAAAATTTTACTCCAACAAATTGGTGCCCTGACCGTCGTCAAGCTGAGCCAGATTGTTCATGACCGCGATGCTTTTCCACAACGAGCGCTTTAATTTCCCAGTCGAGTTCATGGGTGAATGGATCTATCCAAGCACGATCAACCCACACAGCAACACGAGCATTGTTGTCTACTATCTTGGACGGCGGCGACAGGCCCCGGTTTTATATTGTTGCAGCAGACATGCCGGACCAACCAATCATTGCCAACTCGGCCACGGGTCCTTGGACGGTGGTGATCCGTCGCAGTAACGAAAACCCGTTACCGCGAACATTCCAATTCTGCCAGTGGGCCGAATTATTATGGCCTCAAGCATCCAACTATTGCTAAAATGATCCAGGACATGTCCAATGCTGATAAATTACGCTAATATGTGCGCCAAAACATTGAGGAAATGGAACTACGCGCCGCAAAAAAGGTCATGGATGATGCACAAAAGAAACGTGGCAATCTGGAACGAATAGGATACTCCAATGTAAGTCCAGGTGGCAGCATATTAAAGCAGTAAACATATTTTCTGCTACAACTACTGCTACTACTGCTATTGCTACTGTTACTTTTTAACCTTCTCCTCATCATCATCCCAATGATAATAATGTTCCTTCTGCAGGCGCCACTGTTACTGATTATATTATCACTGCTGCTAGGGATACTGACGCTGATGTTGATTTGCATTATCGGCATAAACAATAACAACAGTCATACTATCATCAAACATGAGTGCTCAACGACAACAGCAATGATCACAGCCGTAATCATCTTCATCGTCACACCAGCGGCCAAGTCCAATTAGTTATCAGCCCCACGATCATAATGACTACGAGAACGAGTTTGACATTAACATCATCATCATCATCAGCAACAACATCAACATCGACATAATCAACAATACCGTCGTTCAACCAACCCGCCCTCTATCATCAGCTTACCTCAGCCTGCATCGTCTTATCCTGTCAAAGTTCACAATTTACATGACGAAGTAGACCATTGCATAGCGACAACGATGTCCTGTGAAGAAGCCAATGTTCTCGTCCTTCATTTGCCTTTCTTTTCTTTTCCCCTCCCTATTAAAAACAACTTGTACTTGCCTTCTTCTCCACTATCGTTTCCTCCAACTACATACATATTGTATATATCGTATGCACAGTTATTCACCATGAACATGATTGTATAAATACTTTTATACTACAAGATTTTGTTAATCTCTTTATCGATACGCACAATTAACTCTGCTTTCAATCTATTTTACAAAGCAACCCCAGTTCTAAATTATGTACTACAGTAATCTTTTTTCTTGAATTTTCTTCCACCTTTGCGACACCAGTTTATTCATTACCTGTAATTAAGAACAGCCACCCAGGCTCTTTTATTTTTTTTAATTAAAAAACCCCTTTATTACCAGTACACTACGACAATCAATATATACTATTTTGTAACGGAGCAATCAGCCATTTTGCATCATCTCTCAGTTTATGGTGCATAATACAATGCTTATATTATTTTCTTTTGGGCCATTTCGCCAAAGATTGCTACCAAATAGACTATATGGTACGACGATTTAAAGTTATTACTATCTATTACTATTGCAATCAATTGAGTAGCTGGGTATGTTGTAGTCAGCCGTCTGTGTCTACAACAAAAGCAAGACTGACTTCTGAATGGATAGAAACCACGGAAACAATCCCAGTGCCTGGATCTTTGTTTTTTTTGAACCCGACTTTCTCATCGTACTTGTTCACTTCAAAAATAAGATCATCGTCATTTTCGTCATTTTCTTCGTCCTTGAAACTGTCTATTGTTTTGACTGTGGCTCGTGACATCCTTGATTTTGTTTTAAATGCACCAGTAAACTCGGCGGGCTATTACAGTAATTCAGAGTTAGTATAGTGCTATCCCATCATATATACAAATACTATATTCGATACTCTCGATGTCTTACTCACCATCACGATCTCTACTGAGCTTTTCACTGACTCAAAGGATGCATTTACATGCTCGGACCCGCCCAACAGTTGAGCATACGAATGACTCGTGTTTGTGTCTGCCGTAATTGTATCGCGTGCAACAATATTTTCAAGTGTAATTGAGCCTGCCTTTTCTTCTTTTTCGTCGATGTTGGTTTGAGCATGGATTCTTTGAGCTGTGGCATTTTGCAAAGTAATCATAGCGCTATTATGCTGACCAGTTGCGGTTGCATTAATATATCTTGCCGAAATGTTCTGGGCGTAGATAGGTGCATTGAGTGAATTTAGTTGAATAGAGTCTGAAACGGAGACGTCATAAAGCCGAATTGGGTAGTGGGACGTTTCCAGATGCACTGATTCGGTCGCACGCAAATTGCCACCATCATATTGTAGTTCTCTATTTGTGGTGCTGAGCATAATATCTTTGCCATACCATGCTGGGGTGCTGGTGCCGTTGAACCGGATGGGTGCATTTTCAGTCCGTAATTCGAGAGTATCCATAGGGCTTAGCTCGGTGGAAATATCATCGTTGACGATGATCTCCATATTGTGTGTTGCAATGGATACCGTACGTGCGTATTCGAAAGGAACATAAACATTGATATGTATATAGATACACGCACGGTACTTGTAATATTCTCGGTCTGGCAGTGATAAGAGCAAGTGTGTCCCCTTTTCAGGATGATAGTCATACGTGTAGTCGCAATCATTGGAAATCAAGTCAGCAGGGTATATGTTTACGCGTGACATAATGACACCAGAACCATCGTATCTATCGTGCGGAGATGAACGATGGATATGTATAACGCCTTTTGAAACGTGTCCCACAATTTCAATAGTGATGTTATGGTTATTGCCATGAAGCGCAAACCAGGGCGGCATAGGAAACCAGTCCGCGTATCCGTCACGTACGCATTGATCGAGTGCTGGGTCCCATTGGGCTGGGAGCGATAATAACCAATGGACCAACTTCATAATTAGAGGTGCCAATATACAAACAGCGAGCCAGATTTTGAAGACATCGCTAATAAGCCTAAGTCTAGTCACAAGTGAAAGTTGCCGTTTATTTGGAGATGATGTTGAATCCACTCCTGATAATGGCGTTTGCTCCTCGTCATCGTGTTCCTCTTCTCCATTGATCGTATCGGTTGATTGGTTTTGGGCCTGCTGTGAATAATTATGAGAATTTCCGCTGCTGCTGCTCCCGCCCTCTTGCTGTTGATGTTCTGACTCCGGAATCTCTGATTAAAAATGCTGCCCCTTTAGATATCCATTACTACTACGGCGCCACAAGCTATATGCATATAACAGAAGTAGAGGTTACTAGCTGCTTCTGTTGTTATACCTTGATGCTTAGGTTTGAAAATTCGCATGTGAACGAGAATGGAGTATTCTATGAAAGAAAAAGAAGAACTAATGGAACAAGTATTGAAACCTATTTTATACGCACAGGGAGGAATCCTGCTGAGCAACAAAAAAGTAGCAACATGTCCGCCGCTATATGTTACACATACACAAGTAAAGACATACTGTACGACCCCAAAACGGCATAAGCATTTCAAATATGGAATCCATCTGTTGTTTTATTCTTCTCTAGTATTACGCATTATAGCTTCGCCTTTGAAATAAAGTGCATAACAGATTTAGTAGCATTACTGCGTCATTAATATACTATCCACAAGCAAAGTAGCACATATTAGCAAGCATTCTTACATTTGGCATCGACGTCGTAGTTTGATTTTTTGATGTGGGATCAATTATAGGTAAACATGCTGGTCAACAACAGAAGCAGCATCTGAAATTACCATGTAGCAGTAATAATGGTAAGTGCTAATCAGCAAAACATGATTTACTAGAAGCAACAGTGAAATACTCATCTTATTCGCTAACACGGCTACATGTATTATATACAAGAAGAGAGATGCCAAAGGGGTAAGTTCAGTAATATTATTCTTTTAAAAGAAAACAATATAAGGGAAAAGGTAGAAAAACAGAAGCTTACAAACAGTGTGTTGATCCTGCTAGAATCAAACATTACTACAGAAAGAAAGGGGCTACATATTACAACAACAAGTGTTTTACCGTAAATTCAATCTTGGCACAGGAATTCGGTGTATAACTGTTAACGAAACCTTCGGCTTCTTTACTGATTCTGTAGCCAACCTTTTCATATGGTCTGGTAGATTCAAGCGTATTGTTATTTTTAGAGACGGTCACCTTAAGATGGGATGACCTTGAAAGGATCGGTAAACTGTAGGGGTTAATACGGAGAACAGTTATTTAGAAGAAGGTGATATCTTATTAACAGCTAAAAGTATATCTATACATAATCAAGTAGAGCTTTCAGAGCATTATACGTTACGTTACCATATTGTTTCTCATCTTACCGTTGGAGGATTGAAAAATTAGATGTTTGAAGCCTTCGACTTGTGCACGGATCGACCTGTTTGATGGTTGTACAATCAAGAAGTCATCAGCAGTGACATTTTTTATTGCAACGCGGCCATTGCTCTTGCGAGCAACCATAGAGTGCGTTCTGTTGTAAGCTCCAAAGTCACACGAGAATCGATGCTGTCACATCAAGCAACTAAACTTGCTGCATGCATGCCTTGGGTACAATCATATACGGACGAGTATCAAGGAACATAGCCACGTATTTGCCCTTGCCAAAATCTTTCTGAACGTCGTGATGGATCTCACCGTCAGTTATGACGAACGAGCCAATACAATCTAATCTTATGGATTCTTGGCGAAAAGAGGTATTTCGTTTTTATGTTGCCATCGAAAAAGCGGTCGGTATCTCCAGGCTGCAAATCATTGAAGCGCAACAGCAAAATATAACATTTCAATTGAAGCATATGACTTTCCATCAGGAATCGGTGACGCATGGGAGCATATAGAAGTATCCGACTATCACAACGACTATACCTCAGAAGAAATTGCTTGGAACTGTTTCTCAAAACTACAGTATCGATGGACATTTTTTGCACGTGGATTGTTCCAGCATCTCATCATTGTTCGTCGATGGCTATATATAGAGAAAGTGCCCGGAAACTTTCGTACTTTTATTTGCCAGCAAGCGAAACGTTTGACGAATATGGCCGCTTGAATCATGCTTCTTCTGCTCAACTACCAGGACATAGTCACCGCAGAGCCATATTGATCGGATTACAGCCGGGCGAGACATTAGTGAAAGTCGTCTCGATGCGACTGGGAATATTATTACACTTAACGAAGATAAGAAAATAAAACCTGTCTTAGTTAAACCACAAGTTCAACACATTAGGGGTACAGTTATTTCGAATATTTCGGGCACTTCTTTCAACTTCCACAGATCATGCAAGGTTTATCCAGCGATTGTAAGAGAGGATGAAAGAAGAGAGGATGGAGAATGTTTCAAGGCTATCGTTACTAGAAAGATAAACGACGAGGAGTATTTTCTTCTAGTAATTCTGCGCAGCTTAAGCAATCATGCACTATAAATCAAGTTGAATATAGCTCTATGACATAGTATACTTGTAGCGATCTTTTCTCAAATTAATGGATGAAGAGCCTAAGTAATACCGCTGCAGTCAAGTGTTACTTCGGTTACCAAACGTTTTTTTACGTGCCCACTTTAAGAATTTAACCTGTATCTTCTTTCAAGCTGCAATTAGATCGCAACATTTTTTCTATTGATTCGAGGTCTGGATATGTTGGAGATTGTTAGCCACTTTGCACTAATGGCATTGCTGACTGTATGAAGGGCGCCACGCAGTGTACTTGCTTTGTAACGAATCTGAAGAAGACAAATGTATTATGGAAGCATATTACTAAGTGGAAGCTTTTGCCATCGGTTATATTTATCCATTTTCTCCCTTTTCAAAGCGGTCCTTTACAAAGAACAAAAAAAAGAGTATATACTACCTCAGCTTATTATATTATAACTTATTCTTTATTCATCAAGATTTAGTCAGTAAAAAGAATCAATCTCCTCTACCGTTCAAGCACAACAACACGCTGTGGATAATATATAAAGGGCCAAGCATTGAGACTGTTACAAACAAACATGAATACGACATTGAGTGTCACTCCGAATTCATGATCCTGTATCCCAAAGTCGACTTATTTTCCAAGATTATTCGTTACCGAGCTGCTATCACTGCTGCTGCTAATTTGAGCTGTAGTTGTTGTTGACATCGTATTCTACACAAAGCATAAAGCATGAGTAAATACTTTCTCCCACTTTTAAAAAAAACATACGAATACATAAGCCTGGGGTTTGGTTGCAAAATAGACAATATTTTTACTGCCAGACTTTAAAAGATCAAAAAGTTTTCATTAATTGTTGAAACTAAACAGCTCTCGATCTAGTACCCAATGGGATATGTTTTAACAGTACCCTCTATTGTTCATTCATTCCGTGCTATGTAGAGATAGCCTGGAAGCAGTTGGCATTGCCAGGAAGTAGAAGAAACGAAACAGCAAGATAATCAGACCGATAAAGCCATAAAACTCGCTTATTTCTAAATTATCATTTTACAACAACTTCTTCACACAGGATAAACATAAACGATGTAGTATAACGCTCTAATGCATCAAATATATAAGGAGAAGTTCTAAGATGAAGATAAAGTTTTCTCTTTAACTGATCCAAGCTCTCAGGAGAAAAGTACAGTACTTGTCTTGCGGCGCACGGTTTCTTTTGTATTTGAACGTTTCCGGAAGTTAAGGAGACACAGCTTTTGTTGAGTGATCGGCTAGATCAGAACGTTTTGCTCTAACTTTTTTCACTACTTCTTTGCTATAGCAAGTTTTACAAGTGGCGTTACAGTAATTTATTGTTAAAAAGCTGCTATTCTCGCCCCAACCTTTTTTTTAAGAAAATAAAAGGAGAGAGAATGTCCAAGTCTGTAGGCACCTTAGAAAAAAAAGCATGTCAATTAATCGTGTTATGATGTGCCTGACCTGCCTTTATCGTTATACTCTAGTGTTACTTCTGTATGACCAACTCAGTGACAGCCGATCAACTGCTCAAACTTGGGTCAGGGGCTGAATCATGTAAGATTTTTGGATAGTGTAACTAGGAAAGACCGATGGCTCCTTATATTGCTTTTCAAAGATATTTTTGAAGCTATTGCAATGACATGTCTTAAGTACAGGGTTTCTATTGTGAAGCAGCGTAGAGGTGATGTTTTAAAAAGAGGGAGACAGTATCTTGTGCGCTTGCTAGTTTTGGGTACACAACGGTTGTTGTGGAAAGGCATATCATTTGTATGGGAAGCAAAGCAGCAATGTAGCACTTTTAAGTGCAAATCAATTTGAAGTGGACCAACGGAAACCAAAGAGAGGTGCGCTGCTTCAATTGGCCCGTCGGCTTCCGGCTTAATGTAGAGCGACAGTTGGCATACTGTATACCCCTTCTCCTCGAATCAAATGGCAGCCTCAAGATCCGGCATTGCTGTTGGTCTCAACAAGGGCCACATCACCACCGTTCGCGAACTTAAGCAGAAGCCTTCGCAGCGCAAGGGCGTACGTATCCATTGGATGGATGAATGGATGGATGGATTGAAGCAAAAAAAAAGAGGATGGATGGATAGGGGAGGGGAAGTCGGCAGAGGATTCAGATTCCTCCATTTTGGAATTTTTTATTTGACATTCTAACATGTTCACGAATTTTGCTATGTTTAGGCTCTTGGCAAGCGCACTGCCTTCGTTCGCAGCATTGTCCGTGAAGTCGCCGGTTTCGCCCCTTACGAACGTCGTGTCATGGAATTGATCAAGAATTCCAAGGATAAGCGTGCCAAGAAGCTCACCAAGAGAAGACTTGGTACCTACGGCCGTGCTAAGAGAAAGATTGAAGAACTCACTGGTGTCATTGCCGAGTCCCGTCGCCATTAAATCGCCCAACTTTTTTTAGTTTGCACAACCATCAATAATAAAACGACACGCATAAAAAATATAAAAAAGGCTCAACACTTTGTTATGTTATGATTACTGTATTCGGTCATATTTTCAACCCGGGCAAATTTTATTATGAAGAAAGAAAGAAAGCGAAAACGATGAGAAGCAAGCACGACAAAAGAATAAGTGAGAAACAGAAAAGCAAAGAGGTAATGCAAAGGAAAAAGAAAAGGTCGAAGTGTAAAAGCAAAAAGAGACAGATGGCGAATTATATTAAAGAAAGGTGTTCTGCTTTTGAGTGTGTATGTATATGTAATATGGAGAGAGCGATCTTTTTTTCTAACAGCCAACACTGCCCGCGGCGTCGCCAGGATGCCAGCTGAGCATGTGCATGGATGATGATGAGTTTGGAGGAGAGTGGAGACGGTATTCCTCTTTTGTTTGCTGTGATGATGATTGCTGTGGAGGAGGAGGATGGTGATGAAGAGGGGCTGCATGTTGCTGGTGGTGCTGCTCGGAATGGCTGTAAGGAGGTGGCGATATTGAGGAGGAGGACGAAGTTGGATGATGATAAGGGGGTGCAGGGAAGGCAGATGAGGATGCTGATGTTGACGAGGGTGGATGGCGCATGAAGTCGACAAACATGGGGGATGATGACGACGATGACGATGACGATGATTCGTTTTGTTGTTGTTGCTGCTGCTGCTGTTGATGATGATGTTGAGACTGGAAGCTAGGTTGCTGAGGAGACGATGGATAGCCGCGGTGATGGTCTTCGGGCACGATGCGATGGTGGTATCGGCTTTCCCGGCGTTCATGCGTCTTCAAGTGCTGGGTCAAATTGTCGGAACGCGAGAACGTCTTTTGACATCCCGGATAGCTGCATTGGAACGGCCGCTCGAGCGTGTGGATACGCATGTGTCGCTTCAGGTGCTCCAGTCGCTTGAAACGTCTGTGGCAGTCTGGATGCGTGCAAATGTGCTGCTTCTCTTCATCGGAAGAAGAAGAGGAAGACGATGAGTTGAGCGACATAATATTGGACGAGTTTTGATGCTCAACGTACCCGTCTGGCATATGGCGATCGCGACTGGCGTTGCTGTCGTAGCCAAATGAGGGCGGTGGTGGGCGACTGTTGTTGTTCTCGGCAAATCCACCGTCCTGTCGATCCGTCATTACAGAGCGAAGGCGTGGATGGTAGGGATAGCGTTCTTGGCCCATCATGCTTCTTGCCGGTGCTGGCTGTTGTGCTGCTCCTGCCGGTGCTGGCGTTGCTGGATATCCCGCATGTTCATAGCCGGAGGAGGATAGTGGAGGGGGCGGAGGAAATCCCTGGGAGGCAGAGGTGGGTGGTGGAAGCGAACCTGCTGATGATGTCGAATCACGCTTTTGTTGATCCATCGTTTTTTTGGTGTGTGTCCGATAGTGCGCATGGAAATTGTCAGACCGACTGAAACGCTTACCACAGCCAGGATACGGACAGGCGTGTGGTCGCTCGCCGGTGTGCACCAGCATGTGTCGCTTCAAATGTTCGTATCGCTTGAAGCTCCAGCCGCAATGAGGATAAGTGCAAACATGCTTATTCTGCTTGCTAGGTTGTCGTCGAGATGGCATGCGCTCTGAAAATGACATCGATCGCTGCTTTTGCAAGTGTACGTTGTTCCAGTAGGGTTGATGTTGATAGTCGTCGACGGACATGGCTGAACATGTTGACGTCCGGCGGTCTACTGGGCTTTCAAATCCTAGACGACTAGATGCTGCGGATGGTGGTGGTGGTGGTTGCGAAGATGACGAGTTACCAGCTGATCCTGGATAGCTGGTTGCTGCTGTTGAAGGAAACCCCAGTGGACTGACGTCCGTTGAAAACTTTCTTTTAAACGAGTGATGATGATGATGATGATGATTGTTCATGCTCACTGACGGAGATAGTGAAGGTGTCAGTGGCGGTGAAAGGACTTGATCGGAATCGTTATTGTTGCTGTTGTTGTGAGGATTACCAGGATTGAGAGGAGGCGCGAGAGAGTAAGAACTGGGTACGGGTGGTGGCGGAGCACGGCGAGGTGACATTGGTTCGAAACAGTAGCCTGCCGTAGAATCCATACTGTTTGTTTAAAATCTTTTAGAAACTGAAAGGGAAAAGGAGCGGTGGATTAAGAAATCTGGGGTCGCGAAAGTAAAAGGGCGGTATATATAAATGAAATGCGCTCAAACAGTCCCTATGTGTTAACTCATGGAGCTGCACGAACCTTGTTTTGCTTCTTGACGGGATCGTAGATTATCCCAACTTTAGACAATGTGCTCCGTAACTATATTTGGTTATATTAGCCTTAGGAAACAGAAAAGAGATGTATAGCATAGGATCAATTTCAAACGAATCCATTTTATGCTGCTGTGGCCGAGTGTATTGGGGTTTTCGTATCCTGGATCTCTATTTCTACTCTGGCCTCCTAAGAAACCTGCAGCACCGTGCATATTCGTCATTTTACACAGAAGGAACAGAACAACAAAAGCAATCAAATCCATAAATCATACGTCAACCTGGAAGGCTTGCTTTAAGAGATGTCAACATCAGCTTCAGCATCAGAGTTATTTCGACCGGTTTAGTCGCTAATTGGAAATACTCATGTGCTCATCGCATTAATTCGCGCATATGTTATAAGTATGATAAGTGTGATAAGTGTGATACGTGTGTAGACGCTGAACAGACCCGCGTCCTACTCCAAAGACACGATCTCCCCTCCTCCCTTCATGACCTTACTACCCTTTCTCCTCTTCCTCCTCTTCCTCCTCTTCCTCCTCGCCCTCTCCCTTTCTGCCTCTATCTTTTTGTGTCTCCTCAGCTTCTCCGTGTGTTACTTTATCACCCAGTGTCCGAGACCGCTGTGGGGCTGTGATACTCCATTAACCTCCTGCAGCGACCAAAGCGAAACAGGCATATGGCTCCCGGCGGCCCTCCAAAAAACAAAGCATGCAATCAAAAAGCTCAAGGGATGACTTGCAGCGCGCAAATCGAGCGTAATATTCTAATGTGTTGCCTCTCCTTTTTGCGTCAGCAGCACTCGTTTCTCTAGAAGTCCTTTTGCAAAACCGCTTGAGCATAAAAAGCCCCTTTTGTGTTCAGGAGGGGGTGCTTGTCCAAAGCCCCTTCTACCTTTACCAACCCCCTTCATCCCATCTTTTCCTCCTCCTTGTACACCCCCTTTGATCTACTCTTTTTTTCTCGCCCCTTTCTCATTCTGCAAGGTGCCCTAAGCTCCATTTGTCCACTTACTCACTCACTTATTCGCTCTGATAATACTATCAAAGTTGAGAGTGTATATTATTGCGAAAATCTCATGGACAAAGTCAAAGAAAAGCTGGCTTATTGAGAATATTAACGCGCGCGCGCTATTACCCACACCCGTACTACACACGCACACATTTTGTAACTTTCCTTAACACCCTATTTCATTGATTCTCCCATTGAAAAAATTTAGCAATCTGTCACCTACTTGCTTTTGTTTCACTAGGTCGTGGACAGCACGTTTAATCATAGTGTAACATGAGTTAAGCTAGGGTGAATCCCTGACAGTGTCGTTTGCCTGCTCGGAGCAAAAAAGGCAATAGACAACTTTGTGTACCTTTTTTAACAAACACAGCACACGCACGGTCATCGTGGTTTCGTTAGAAACTTCAGGTTACACACATACACATATTAAGTACTTGTACAACACGAATATGCTTTGTTTTCTTTCTGCTGCTGGTTATATGCAGCAGATATTATATAAAATGAAGGATTGTAGATATATGGCATGTCGCTCTTGCTCGCTTTTGCTATGTTGCGCAAAATAGATGTACATGTATGTATACAAGTGAATGTATGTACTCAAAATAGTCACGATAACAACTCCAAAATTCCGTCTTCTATATACCAAGATGAGATTCCGATGATTGCAGCACTGGTAGCACTTTGATGGGGACGGTGTGTTAATGTAATGTTCTGGCTGAGTTAATGCTGCTGCTGTTGTTGTTGGTCTGTTCTTGGATACATGCGCGTTGGCTTTTGTTGCTACGATGCCGTTGTTGTTGTTGTTGTTTAATTTTCTATCAGGACATGAAATACACAAAGCAGCAGCGCAAAATTGTCTGCAGCAGCACTTTATCCACACCACACTCAAGCTGATAATACATACATCCTCTTTTTGCCAAGCGTCCTCGCTCTTTATCTTGGGATTATCCTGCATATCCATTCTTTCACATCTGGACAAAATCTCCTGGGCCGATCGGCATAAACAAGGAGATCAAAACAAAAAAAAAGAACTCAACAATGTATCTTCACTTAAAGAAGGCTACCCGGGAAAAAAATAAAAACTTTGGCTGGTGCCTGTTCGAGGAGATCGTTGAGGAGGTTCACCTTTTTGACTCACTGAACCGTCAAGGGACGGGTGCCCATCCATTTGAGAAGAGGGTTCAATATTACCATTATCTACTAACCTCTTCTGAGGCATGACAATTGCTTCTTCTTTTTTTCCGCTGCGTCAACGCGTGCCATCCATTATCCCTTGCATTCACGCCCCTTTTCTTCTCCTTGCAGTCGCACCAGAAGAAGTAAGCACCAACAGCAGAACCGAAAACATTATTACTTCTATCAGTCGAGGCATAGCAATGGTAATAAGCGCAATGTGTACGTAATCACATGGTAGTAGTAATAGCAAGAAAAAGTTGACCCTTCACTATCCCCTTGCTTACCCATCGTTTGGACTTTTTAACGCTAAAACATAAAAAAAAGTACGTAGCATACATACACAAAATATGACCACATGGATGATATTCATCGACAGTAATGTATGATGTGTTTTTTGCTGATCATCCAACGAATTATTGGACATATAATATAACGACAAGGCGATCGACCCCCGATGCAATTACAGTACATGTGCATCCACAGGCGAATGAAAAATTCAGCACAACATCATACCCACCTATCTTACATATATCATTAACACTAAATACTATACACCATGTTATACACATGTGCATACTTTGGGCCACTTGTGCTGCTTGCCTGTTGTAAATAATAATACTACTTACAATATACACACACCTCATAATAGCTATTCTATTAGTGTCCCCTATCATGTTTATGTACATAAGTACGATGTCATTAAACTAGCTCGCATGATTTGCTACATATTTCTGTAATATGTATGAGAGTATGTCTACATACGAAGAAGGTTCGATTCTCTGGTCCAGTTTGCATCCAAGTTGCTGCAATACGGCGTTTTGGATGTGTGCGTGCGTGGTGTATGTCGCATGGATCGCGTTTTTTTTTTCAGTTGGCTGGTGCGGCCATCCAAAGCACCGATCCGATGACCTAGGAGGTTAAATTTCATTATATTATTAGTATCTATAAATCATACAGCAGCGTTTCTCTACTGCTGTATACTAAATCATCAGTGCTGTAAATAGTGTATGCCTGTTGACAAATATGTATAACGCTCTCCTTTAATACTGACAAAAGCTCCAAATGTGTATGTAATATGATGTGTAAGGGAGCAAGAAGAGAAGGAGAAGGGGTTTACTGCTATGTACAGTAGCAGCTTCTAGTGTCTATTATTAATATTCACTACCACCTGTGTTTCTTATACTTGCTTGATCTTCAATACGAGTTTCTTCTCTATCTTTCTTCTTATTATTCCATCATTGCCTCCCTCTATCACCTCTCTTACCAATTGAACTTTCGGGGCAAAGGGATTTTTAGGATACTTAGTTTCGAGGGACCATCTGAACCCTTGAAAAAAAGGTGATATACATAGAAACTCATACAAAGAGCGAAAATACAGAAGCGCGAGTAAGTTCAGGTGAAAGGGGAGATAAGGGAGGTTGTATATCGAAGGACCCGTGTACTCCTCGTTTATATACACCCTTGGTGCTTCTTTCGTTTTGCTGTTGGGCTGGCGAGGAGGAATAAGGAAGAAAAGGAGCTTAGGAGAGAGAAATAAGGAAGTATATACTCATGTATTTCGGAAAGGTGCCCAAAGCACGTAGTATCAGTAGTGACCAGTACAATGCCAGAGCCATGAGGCTATTAATATTACTATCATTTAGCTTGTACTTTTGGGAGTAGTTATTATCGTAACACGGGTTTCTCTTTGACGTGACCCAACCACTCGTGTGCACTGCATTCAAATTGGCGGAAAAATGCTTAAATAATTACATGTTACTCGCATTTTGTAGGTCTGTTGACTTCACTATTAAGATTCTAATGCGCATTGTCATCGATATAATATGAATATGTAACAACATCATCGAGATCCTGGAGGAGCCACTTTTAAAACAGCAACCCTTAGAAGGGTATATCCAGGGGTTTGGCACAGTCGAGCTTGTTAAAAAAAAAGATAACGGGTCCAGCATACTCATAGGCCGGCTACACATAATGATGTCTGCCGGGAAAGTAAGTCGCATGTTTTCGCACACATTCTCATGTATCATTTAGTGGAAAATCACCACTTTTAGACAGGCAACAATGATAGCAGCAACGACTTGATTGGTGATCAATAGAGTAATATGTATATATATATAATATGCTCGAAGCGCAATTTATATGCAATCTTGACCATCTTAAAGATGGTTTATTCACGCGATGAATCAACAGTCATGTTATCCAGAACTGTAGATGGCTAGAGTCAGTTGTACGTTGTATTCTTCCTTTTCCACCTTTTCAGATAACAATGATGCATTGTTTGACAAGACAGAACTTATTATTCCTTGTGGCGCACTAGTGGGCAATTAAAAAAAATATCGAGTATTTAAAGTATTGCAGTCTATGCTATTTGATTTTCGAAGAGGCTTATTCTGGTCCAGACATCCCTGTATCCGTGTTGTTTTAAGCTTCTTCCAATTTTAACCTGACAATTCTCCGGTATCGCTGTCGTTGCAAAGAGAAACAAGACTGCTACAGCATTACATGGTACCGACCACTGACTCGCTTGTGTATTTTATGTAGGAGATACTGAACTAAAACGTAGTTCCAGCAACGGCTCTCACCCTCCAAAAATCAAAGTGATAATCAGATAGAAAAAAGCAAGAGTACTCTAAATATAGTTTATGAAGGCTGACCTTGATGCTTAGTTATAGTTAATCGTTTTATTGTAATACATACCAGTCTCGCGATATTGCTTGTGCATAATGTAGTTTCGCTTGCTCAAAATCTGCTCACAGGTAATAACCCAAGTAGTATCCTTTTAATTAAGCATTAAGCTTAGAAGATAACGTTTCTTAAGATGTTACATATGCCAAATAAAGTGTGAAGTAGCTTGTTTTTAACAAAAATAAACAGGCTGTTGCTTGAAAGACTGCTATAATAATTAAAAGTTAATATGTAAAGGTCTGTGGTATGACTTTTATGGAGGATTCACTATATATCGTTCTTTTTCTTCTTTCTCCTTGCGAGAAGTGAGCACGATAACTAAATATTTATAAACTGGTGATAGGAGATATTCAAGGAACAAAAAGACATGGTAGTATTCAGGACAAATGCCTACTTCACTTGATTCCTTACGACTCATGATATAAATATGACTAATGTAGTTACAAATTATCACAGAGTGCGCCATATCCACAACCGATTAGAGAAATTGGGGATATTAGGCGCTGTTGATCAATTCGTTATCAATGCTCAGCACTGTGTTTGTCAGCGGCTGATAAAATGGCGTACCATATCCCGGACTACAATAAAATGAGTGGGGGTGGGGTTTCTTGGGGTTTAAACTATGTCATTGACGTTGTGCTCAAAGAGAAAAACCAGTATCATACACATGCAATAGTTATAAATCGTATTGAAGAAATGATATCTAGACAGAGTATACATAACATGAAAGATACTAAGCATATCATATGTGCTACCTTGACGACATTTCAGAATTGCCATAGCAAAACTTGTATTATTGAGGAACTTACCATTAAAATGCCTTTGAGAGAGCAGAGTAGCTAACGCGCGGTGGAGAAAGCTGAACCAGAGCGTCATCGCCAGGATGAAGTTTTGCATATTGGCGCTGCGTTTTTGTATTGTGATATGCTTCAAATTTTATACTGCGCAAATCAGCTGTATCAAAAAGGCGCTCATTGCAATACTGCGTATAACTGTGCCCATAGTAATTGCAGATTCACCATCAATGCAAGATCGTATTCGTCTTTTAGGCGAAATCTGCCTCCCGCCAACGTGCTCTACCTGTATCCAGCATCGCTCGAATTATCGATCTAACGCCACAATCAGTCCACACAGCATCACCCTCACACCCACCCGAATACACACGATGTGCTGATCCCGCCTTTTGATCTCTCTACCTATTCTTTTCCTCCTTTATATCTTAGGTCACGCCATCCCATTAGTAGATTGATTGGACCTTACGTTTCCTCTTATCCCGTCGCCTGTTTTCCAGCCGAAGCACCACTTTCTATTTATGTATGTACATTTGTCTTGAATACTGCACCGCAAGGAAGCGACAAGAATGCGAAATGCGACCGTTATATAGCCTCTTACTAAATAAGCTATAATCTAAAGAAAAATGTATGCTGCTCTCATCATTGAGAAGGCATCATAAGGTAGCTTATTACAGCGCGCAAAGTAAATAAAAGCTCAGATACAATTTGCTCGTAGAAGCAACAAGAAATAATCTGTCTTTAGGACAAGAAAGCATCAGCATCAAATTGATGAAATTCTTCTCTTCATCTTCTTTACATCCTTTTTTCACGCCCGCTCTTTTCCTTAGTCGTCTTGTTTTGCTTCATGAGCTACAGATGTCGACGGTAGCTGAAATGGCTAAAGGGTCTCTCGTTCCAAAAGTCAAGCCATATACAACAAATTTGTTTATTCGCATGTACTTCTCTTTTATCGTGATTTCTGTGGGTCTGAACTATGTCAAGCTATACTTGGTCAACATAACTTATCAGCACCAGCACCATACCCTCCTCCTTCTCTCGTTTCCATGAACGACAAAGGCCGATGGTAACCAAAGTGATATAAAAGAACCCGCTTAAAAAGCCAAGTCATCCACAACTTAGTTCTTTTGCATCAGTTTAATATGTTTTCTGGGGGTACACAGGTCAAGGTACACTTGGATAACATCGCTTATTAAGCACCATGCTTGACAAATGGTGTGGGTCTGGAATGGCCCGAGCTCAGAGGACGCAAATATCACTTCATATGTGTGTGTGTGTGGACTGGAAATATACATGATACAGTACGCTAGCGGACATTCATTTATCCTGCTTCAGTCATTTAATGAATTTGTCATCTAAAGCTGTGTGAGTGTACCGCGTTCATGTGTATTTAACTTTTTGGCTTCTTTTTTATCTTTTTCTCTCTTCACTCCTCTTCTTTTCTTCTTTACTGCCGATAACCTCAAAATCCGCGTTCTTGTCTTTGCTCAATCAAATAATGACGTACCCACCATCGCAATCGGATGCAGATCGCGAGGCTTTACTAACTGATGCCATTGACTGGGCACAAGCGCATGGCCTTCTGGTTCGACCGTCTCAGGACAAAGTTGCCGATTTTGCTAATCACAGTCTGGTGACGCACGCCCCTTTTACCCTTTACCCGACACCCTTCCCGCGCGCAGAGTTCGAAAAGGCAAAGGGGCTGCAACAGCCCTGGAACACCCTTATTCATAAACTGAGCGAGGACGATGCTCTTATCTCTGAAGTTATGGAGTCGTAAGTGTATTAGGGATTGTTGTGCTTTCCAAGTGTGTGCGTTGCTGAGTAAGGGGCTAGGAATTAAGACAAGATGGGGTGAGGAAGAGGAGTATGTGCGTGAGTACTTTGTATATGTATTGAGAGGGACGAGATCGGGTGAGAGGAGTGAGAACCATAGCCTCCCCGGAGGATTAGAAAAAGAAACTGATGCAATTGCACTGATTAGACTGTCAGAGGTTGATGATTTCATGCAAAAACTGTACGATATATACCTCAAAGTGAAGGAAGAAGGCGTTGCGCAGGTACGCTAATTCTCGCCCGCTCTGGGGGATATGAAGGAGAAATAGAGAGATCAGGAAGAGCAACGGTGAATAAAAAGGATAGAGACTAAGAATGAGGAGAGAGAACAAGGAGGATGTTTTATCCCAGTATGTGCGCGTTCTCGTCATTTCATCTTTTGATACTGAAACAAAAAACTTTGTTGTCGTCGATAGAAAGCCTCTCTGGGCATCCATCGTTGCGATTATCTGCTCCATGCTGAACCAGGCGCTGATGCAAAGACTGCACGTATACAGCAAGTAGAATTTAATACGATTGCATCGAGTTTCGGCAGTTTAAGCACATGGACTAGCAAATTACACAGGTTTGTGTAGCACTTGTCTTTCCACCAAATGATGTCAAGTCTTCTGACGATGATTGGCTCCTATTTCGTGGGACCTGCGCACACCACACTACATCTATTTTGTGTGTGTTATGCAGATATCTGTTACAGGCTTCTGAGCGATATGCCGGCGGACTAATCAACATAGATCAACTACCCGAAAATCGCTCTATCCAAGCGATTGCCGGTGGCATCGCTAGTGCTTGGAAACTCTATGGCAACCCCAAGTAAGCATCCTAAATATTGTTTTATAGTTACACGTCTGTTTATGATTCTGATTGTGTGCGGGTGATGATGTTGTTTGTTTTAGTGCACGTGTCATGATGGTTGTGCAGCCAGGCGAACGCAACGCGTTTGATCAGCGATGGATAGAATATGAGCTATTAGAAAGGTATTTCTTTACAAAGCTAGTTTGGGTTGGCTTAGCATGGGCGACCATACATGTGGAAAGTTCAATGCTTACCGGTAATTTCACAATTCACCATAGTCACGGCATCCGCTTATTGCGTCGCACATTAGAGGAAATTGAGGACAGTGGGAAACTCGATGCAAAATCCAAAACTTTGACAATGTAAGTCTTTTTCGCTTAGTTCATGTAGGTGATTATTCGAGTTATCCGTAACGCATGCTTCTATATAGTGAGGGTCATGAAATTGCGGTCGCATATTTCCGTTCTGGGTATGCTCCAACGGATTTCCCGTCACACAAGGTACAATTTAGAAAAAAGGCACCCGGACCTCAGAGGGGTAGAGGCTAGCAAAGTTTTGGTTTGGCGGGAAAAATGTACGGATGGGCACATGGCACTAGCATAACTCCATACATCCCGTATACAAAACCAACAACAACGTTTACGTCGCACCATTGTCACGTGGGGTGACCCTCACTGCTACTGCAATATTAACTTCTATGGTTAATGACTTCTTATTTTTTCTTTCAGGAATGGGCAGCAAGACTCAAAGTAGAGCGATCCCTTTCGATTAAATGCCCTACTGTCGCATATCAAATCGTTGGTGCCAAAAAGGTTCAGCAACTGCTCTCCGTTCCTGGACGATTGGAACGCTATGTCGATGTTTATACTGCAGAACTTTTGCGCGAATCATTCACTGGTCTCTACCCTTTCGACAGTTCACCACAAGGCCAGCAGGCATACAAATTGGCATTGCAAAGCCCCGAACGCTTTGTCATGAAGCCTCAACGTGAAGGCGGTGGCAACAATATTTACGGCGATGATATCGTCGAAGCATTGAATAAATTGTCAAATGAGGAACGCACAGCATTTATCCTCATGGAATTGATACGTAGCCCGCCGTTAGAGAATTTGATGGTGCGTGAAGGCAAGCTGATTGAAGGAGAAGTTGCCAGCGAGCTTGGCATCTATGGCATTTATCTAAAGTAAGTTCCGGTTTAACCTGCCGTTGATAGTGTGGCTGTACGGTTATATTGGGAAGTTAACCTGAGCTGATGAAATATCTCTGTTATTAGTGATGGTGACAAGGCCAGCGTGAATGAGATCGGAGGGCATTTGCTTCGTACTAAGGCACATGCAACAAAAGAGGGTGGTGTTGCTGCAGGTTTTGCTGTTATTGACAGCCCACTGTTAGTATGACGGTGATGATACTTTTTTTTGCTCACTTAAATTAAACAATTGTAGTTCAATGTATTCTATATGTTTCAACTCTCTCCTTGAACTTTTATGTATATAATTGGTCATTGTTGATGCATATACTGTGTTTGGCTTTGTTCGGGCGTATCATAGTTAAAATGGGGTTTTCGTGATATTAATCCACCCCGATAATCCCTAATAAACGATTCCTTTGGAGCTCATACAGCTTCCTTGGTTTTTACCTGCCGCGTAAAGTGTCGAGAAAATGGACACTTTGGTTTGTAAATGCCTAAAGTGAAACGTAAAGTTCGACAGCAAAACACAGTTTTTTAGAGTTTCTTTCTCCCATTCTTACCATTATATGAACACTCTGGGTTGCAACTACCCAGTTTCACAACATACGTTTATAGAGAACCATGAAGTTTGCTGCTGTATATAACAACTAATAATTGAACACGACGCACTTTCGCCAGAATTCACAAAAGTACCCAGCACAAAACAGACTAGAATTACCATTTCCTCGCCATTGAAGGCTTTTAAGCGATGTATCATGGAGCCAGAAAATAACCTGCACAAAATGCCCACTCCAATAGTAGTATTGCTGGTATACACTTATGTGACCATGGAAGCATCTTGTACTATATTTAGCGATTCGTTGTAGAACAGTGTGCGTTGAATCTAGGTTATAAAACAATAGAACATCGAAATCATAACATACATATTACACAACAAGCCGGCAGCAATTGAACTACCTGTACCAGTAATAGGGTTCTGTATTACGGAAAGGGTGTTGTAAGCACTGAAAACAGAATAGTAGATAAAAGGTGTGTACAATCACAAGTGTAACGCGTAGCCATAGCAGTTCAATATCACGAAAACAGCAATTGTTATATTTATGTGCCTTTTTAATTCATTTGAAGCTGCCAAGTGGGGGTTATAGTACGAATATAGAATTAGTATGCAGTTGTTTGGTCTCTTGAGCAGAACAGCGCAATACGACCTTTGTGTTCTCCGGATAGCGAATACTGATGGAGTCTCCGGTTATTCCCCGGACCTTGAAGCTTTATGTAGGCTGTGAGCCTAGAACTATACTCGCATACTTATAACGAACCTGTTTCAAAAAATTATCGAGATAAATATGGAAAGAAACAGGGGTGGATGCAGGCTAGCAGGTTCGCTAAGGATCTTTAATGCTGACCTATCATTCACACTTGATTATTCCAAAGCTTATAGCACCTTCCAAGAGCGTAGAAGTTTAGGCAACATCGACCTTTTTGCTACTGTAACAACATACACGAGAGACCTTTCTTAAAGAAAAACAGCTTTATCTGATCGCGCATCAACTGATGCAGTCCCTCATTAATATGAACCTGTCCATTTGTGTTACCTCGGTGACGTCTGTTATTGGTGATATCGCGTGTGCTTCACATATAATCAATTTTCGACAGGCACCCGATTTTTTTTTTTTAAAAAAAGCGCTCCCTGTTTCCCTTTTTTCTTTTCTCTCTTAAAAACTCAAAGTTCATCTGAATTGCAGAAATGGTAAACTATAAAGTTATCTTATATTTCGTTTACCCATCGCTTTTGAAAAAAAAAGTTGAAAGAGCACCCACTTTAACTCGAGAAAAAAGGAAGAAGGAATTGCCCAACTGCTACCACAATTACATTTCTAAAAACCCCACCCGAGAAAACAAGAACTCGAACAAAGAAAGTAGCTGATGCAGTATGTGTACACTAGGCTGATCAACTTACCGAAGAGCAAATCACCGAGTTCCGCGAAGCTTTCTCGCTTTTTGACAAAGATAACGATGGTTCCATTACCACCAAGGAGTTGGGTACCGTGATGCGCTCCCTCAACTTGAACCCTACCGAGGCTGAGCTTCAGGATATGGTAATAGAACAGCGACAAGAGTTCTTTTTCTTTCTGGAGGAGTGCAAGGAGGGAAAAGGAGTATCGCGTGTGCTTGTGTTGTATATATGTATATAGAGAGGCGATTATTAGCCTTGGGGGAAGAAGAGGGAGAGAAGCGTATGAAATAGTATGGTTACTGACAAAGTCAGTGGGATACTTTATATAGGTCAACGAAGTTGATAGCGATGGCAACGGTACTATTGATTTCAGCGAGTTTTTGACCATGTTGGCAAGGTATGCTTTTGTTTTACGCGTTGAGAACAACATGCTGCTTTGGCTTGTATTGATATCATTCTTTTTCATTGCTGTTGTTGTTGAATATTAGAAAAATGAAGGATACCGACTCCCAGGAGGAGATCCAGGAAGCTTTCAAGGTCTTTGACAAGGATGGCAACGGTTACATTTCGGCAGCTGAGCTGCGTCATGTCATGACTTCCTTGGGTGAAAAGCTTTCGGAGGAAGAAGTCGACGAAATGATTCGTGAGGCTGACATTGACCAGGATGGTCAGATAAATTACGAAGAGTTTGTCAAGATGATGGTAATGTATTACGATTGCGCTATGCAAGTTGTTCAAAGCAAGTATTGTTGATTGGTACACGTTATTAACTTATTTTGTGTCTCCTTCAGATGTCGAAATAAACCTGGTAATGAATGATTTTGTCCCGGCCACACTAAGCTTATATACCTTTTACTGGGGTTCCTAGCAAGATTATTTTAAAAACATACTCACCAACACACACACACATATACTCAACAACATCAAATCCACACCTCTTTTAAGACTATATATCTTCCACCTACAACAATCAATCAATAGCCAACAATAAATTTTAAATGCGCTCTTTTTACTTTTTTTGGATCGCGTCTTCGAAGGCATTTGTAATTGGGTTTTTTTTAAGAAGGGACGTCAACTATCATGAGGTATGAGGGGAAAGGAAAGCAAGAATCATATGTGGCGAGAGAGGGGAAAAGGTTAAGATTAATGCGTCAAATATGAATAAAAATGAGCCACCTTGCAATTCGCTGCAAGTGAAACACCGAAACCTTCATTTGCACCGTTTTCACAAACGCAACTCTCTTTTCCCCAGCTCTTTTATCCCATTCCTGCATTGTAATAAACATCTACTATGCGTGCCTACATTTATGATACTGCAGATACTTCGGACCAACGGGAAGCTCACGACACTGGCATTAACAAAAGTGTCGAGGACTTAAAGCGTATTGGTGTCTTGTACTGGCGATTCAGTGGCCCTACTGCCCTTGACGATTTGAATGCTTTGGCCAAGGAAAGAGACTATAAGAATCGTGATCAGGTACGTATCTGTAACAGTCGCTCAACTTTTCTTCAATTTCTGACTTTGGGGTCATGGCAATAGATTGTTGTCTCTCCCGAGGTAATGGGCGACGTCTACGAAGAGAAAGTGAAAATGTTCTTTGCCGAGTAAGTCCAATACATAGGACATGAATAAGTCGGCTGTTTTTGAAACTAATTGTATGCATTAACGTATATTTAGACATCTTCATGAAGACGAAGAAATCCGTTATGTGCTTGATGGCACTGGCTTTTTTGATGTCCGAGACCAAGAAGATGTGTGGATCCGGATCCAGGTTGAAAAGGATGATATGCTTGTCTTGGTAAGGTTTTTGTGCTTTTCGTACAACATGTTGTTTTACGATCACCATGCATGCTAAAGTTCCTCTACATTGTATATGTTACAGCCTGCAGGTATCTATCACCGCTTCACATCCGACACTAAGAACTATATAAAGGCTTTGCGTCTTTTCAAGGATGAACCCAAGTGGGTTGCTATCAACCGTAAGTTCTTTCACGTTTGGATGTCATATGGCTTGACTCTCACCAGATATAGCGTGATCACTGATGAAAATTTCGTAATTGTAACCTGTACAATAGGTCCTGACGCAGATGACAACTCGTACCGAAGCGAATATCTCCATACTATTAAAACATAAATGAAATTTTACCACTTTCACAACCCTGTAATAAGTTTCGTTTTTTCTTTTGTTTTTCTTGATTTTATTTGGTGTATGATGAGGGGAAAGATTGGATTACAAGTCGCCTGCATCAATCTCACTGTATTTTGCACCCTCCCATTCATTACTTGAGGATCCAGCTTTTCGTTGCTGCAAATGTGCCAGTGTAGCGCGGAAATGTCGGTGTGCATACTCGGCTACTTGGCCATTGTGCTCGACGAGGGATGATGAATTGGCAGCGGGAGGATGCTGGTCCGGGTTATCCATGTTGCTGAGGTTAGTGTTAATTAAGTCGATAAGGCCATTGAGGTACTTTGGCGTTACCTATCATTAAAAACATTACAATATCAGTATCTCTCTCACTCTTTCTCTTTCGGAAATTGCACCATAACGTCAATAATCAACTTCATGTTCACTACTTACCGCATCATTGCCACGTTCGAAATAATAAATGTATTGGTTCAATATTTCGACAAACAGTTCCACATTTGTTGCCGCATCCATACAGCTGTCAGCTATCTTGAGCGCCTTTTGCAAACATTCAAGAGCACGCTTGCCGTTTCTGAACAGCTGCTCTCTATCATCATCTTCTGATCGTTCCGTCATCCACCACAGGTGCGATGAAAGGTATACAGCACGGCACTGATCTGGCTTTTTCAATAATTTAGCACTATGCAGTGCCGCCTTCGTAATCAATGTGTCATAATTGTCTGCTGAGAAAACACGCGTTTGTTGCAGAGCACCGACAATGCTGATGATTGCTTGAAATTGGGCACGGGACTCGGAAATAGCCTCTTCGTAAATGGTAAATGCTTCCACAAAGAATTCATACGCGATTTCTTCAAAGCGGCTTTCGTCAGCGCTTTGTCCTGCAAGCAAGAATAGACGCAGGCAAATGTCAGGCGAGTCGCACTTGTGGTTGAGTGTGGAAACGACTTGGTGGATGAATCGAAATAGTGTTGATGTTTTCTTTTCCCAAACCTCATCCTACATGTTTTATATAATGATGGGTCAATATATAACTTTTCGTAACTGGTGTTTGTAAAACTAATATCATTTGCAAGTGATCTACCTGAGACTCTTGTAATCGATACCGTCTTGCCAATTTGACGGCGGAGACGACAAGCGATGGATACGTGAATCGGATACGGTCGCCGCCATTTGCTAATTGTTTTCGCGCTTGGGACAAAAGCTATATACATAAGCAGTAAGAAATGTTAAAGATAAGTTTCGTTGATAATCACACACCCCTCGAAAATCTTACCAAGAATTGTGTATCTTCGTTGTCCGATCTAAGAAGGTGAACCATCTTCGCAATCCATCCTTGCTCCTCAACATATTCTTCTTCTTCAATACTGGTGAACTCAGGCTTCTTGCCACGTGCATACGTTGGCGAAGCGGCTGTGGTGGTAGCAACTGGTGCATCCTTCTGGTCACACAGGAGTACTTGGCACAGCTCCAATACGCCATATACATCATCGGGAGTACCAATGATTGTCTCGTTCTTTAGCACGCTGGAAATGACGGCATGTGCAACAGCCCGCCGTGTTGTGAACGGCTGGAGTGCGAGCAAAAGTTGATAGTTTTCTAGAGCCAGCAAGGTAAGCACAGACGTGTACTGATTGATAGGGGCAAGCAGCAGGGCCAATAAGCTTGCTTCAGTGGCCTTGGAATGCAGATCAGGCGAGTCGGAATACTCGGTCATCTTTTCCTTAGCAAAGGCAAGAATTTGATCCACATAGTTGAGCTTGGTGGGATAGCACGACAAGGACAAGTTAATCAAGGAAACAAGCAGTGCCGTCAAATCTTGGATGGATAAATCAGGTCGCACCTAAGAAAATAATAACCATTAGTAATCAAACACAAAAAAACCCCTTGCTTTGTAAAATTCACAATAATTTACCTTGACAAGCTCCACAATTTGAGTCCAAAAGACTTGGAATAATTCAACATCTTCCGGAATACCACGAATCCGTTTGACGGAATCCTCCTCAGTCTCTTCTTCCTTCTTAATCTTTCCATTTTCCTCGCTTTCCTCTTGCAATGGCTGTTCAACAGTAGCTGCTGGCGCCGTGTCCTCCTTGTCATCTTCTTTCTGAGCCTCTTCATCTTCTTTGTTTTCATCAGGCTCTGCATCTGGGTTATTGAGTGGCGATTCTACTTCCTCCTCATTCTTGACGGCAGCAGATTCTTCATCATCTCCTGTTTCTTCTTCCTTCTTTTCTTCTTCTACTTCAGGTTTGCTCTCCTCCTTCTCTTCAGTTGTTGCCGGTGCCAGCGATTGCTCGGGCTCTGGTTCACCATTAGCTTGTCGTTTCTTTGCCAAGACAGCACGACGCACTGCATCTTCTTCTGCACGTCTTTTCTCCTGAGAAACTTCAACATCCGCTTCACGCGCGGCATATGCTGCTAAGCGGTCGATGAGGGCAATGATGATCTGCTTGACATTGACTTTGGGATGAAGTTGTGCGGTCGCTGATAAGAATGGTTGCAACGTACGAAGATGAAATTCGTCAGGGAACACCTATTTTTAATTTTCAAATATGTGTTAGAACATTAACTAGTAAGAAATTTTGCCCTTTTATCATCAGCCTTGGTAACTGGTTAGCTCACCTGGATAATGACTTCCATAAGGTACTCTTGGGCAATGACATCCCTACAGCTGACAACTTGATCCAAGACACCTGGTAAAATGCTCTATTTGTTTTCCGCATCAGCATTTACTCAAACTTCCCTATTTACTTCCTCGCGCTAAAGATGTCCTTAGAACCAGCCTACCGTTCTGTACGTTTCGAGATCGACGCCTTCCAATTGACTCAAACGGACGAGATTCGTACCAACTAAAATGCGCAACTCCTTACGCTCTGCTTCTCTTTTTTCACGATCGCGAGAATGGCCTTGATGCTGTAATCGTACCCATAACTTGTTCATCTCAGTAAAGTTTGTAAGGACGAATTCGATTGATTCTTGCACATTTCCTTCTGGTCTTATTAGATAAGAGTAGCGTTAATAAGCGAAGATCACCAAGCGCCCATCCACTTGTTATTGAAGCCATCATCGACGTTGTACCACATCACAACCCAAAAAAATTAAAATGAGTGTTATTTTACCCTTTGCTTTCACCTTCTGGAAGATAATCACGCGTCAATCCACTGAGATAGTGGCGTAGAAACAGACCACGAATAGGATGCTGGACGCCACGCGACATTTCCATCATATCCCGCATAATTTCTCTGATTGGAGCATCGCCCATGCCCATATACGCAGCTCCTACCGTGATCATCAAGTATAATCGTGGAACGATGTTGCCCGCGTATTGAACAAGTTCATACAAATCGGCCAAATGATGTCGTCCGCTTTGATGCGCTTCTGTGAGATAGATGCTCAAGTGTCTCAATGCATCGAAGATCGCCATATCTATCATTAATTTTGAGTTGGAGCAAAAAAGATTAAGAACAAAGCCGCCCGTATTATAATAACACACACACAAGGCTCTTCCTTCTCCCTTATTTCCTTACATAGTTCATAATAATTTTTAGGCGTCAAGGCTGAAGTACGTAATTCTGCAAGCATGTTAGAGCAATGTTTGAGACCGTCCATCAAACGATTGTTGTCCTAGCCACACAGTCAATTGCTTTGATTATTATCCTTTGCTTATCTGTCTTTGTTACGCACTCTCTTCCGCCAACGCAAGCACCATCATTTAAGTATATGTTAATGTTATTTTTACCAAGCATTTCTTCATTTGGTGGGCTTGCACCTTGACCACATTCACAACTTCATCCAAAAGCCTGTTCTGATCGCTTGCAGGCGCCGGCGAGTTTGGCGCAAAGTTATTGTCCATGTTTTTCTACTACTTCTTTTACAAAAGAAGAGAAAGAAAGAGCTACTGTAACAACTGAAACAAGAGCTATGCCCGACCATATTCTGCATGGAGTTTCAAATAATTGGGCGGGCTACTGTTCTTAAAAAAGAAACAACCTCTGCGTGGGACCATTATCACAGAGCTGCTTTTCTGTTCCCAGGTTTAAAGAGCTGTTGCAATATATTTCAATGTGCAGTATTTCAAATACTTCTTTTGTTGAATTATTGTATCTATGCAGATGTATAATTGTAGTAGACAAGGCATAGTATCTTGTGTAGTTTGTTATCATAAAAGATAACCTTGAAAAAACATATGCATAAATGCTGCATAAACCACATATTATGGCTATTAGCTTGTATCATAAACACGTTCTGATAACGCATTGGTGAAATATTAAGCTTCCTATTATGCATTATCTCCTCTTGTTCCTCTTGTCAACAAAAGCAGCTGGGATGAGTGTACCTGCGGTTTCTACGAAGCACTTCATAGTAGATTTATTGCTTTTTATTATTACGTGTCGCACGTTCGTGTAGATTATCGAGGAGCTCATAAAAAGCACATACGATACACATAATGCTATAATTCATGGCGAAAGAGTATGTTTGACTGTACTAGATGACCACCCTTTCTACGAAGAAAACTACACGCCACTTTTTAAGTTAGCAGGAGCTGGAACGTGTTTGGTGAGATGGTTGCCGTTGCAGGGTCTTCAGATTTTGATAGACACGAGCATATAACAACCCAGCTGCGCAATTTCAAGTATGAATTATAACGCTCTATTAGTTTTAAAATGGATTTATACGCTACACCGTATCAGCAGTCTCTTCGACGATCTTTCGCAAGGTTTACAAACATAATTGAACAGTCCAGTAACATAACAAAAACAGATGTCATCCATGCTAAAAGAATGGTTAATAAGACTTTATAGTGATAGAAATTTAAAAAGAAGTTATTGCATGCAAAGGTCGTTTGGACTAATGGCATCATTACCAACTGGTATATTGTCTGGTGAAGCGTGACTCGATGTATATAGCCTAGCGACTGCTACTATGTTGATTCCTCCGTTTTGGCGGTTGTCGTGTCTCCATCCTCTGCACATCCGCAATCGTACTTGTCCTGAATATCTGAGCAATCAAAGATCTCCTTTCCCAACCTCTCGTTCACCTTGTTATGGATAGCACATGCCCACTGTGATGCGGCAATTCGTGATGAAGTTTGTGGTGGATATTTTTGAAGTAACAGCTGAAAATGGGCGGCGCTAGAAAGCGGAAAGGCATTAGCCTTACAATAGATTCCATTGTCGTCTGTCTACTATGTCCCTCTTTATCTCTGCAGTTTACCATTCACCACATGGATACAATCGAGACAGCAACAAGAAAAACTGATGCAATGCTTGACGCTCTTCTGTTGTAGGATTCTCAGGATATTGGGCGGCCATCGTGTGAAGGAGCTGTAGTTCAAATAACATATATCCAGGTTTATGGATCTGCTCAGTACACCAATTTGTTTTCTTTCTGTTTTCTTACCTTCCACGTGGAACGGCCAACTTCGGCTCTGGTTTAGAATTGTGCTCTTATTAATGTCGCAGTTCTCGTGTACAACCGAATCGTTCTCTGCTCTTTGACTTCATAAAACATACTTTTGTGTGGCATTGCCCATCTTGGCACTAATGACATCACCATCATAGTTGACGAGTCCAGTCTTTCCAGACAAATGTACATCATCATCAGAAGGGAAGATCACAAAGTACGCCGATGTCAGAATAAGACACAGAACGGACAACAAGAATAGTGCAATCAGTGGACGCATTTCAAAAGGAACAGCACACGATTGAAGAAAAGTTGCAAGGGGGGCAAAGATGGTTTGCTACAATGGAGGGAAAACTCAGCATGATGTTTTATTTTTTGGTTTGTTTGTAGACTTCGTCAGCCTTTTTTTCTGTCTCGTCTAAAGTCTTGTGAGCTTTTTTGGAGGCTTGTTCCGAAACGTCCTGTGCCGCATCCATGCCCTTGGCCAAATCTTCGCCTGCTCTCTTAGTCACGTTGTCGCCTGCCTTCTTCAGATCCTCTACAGGGTGCTGTCAAGTACGAAGAAATACGATGAGCTCATGCACTCTCATCAATTGGTATTAGAACAAGGAGTGTAGAAACAGACATGATACTTGCCATATTCTTGGCCTTTGCAGTGGCACCTTCTGCCGCATCCATGCCCTTGGCTAGTTCTTCTTTGGCCTTCTTATTTGCTGCATCTCCCGCGTTCTTCAGACCTTCAACAGGATGCTATACGTCAAGTAGAAGGGGTAGTCGTGAGCATTTGTGCGCTACACACAAGCACTGTTTATCGGTATACGAGCGACAGACTTACCACGTTCTTTACTTTCTCAGTGGCATGCTCAGCCATTTCAATGCCTTCGGCAAGCTTCTTGCCGGTCTTTTTGTTCACAGTTTCTCCGGCTTGTTTTACGCTTTCAACTGGATGCTGTAGAGAGAAATAACAATGGGGTCGGTGCTTTTCCAACGATAAAGCTGCTTTCAATAGTTGTATTCACGAATTAGGGCTACTCTACCTTTAAGGTTTCTTTGGCTTTGTCGATGGTGCTTTTCGAGCGCTATAGTATAGAAGTCAGTGGTCCCGCCTATGCAGCTTTGCAAATGAAACGATGGATCGACTGCTTTGTACAACCTACCTGTTGCTGTGGTGACACTGTAAAGGCCCGACGGTACGAGGCGGCGTTGCGACCAATGACTCCTTGTTGACGGCAGACTCTGCTAAGCATCATGTTGATTATGGTGTTGCTGTTGTTATTGCTAAAATGTTTGAAATGTAAGATAGCTCGAAATTTGAATTGCAAGGATAGAAACCCATATATATATATATAGACTGCATGGGTTTTACGTCAATGTCGCGTAATTATCGTAAGATGTGATGTACAGAGAGGAGCTGCAAAAAGTAAACCCCTTCAAACGAAAACAAACCCGCTCGGGCCAGGCAAGCCAAAAATGCGTGTGTAACACTCAATGACGTAAATCAACTCATAACTCGTAGATCAAGGTCGCCTGCGTCTTTCTCATAAGTTATATAATACTTTACGTTCCCTATCCCACGAGCATTGAGTAGATGTGCACTTGTCACCTTTAGATAGATTATTCGATTTTTCGTATAGCTGTTTCTTCGCTGTCGGTTGTCGGTAAGAACTGCAACCGATGTTAAAAGTCCAAACCGACCGCTCCAAGAAGCGGACAGTAGGACTTCGTGACGACATTATTGTAAGCTGTTATCAATAAGACAAATATATTTCAGAGGATTAAGATACTGATCATTTATTGAACACACTACTTTGCTTTTATATCTTTTTACTATTGCTATGAACTATTTAAAATAGGGCTTTTCTGCTTGGCATTATGGCTTATGGACTTGGCATAATGGCTTTGAGCTTGGTGATGGTTATAATGGCGGATGGGTTATTTTATAGGGCTATGAGTGTGGTTAAACTGAATGCGCACGAAGTTCAATAAATAGCATATATCCACGATAATCAGCAATGTGGAAATCTTTCGATGTCATTGGTGCATCGTATATGCAATCCGCTAACGAAGACGGGGGTGAAGTTGTTTCTTGCTGCAGCCGACAACGGAGGTACAAATAGAAAGAAGTCAAGTAAGGGTTTCAATGACAAAATGGCGGCTTTTTCCAGTAGTGGTAGTAGCAAAGGCTATATTGTCAAGAAGAATGGCGTGACGCAACAGTATGCTTTTTTCCCATCTTTGAATGATAGTAGCACACAACAGCATTACTCCAGAGGTCTTTCCTTTTCTGGCTTCTTGTGGTGGTCATGAAGTCGCTTTATCATTCACGACACAATTATGCATTGAATGCAGATTCTGGGCTTCCAAGTAGAGATGGCATGGATCACAGCAAACGACGAATGATTTCTCGGTGTAGGACAAGAATATAGACGGAAGCGTACGTATGCGTGATATATATATATATATATATACGACGTAATAGCAGAACGTGCGTATGTAAAAATGAAAAGTGTCACGCTACTCTTACAGGAAGAAGAGAGGGCTTCTTCGTCTCTCACGCCATTCGATTGGCCGCAGATGATCTAATCACGATGCAGATATCCAATATAAAAGCTTCAGTTGTTTTCTTTCGCTTGTTGTTTGTTTTTGCCATCTTATCACCTTCCTAGAATTCCGCCTTTGGCTTTCCCACACATCATGCTTACATTCGCACACTTGTTCCCCGATTCCTCTCCAGTGCATTCCTACAACGGCGGAAAGAAAAAGAAACAAAGACGATCAAGCAAAGTATTCTCTCCATTCTCATGCTCTCTCGAGTCCACTACCTCCTCTGCATCGTCATCAGTATCATTGTCAACAGCAATACGACCACAACTAGCAGAGCTTCCAAGCGAAATCCTACTATTAATATTTAACAATCTCACCGTCTCCGACCTTATTACCGCCTGCTCGACAAGCCTGTACTTTTACCACATCATCAACGTGCACCACATCCTAGCCGACAAACTGAAAGAATCCACACTGAGGTTATACTTTGACCAAGAATCTCGCTGGCGCTGCGCACTCGACATGAAGCTGGTCCGACACGACGCTCATCGATTCACTTTTAAACCCATCAATCAAGACACCGGTTTCCGCATGTTTAGCTCAAGAGTGTTGCGCGACCCATCGCTGTACAAGGTGACTCTGGACGGACAAAACATGATGTCAACTAAGAGGTCAACGTCGCTTAAAATTAAGTCGATGATCGCGTACTGGAAACCCCTGGATGCCATGGCGGATTTCGTCTATAGCGTACATCCGACACCAGCGGGCTGGGCAAAAGCTCGACCTGGAGAGCGGTGGATGCTGCCCCTGCTGTTCGAGTGTCACCCGCGCTGGTTTATGCACCACCACCACCACCACCATCATGGTTACACGAGCACCAAACAGTTGACGCATCGCGTTATGGAAGTATTTTCATGATAAGCACACAAACAAAGATTAGAACGCTATTACCATTTGTACTGCCACTATGTACTACTACTACTACTACTACTACTTGGCACATACCTTATATGGCGGCATATCCTAATCATAAAAAAAGAGCAGCAACGCATATCTATATACACTCTATTCCTTTTCTGCCAAAGGGAACATGCACGCACTCTTCATCCGACTCAATCTTCCCCTTCTTCCCCTCGTCCCCACCCCCTCGTTGTTTCCTTATTTTTCTCGTTTCAACGTGCTTCTTCGCTATTTTTTATGGGAAATTCCTGAATAACCTAATCAAAAAGATGGGTTTGGTCCCTTTTCTTCTTCTCTCTTTTGTTTCGTTCTTATACGTCTCGCTTTCCTTACTTGCTCTTGCAATAGATATTATACCCGCCAAAAAATAATGAACAATAAAAGAGAACGATATACCATCAGCAGAGACCGCATGGCAGATTTACGAGTAAGTTATTACTATATGGCTTTCGCCTTGATTTTTAAATTGCCCAGCATAAAGGAACCTGCGAACAATCCCACTATTAACATTGCTTTGATCATAAAATGTACAAACCTAAAGGCGGCCGCAGGTTCGACTGACAGGTACTAAATGCATAACAGAGTTTAGAAAAACTTGTTTTTCTCATGCACTAATGTATTTTATTCTTCTGCTTGGTTTCTAATGCTGATCCAGCACAGAAGCATTTGGACCTCGACGTAATACTAGCAGCAACACTAATGCTACTCGACCATCGCCAAGGGCAGAGCAACGAACAGCATCACCACCACCATCGTCACGTCAATACGCATCTGCTCGGCGCTCCACAACAACTCAGGATGAAAAAGTTCAAGTCGCGGACCTGCAATCCATGGATGGGTTTCTTGAGGAGGTTGGAGTCAAAAAGGAGTGAGAAGAAGGGGTGGGACCGAGGGAAGAAACAGGGTATCCTTTTGTATGTTTTGTATTGATTCTAATCTACTGATGATTACTACATCTCACTAGGTTGATTCCATTACAGCAGCTATCCGTGAAGTGAACCATAGCATCGACGGTATCGGACGATTACACGATGCATCACTTGACAATTTCTCAAGTCGTCATGCCAAGCAGTTAGACTCGGGGATTGACGATATTTCACGACAAAACCAAGAAATTAAGCAAAGGATAAAAAGTTAGTTTATAAAATTGCTCAAGAGCAAATTATTATAGTCTGAGCGACAAAATACTCACGACAAAGCCGTCGGACCCGCCACCTTATATCAATTTATTTAGCATTGGCTGGATATTGTGATTTGGGATCAGAAGCAAGAATTCGACAAACACAAGCCGACCGCGTTCGCCAGGAGTTCGTTCATCTAATACAGCGGTTCCAAGATATGGAACGTGGATATGCAAAAAAATATCGCCAACGAGTAGAGCGTCAGATACGAATTGGTAGCTATTGATTTCTATTGATGTGTTGACTTAATCCATTACTTAGGCAACATCCATACATGATTGATAGTAAAACCCGATGCCACCGAGGGTGAAATCGACCAGATTATCGATTCAGATCAGCAGAATCAAGTTTTTGCCCAAAGTGTGCGTAAATTGAAAATGATGCGGCTTTTTTTTTGCATTGCATGACAATTAGACTGCAAACAATAGTTAAACAAGTGGTATGCATTTTGCTTTATTAGCTGATGAACTCTAACCGTAACGGCCAAGCAAATGCTGTTCTCTCTGAAGTACAAACACGAAATGACGATATCAAAAAAATCGAACGCGTTCTTTTGGTCAGTAGTTACCGGAAACCCATTTTAAACTATTAGAGGTGAGAAACTTTCGGCTCACAGAAAGTGAGAACTGGTACTTCATCTATAGGATCTCCATCAATTATTTGAAGACATGCAGACAATTATTGAGCAACAAGGTCAGACATTGGACCGGATCGAGGATCACACGACCACAGCAGCAGACGACATTGAAAAAGGTGTAAAGCATGTTGATCAAGCTATCAAAATCGCCAAAAGAACGCGAGCAGTATGTTTATTTTTATGCAAAAGATGTATATACCCGGTATTTCCCATAACAAAGGCGTCAAAATTGAGACTAATAACCTCTTTTTATACTCAAAATAGAAAAAGTGGTGCTGCTTCTTTATCTTTCTCGTACTGATTATTGTCGCTGCATTTCTCATCTGGTGGTTTGGATTTAATCACAAGGTCAGTTCTAGTCACCCTATCAGATGGCACAGCAATAATACGGCACTGAAGTATTGCAGTTTCTGATGATTCTTCTGTTCATGTTCTAAACAAAATAGGGCGTTGGAGACAATCCATAAAATTTGTATTAATCCCTCCGTTGATCTTATTATACACATATTTAATCTACTATTTTCTTAATTATCCGGTTACAACAATGGCGTCCCTTTTAATAATCTGGTTTACAGTTAGCAGTAGTAATTCTTTTAAAAATATTATCCGTCTGTGCACGATTAATATGGACCAGCACAGCTTTCGTTTCGAAAAGATTCTATATTCTCCAGAACTAGCATTACTATTATCAGAGACTAATCTAATAACAATTATTAATTACCATCACTTAATATTTAGTACCCTTATTTGCATTTTGTGAATCCTTCACTAATTTGAAAAAGCTACACGCACCTACTGTCTGTTTAGAATATTGCTGTACAAGTATGTTGTAACGTAAGAGAATATATTGTACAGATCTCTAATGATGTAATGTTGCCAATATTTCTCTTGCTGCCTTTTCTTAATTAGCCAAAGTTTGCCTTTGGTATTTTATGTGTTTTGATGTTTCCAGCGTCAATGTACAGTACTGCAGATACATCACTGACGTAGAGCTCTTTCTCAACTGCGTACAGTCATTTGGAGAATTGATTCGAATTAACGGCCATGTTGACCTGAATAAATATGGGAGACGCTCGCATCTTGTTCTCAGTTTCACAGTGTTGTCTTATCTTGTATTTACTTGAAAACTTTGTCTTTTGTTATCTCTGACTCGTCGCCACGCATCTTTAAATAAAACGAATTGTATATAACTCGACCTTCGTATTTACTGCTGCCTCTATCAAATTATGTTCCATCTTATAGATGGTGAACTGATGATTGCATACATATATGTAATTGTATCGATAGTACCTACAAAGCAGCCATGCGGAAGGCAACATGAACTACCAAAACAGACGACAAAGATAGACCAGAGTGACTTGTGTTCTTGAAGAGAAAGGATTTCTATTATAAATATTAAGTCTCGCTATTTCAGCAAGACATCCCTTCGAACCATAAAAAATAAGAGACTACAAATCAATCATTGAAGTGTACATGTCGTCATGGCAAGCAACCAAAATACATCATATTAATCCATTTATTCCAGACCAACAACGCCTTTCGCGAGATTATCATCACACGCAAAGAGAGAGAAAAACGCCATTATTTGCACATTTATGCAGCTCGCCATTTTATGAGCATTCCCTTAAGAGTTAATTGATAAACTGGGTCGGCTGTTCGTGCTTTTATGTTTTAAATAACTGAATTCATCCGCGCAAACTACATATACCAGACAACCACTGATGCATCCCCAGACAAATGGGCCACTTCGTCACAAGGCGGGATCCACAAGTGGATGCAACATAACGCTCAGCAACAATAGCTCTAATGACGCCAAATAAACTATTTGATGTTGTTTTTAGCAATGATTCGAGATTGCATGCGACCAAGAAGACGTATAAAAAACCAAGCAAAAGATGTATCAAAAACCATAGAGATAATATGCTTTTTATATGAAAAGCCATTTTATTAAATTTATTATGTTTACTGTGATATTTGTAGTGCTCTTAGTTACTGCTTGATAGCAATGTTTCCAGAAGCTACCACGAGGAGGTGGCACTACTTTAGCTTCCAAAAATATTGTTCATTCGAGAATGAATCCAAAGCCAAAGCAAAAGCTAAAGCAGGAACGATACAGAGTTTATAACCAACAGTCAACCTGCACTTCACTTGCAAGTTTTGCTTCTCTTCATCTCCTATTCTTGTTCTTTCCCTTTGGTTGAGTTATATTCGTTGTACCGTTCGTAGTCGTAGTCGCAGTCGTAGTCGCAGTCGCAGTCGTATTCGTATTCGTATTCGTATTCGTATTCGTATTCGTATTCGTATTCGTATTCGTATTCGTATTCGTGTGCGTACGCGTATTCGTGTTCGTATTCGTAGTTGTATTCGTAGTCGTAGTTGTAATGTCCAAGGGCGTGCATTTACAGGTTCATGACTGAGAACTTCATCTTCGCTGACGCGTCGGCTCCAGGTTGAAAAGGAGCCGGTAGAAGCTAAACTCCATTCTCAATGCAAGTAAGCGGGACGGTTTCACTCGGCTTTTTGTTGGTGTAGACCTCACAAGCCTCTTGCACACACCTAGTTGAATAGGCCCTGTGCAGTGCTACTCCCAGGTTCAACCTCCTCATGAATGCACGCCTTTATAACAAAAGGGCTACAGGTCGCTAGAACTACTAGTCGGGAAAGGACTAGACGCTGGGAATGTCGTCATCAATCGCGTGCTGTTGTTGACCGATTCCTACAGTTGTGCTAAAAAAATAAAAGGAGAAAAGAGTAATCAGTCAGTAACTATTGATTGAGACAACAATAAGAAATGGTTGATGAAGTGACAAGACGTGTGCAAGGAATTGTGGGGTTTATAAAGGTGGGCAGAAGAGGAAAGAGAAGGCGAAAACTGAGTTGGCAGGGGAAAAAACAATTTAGAGGCCTGTGATTGGCTGGGATGTCATGGCAGAATATTGTGCCGACGTTGACTGCCATGCATGATATTGGTGACAATGTAGGGATTCAAAATCAGAAACAAGAGAAAACTCTTTTGATTTATTTAGATGATAAAAAAATTACAAGGTGTAATGCATCAATCCAATATATGAAACGGGGAAGCTGCTCTTAGGATTTGGAGTTTCTGAGCAGTTCCAGGTGCGGGTCTTTGAAGGAGATACGGGTGGACGATGCAGTAAGTAGTAGAGGTTCAGAAGAGTCACAGAGGGATATATAGTTTTACAAATAAGGAAAAAGTAGAAACAATGCGGAATGATGTGCTGGAGGATGGAAGAGAGAGAGGGAAGGGAAGAGAAAATGTGTGCGTGCGCATGTATGATATGTTGTTTTTTTGTGACAGAATCTTGTAGTCCTTTAAGCAGCAGATTCTCGTGGTTCGAGTTGTAAGCTTCGTTCGTATAAGTTATCGAGATCCCGGCTGCTTTCCAGGTGCTGCTTGATAAATGATTGCAGTTCTGGGATGGTGGTGAAGGTATATGGAGGTGACTGGAACTGGTTGATTTCTCGGATAACTTCTGCGGCCTTTTGTCGCTTGGCAAAGTTGATCAAGCGGGCAGATTTGTGAATGTAGTCTGGATTGCCGTCTTCGATAAATGTTAAATCCTGTAGATAGATGCCCAAGAACGGGATGCAGGGTGGGTTCACGGAGTGGATCATTTCTCGGTACTCTGTAAAGTTGCGGTTTGCGCCCATCAGCTTCCGAATGTTGCCTAAACCTTGTGTTGTTCGACTGCCCACGAGCTATGGTAACGCAGCTCTATTAGTACATCCATTCGCCATCCTGGATACCCCTTGGTTCTCGATATACTCACCTCCCAGGTCTTTTTCAGACGGCCAACGGCACTGTTGTCGAAAGCTGAAATGATAGCCATACACGTGTTGTAATTGTTCATACTTCGGCAGCGCTATACGAGTGTGTAACAAAGATATCGAGTCAGCTATTATTGCCATTTCAAGTACTTTCCCGACAACTTTTGCATCAAACGTACCGAAGCGACTTGAGCCCAGTATTTGATCACCACGACACGTTTTTTGGCTTCCTCATTTGCCAGGATACTGTCTGTTACCCAGCACGTGAGGCGGTTGCAGTAGTCAATCGACTGTTTAACATTCATTGCTACCGTTCCTTCGGTGTCCTCGCGCGACCACGCCTTGTTTAGACACTCGATGGGTCGGATGCTGCTGTACAACTTGAAGTCCATCAAAGTCAGTTGCCGAGAAAGCTCCGTAGGATCGATGTCCATAAGCGTAAGACGCGTGATATCTTTGGGCATGATCGGCAGTGGGCCTGCCATTGCGTTGGGTACGAGTTTCTTTAAGCCACCGTTGGCATCAAGCTCTTTGCGCTTGCGGATGAGTCTATTCAGCTGGTCTGCCGAGAATGACGACGCGTCACGGATGACTGTGTTGGTGAAGAACTCGAGCCGGCCGAGAATGAACTCGTCTTCGTCATTGTAGTAGTTCTCAAGCCAACTCTTCATGACGTTAAAGACACTGTGTTTTGGTTGAACAAACCAAAAGTTAAGTCCGATTGCCTGTGATATAAACTCCTCCCATCGCCCAGCTGTTTTTGTTGCGTTGACCACTTACCGTAAACGGACAAGCTTTTGCTTTTGCTCGGTCCAGGTCTCGAGCTCATACGGCGTCAGACCCTCTGTGGGTCGAAGGTTATAACGTTGCTCCAATAACGTCAAAAATTCCTCAGTTGTACAGAACGATCGGTATGTCAACAAAAACGTAGCAATGAAGCTCGTGTCTATTAATCATGGAGAACGAGAAGAAAAGAAAAATCAGGCCATTTTGCACACACACGCACCACCGGGCCACACGAAGCACACACGCTACATTTGCCATGTTACACAACAGCAAGCTTATCTTACCCAGCGTGTCATGCAACGTCAAGCGTTCCACAAGCGCCCGCAAAGTACCGCCCTTGACATTGCCGTCCGACACAAACACAATCTCCTCTGGAGCATAGTCATAGCCGAGGCACCACTGTGTCCGATCGCCGTTGCTGCGATTTGTCAGCTGCACCTTGCGCGTTTTAGAAACTGGTGACGACGCGGTGAACTCGTCGTCCTTGTCATTGACGTTGCTGTTGCTGGGAATCATAATCTCGTCGTAGGGGCCGCTGGCGGTCACGGGTGACATCGGCACTTCTTTGTCCCGTGGCTCCATTTGTCTAAAATAGTTCTTGCGCTGCTGCACCATGTCTTCCACATTGGCAAAAATAAGGCCGATCGTGTTTTCTACCGACTGGACAGCGTTGTCAATGCCTGTCACACATTGAGCCACATTGACGTCGTCACTGCTGAGTGTCTGTACCGCCGCAAATAAATAGCCGACGGCATTGTACAATTTTTGCTTGTTGACGCGGTATTCGCCCAGCGACGGTATTCTGGTGCCATCCACGCTGCTCAGATCGACGTCTTCCAATATGCTGAGATACTGGCCAATCTGCATTGACAGGTTACGGAACAGAATCACCACGTTGGATCGTGCTCGGCTGCTGTTGCGGACGCGTTCCATATCGTCGTAATTCTCGTCGTCCGCATCGTTCCTTTCATCGTCGCGAATCGTCAATATGAATGCTGCAGCTTTCGATAGTGCGTCTGTTGAGCCGTATACCTGATTCGCATGGGTTTGCAAGCTGACAATCAGATCCTGATTGAGTGGATATTTCGCCTTCTGTACCAGTCCCTGGTTGTATCGATCTGCTACACTCGCCCGTCGGCTGTCCTTGTCACTGTCGTTAACATCATTGTTGCTATTGCCTTGGTGCTGCTGTTGCTGATGTGAAGGAATCGCAATTTCGTGCGCGAGATTTCCATTCGGCGTAATACCAAGCTGATGCGTGTCGATCAATAGCTGGGGCTTTACCTGCTCGACACGGATACGCTTTTCTTGACAAACTGTGACAAAACTGCGGACTGATGCGAGTACATCGCCTGCGTCTCGTTGTACACGATAGAGCATTTCCGGCTGCATCGTAGTTGGTGACACTTCTGCTGCCGTTTTAACGGACAGAACGAGCTTTGACAAAGCTGCCATCACTGCTCGGTGAGGATCGCGCAAAAGACGGTCTTGCATGTGCGGTGACTCCTTATCCAGCGTTCCTGAAGCGTACAGCATCATCCGGATAGCGATGACAATTGATGATGCATCTTGCACAAACGTTTCTCGTTCCCCGCGCTGTGCTGCGGTGTTCAAATGATGAATAGCCAGCGCGATGTTGCTTGACAACTTCTGCCATGTCAACGGCTCTTCGGCGTTCTCTGCTGCGTTTCTATCAGCTTCGCCGTCATGGAGATCGAACGTATCCGGGAAGTTGACCCCGCGATGTTGTGGTTGGCCAGCTGCATCGTCGAGATCTGAATCGGAATCCTTGGCGTTTTTCTAATTGATTGGTAAAAGTGAGTTAAAAGTATGTCAAGTCGAGAAGTTGCTCTCATTCTTGTAGATGTGTTTCTCGTAGTATCGACGTACTAGTCTTCCAGTGTTTTTGTCGATTTCGTTGTAATCCCACGTTGTTTCTTGGGTAGTCAGGTTACAATAATATGTTCGCCCCTGAGGAGTTACCCGCTCGACCCATTGAGACATAGCCTATCAAATTGCATGAATACCCAATCTCACACAAATTGGGGGGGTGGGGGAGAGGGGACATTTGAAAAATAGGCTGGCTTCCTTACATTGGACACAGTACCGCCACCAGTACCATCAGAGATCGTCGTTTCAGGTGTCTCTACATTGGCAGGCAATGAATCGATACTCAGCCGATTCATCCTGCCACTCGATAGCCGTTTTCGGTTATTGTTGAAGTTGTTACGAAACTCGTCGTCATCGTCATATTCGTCGTAATATTCTTCGTCTGAATAGCTATCCATCATGGACTGTCCATCGTTGTAATCTTCCTGGCTGTCATACTCGCCATCGGAAACATGGCCTGGATGATCGTATTGCATTTTGCCCGTTCGATGGTTGTAATAATAGTATGTTGAGCCGTCTTCAGCGACTTGAACTGACCAGCCGTCAGGGAGCGAGTCGGCTGAACTAGCTTGACTCATACGGTTGCTTGCTGTCCAGCCAAAACTGGTTGGTGCATTGTTAGGTGGCGATACTGAGAAGGGGTGTTTGGTATTGAGACCGCCAAGTGTGCGGATGGATGCACGTTGACCGGCACTATTGTGTCTTTTCGATGCCCGTCGTCGTCGTTGCTGCTGTTGCTGCTGCTGCTGTAGTTGTTGTTGTTGTTGTTGTTGTTGTTCAGGCCGTGCTACACTTGCAGCTGAACTGGCCGCAGCTGCAGGGGGTCGTTGCTGCTTATTGCTCACGGCTGTTTCAGAGTTCCCTTCAATGATTTCGACATAATTACTTGGAAACCAACCGCGCGATCCGCCACACCTATAAGAACAAACGTATTTCTTATTAGTATCAAGCAACGGTGCTCCATTCGCTCTGTCCTCCTGATTGACTTTGAAGTGGGGTAGTAATTACCATCCGTCCCACCAGCCGGAATCAAGCTGGGCAAGCACATCAATACAATCGTCTTTGTTGAAATTCAGGGACGCTGGTTCGTCAGAGTAAAATGGATAGATCGCCCTGACTCGACAAATTATTTTCGGGAAGGAAGAGGACGCCATGGTCGAGGCAGCATGTGTTTTTTTGGGGGAAGGAGGAATGGTAGTGTTGAGTGAGTACGAGAGGGCGAAAATGTCAAATGGAAGACAGAGGAGAGAAGAAATGCGAAGAAGAAAAGAAAAGGAAAGAACGAGCGAGTTAAGCACGGTATGTATGAGAGGGTTTGGCTCGTTCGAGTTTCTATAGTAACAATAAGCTTTTTTTTTTAAATTGGAGCGGCGGCCTATTCCTTTTTCAACTTGATAAAGTGACTCCGCGCTGCTGTTCCAATGAAGATAAACTTCGTCTTTCGTAGATGATGATGAATGAACGGACAGCCTCTCAGAGGATTGTGTGGTAAGCCGTACAGATGTAAAGAAGTATACAGGTTGTATATCTCAACGTAATCCCAGCGTGTGTGGAGCGAGAGAGTGAGAAGAGGGAGAAGCGAGGAATTTGTGTGTGTGGATGCCTAAAACGAAGGGGGGCAGGCATGCACACATACTCTCTTTTCCCTCTGCTTGTCCCACCGTTGCCACTCGAAATGAGAATATATCCTTCGTGTGACATTGCACCCTGTTCGTCCGATTGCTTACCAACAGTTTAGTGAGCCAGAGCTGCATAACCACAGCAGTTCGTCATGGTCCGTTGGAATATTATAAAATCAAATGGTTTATTGCTGAACCATCGACTCTCTCACTCTTTTCTCTCTGTGATCGTGTCACAAGGGTGCCTGCATAGGAGCAAGTAAGTACCTGGGTATATAGGCCTTCTAGATGCTCGTCCTCAGTCGCACCAGCAGGTCCATCCCCGTTTTATTTCATCTCTTATGGCTGACCTAGACTAATCACGATTATTAAAAGAGGGGTTCATTCGATTAGCATTTGAGCATTGCTTATAGCCCAGATATCACTTTTTAAAATACAGTTCGAGTTTTTATAATAATAGAAAAATACAGATATGCAAGCCACTTCATGTATAAATGCAAAGATAGATCATGATTATTATTAAGCCAAGATGGCACTTGAGACTAGATGGCTTGCTTGAACTTTGTCGAATTTTCCTAAACAAGCAACCAACATCTCGCGCTTCAATAATGGTTCCTGCTGACTCTATGGCTGCTCCATACTGCACACTCTGATATATCATGCTCCTCCTTCTTTCCCCTTACTTACCGGAAACAGCGACGAAATAATCATTAATGATCCGGTAAAAGCGCCACTTGTACTGATCGGGCGGAACCACCGTTACCTCCTTGTTTGGATTCAACGTTGACTTGCTCCTTGACTCGACCTTTTTGTACCATGTATAGGCTCCGATAAAGTCTTTTTTGTATACCACGTGTCAGAGGAACGTATTAGAAACAAGAGACTACAAGCAATAGAGAGAGAGAGAGAGAGAAATCTCATCTGGTTGCACAAAAGAAAGAAATAGCACATTACCGACAATGCCTACAGTCAATTCCTTCCTGGCCTCATCAACGCCAAGCAACAAAGAGTAATCCATGATATTCCCCTGGGTCAGAAACTCTGTATCGCTTTTGATGGCTTTCTCTATGAGTGCTTTAGATTGTTCGCTCACAGGGCATTCTAACCGATAATCTATCAAACATAAATCATCAGCGCTGCTGCTAGATTTATAAACTGTATGTGCATGTGTGCCTCTCTTCTTGTATGCTTGTAAGTATGATACCTTGGAGCCAGTCACCGTCCCACAAAGTTGTGTCACCCTTTTTGCGGCACTCTTCCACATGGCGATCCCGGATCCCTTTGAAATCGAATTTCTGAGCATACGATTTTGCATATAATGAGGATGATGATTAGTTTGGTTGTTCCCCCTCCCCCGGGTCTAATACTAATGTGAGGTTCCACTTTCTCGCTCTGTCTCTTCCTCACCTGTATACTCTGCGGTACAATGCCGTAGAACAGATGCTCCATCACCAAAACATCTAGGTTGAGTATAACACGTTTATCATCCATGCTCCTGATACGAATGGTATAAAAGCCAAATATCTTGGCCAAAACACTAGGGACCTGATTACCATATCAGCATATTACTTCATCATGCCCTTTCGCATTTATACTGTTTATAATACCTCGTCTGTCTTTTTCATGTAGTCAAAATACTTTGGTGCAAACTTCAAAATAGATTCCTTCTCCACGTTATTCCATGCGTTTACCATCTCCTTGATAACTAGTCTACCATCTTGAACCACCAGTCATTAATAAGACACTTTTAGCGAGTTAACGAATGACAGAAAAAAAAAGGTGCAATACACGCTGCTGCTACTGTACCTTGAGACCGATAAAAATGGCTCTTGCTCTTGCCACCAGTTGCTTTCCATGCATTGCATCGGCTCAACGACTGTATCAACAGCTGGTCAATACCGCTTTGGCATCGCAGAGATTCGAACTCGGAAGCATAGTAAACAATACATGTAAATTCAACGTTGTTATGAATATACTCTAGAAAGAATTGATAGAGTAACCATTAATAATTTCTCTTTTTCCATTTGGCATTGGCTTTTACTTTCTGAACCTGAATACTACGAAACACGTACTATGCTTAATGTGTGGGCTTAGTCGGCGGTTTTCTCCGGTGGATCCTATTGAACTGGCAAGAGGCGGTAGAGGCTTTTCTTTGGAATTCACAATATTTCCATTAGGTGCAGTTACAGTAGTAGTGGCAGTGCTAGCCGTAGCAGTATTAAGTGGCTCTTGATAATATGTTGACGCGGCAACTTCAGTGGTGACCCCGCGCTGAATTCGAGGCTCATTCAAAATGACCCGTTGGCTTGTTGTTGTAAGATGGTCAGCAGACTTCTTTGGAGGATTATTTCTTCCTTGGGTTGTTATTTGTGACGAAGACGATGGCTCTTGTTGATGCGTAGTTGCTGCCCATCGATCCTTTATCTCTTGTGCTTTGCGCTGTTGCTGGTAATGCAATTCACTGGCGTTTGCTTTCACCGTTTCTATCACCATGGCTCTAAATGACGCCGTCTCGCTAGCAGCGCCAGCATTTGGTACAACAAATTTGCGTTTGATAAACGAGTAGTATGATCCGCTCTTATCAAGGCTACTGTTGTTGCTGTTGTCTCCTTCCTCAGTTTGGTTTTTGTGATTACTTTGCGCCTTTTTCGTCTTGTGATCGTCTGTGGCGGACGACGCACTTGAAGCGATGCTTGGAGCAGGAGCCTTAGATGAGGTCGTTGTTTTGGTTGACATGTTTGAATCACCATACTGTTGCTTCAATTCTTCGAGATATTCATTGGAGCTTTTATATTTGTTTATTTGGGTAAATTTAGTAAGAATACTACATAGTGCCGTGGTATCACATAATAAGCGTACTTTCATACCTGAGTGTATAAGCAATCATGGACGATGGCTCTTCTTCACGAACGAGGACACTTGATCCTGGGAAAGCATGGACTTTGTCCGACCTGAATTACCTGTTAGCACAAATTCACTTGGTTTCGTTGCACACCTCGTACACAGCACACAGCAACTCCATAATACTATACTTTATATAGTCAGGCGGGTCCCAAGTACAGTCGTCCATTAGATCTAGGCAAACCATCCAGTGATAATTCCCCAAGTTGCCCCACATTTTAGCCGTCATGCTCACAACGAACCGATGTATTTTCACGAACCTGGACACCACTGGCGTTGCCATTCTGCGAGCTGGGACAAAATAGCTATCGACCGCATTGCAAACAGACGACGATAATCGTTCAGGCTCTCCAATGGTGTACCCTTTAATTCCAACAGTAGCTTCCGATGCTCCGTTTCTCCAAACAGTTTCTTCATAGAAGCCAACTCGCTCTCTCGCAGTTTCAATTGTGCCTGTAGCTCTTGAGATGATTGCTTTTGGCCTGATCCAATGCTGCTGTTGCTCCGTGCCATGCGTTTGGATTCGGCAATAGCGAACTGCTTTAATACGTCGATATGGGTAGCCACTGTCTCAAAGAAATGATTGACATCGTCACGTATTAGCTCTTGCCAATTTTTCAGTGTTTTGGGGCTCACAGCTCCCGTGATAATCTTGCTGCTGGAATGCTTTGGTGACGTAGAAGAAGACGGTACGACCTGCAGGCGTGGTGCGCGTAACTCGTATAACGAGATCGATTCATATGAAATCTTGACTGCGAAGGGTATGTTTGACGGCCCAAAGCAGCGGATGATGGACGATCGCGTGACAGGATGGCCGCAGGGAAGAGATCTGGGTGCGAAATAAGTATCGTGGTATAGGATGAGCTCAATATATTTTGCAAAAGAGTAATGGTGCGTTGACAAAGACATCGATGTCGGAGTCGTTTCGGCATCGCATGTCGCGCATGCGAACCACATGTGTATTTTTTCATGGCTATTAATCAATGCAAGAGTTTTGTTGCTGTCGTTGCATGATGGCACTGTTGGTTTTGCTGTTGTCTGGGGTGATACATGCGGGACGATGTAAACAACTGCTCTAGCTGAACCGTGAGCAAACGTCATGACGTGGTCTGTAAACTGTTTCTGACACCCGTGGAATGATGACTGTATTGATGATGTGCGTCTACTACGCTGATTGTCCTGTTCTTTTTCGGTCGATGATCCGACTTTAAATCCTGTGCTTTCATTGCTGCCAGTGCCGTTTAATGCACCATTGGTAGCAGAAGCAGTGGCAGTAGCAGTAGTGATGGGCTTTTCTTCAGCGGATGGTGTCGTGACACTGTCAGACACAGTTGCTTTCGTTAGTATGTCCAACTTCGACTTTAGCAAAGTTTTGCAACTCGTGCCACTTTCGGCCAGAGTACACCAGTGCAAAATGACTTGTCCAAGAGATCGGTCTTCGGAATTCTCGTAGCGGAAATAGTTCAATTTGGACAATAATGGACCTGCGCACGGACGTTGCGGGCATCCAATAGGGTGTATAGCATATGATAAAGTGATTTGCTGGTGTTCGAGATAACTGTCGACGGTTTGGGTATCCAACAGCAAGTATTCCATGCCAATCTTCTTATCGTTCATGCAACGCAGGGAGGAGTACGCTGATATTGACTGTGGTACATCCACAGGCGTATGTGGTATTATTGGTGCAGATTGCCTTTTCTGCTGCTGCTGCTGCTGTTGTTGTTGTTGTTGCGGTGACTGGCCGGCAATCATGGACAGCAGTGAAGATGCGCGTCGCTTAATTCCGTTTGGCTTTCCGTTCTTTTGATTAGAGCTGTCAATCCTAATGTTGTTGTTTTTCATCCTCATGACAGCACGAATTGTGTCAATACCATCTTCCTCATCTTGCAGTCGAACAAGCAGTTTTGGCGCAGTGAATCGACAATGAGGCGATGAAGTTATCATTGTGGCCTGCTCTAACAATTGACGCAACTTGGCAAATCGATGTGGATCCTCTTTTGAAGGATCTGGACAGCATGGTCCTGTTGTACTGCCGATGGGGGTACTTTTTTCGTTTGGACTCTTGCTTATTCTCGTTTCTGCAGCGGTGCTGCTTTTCGGCCACAGCCAGCTGATGATCCCGAATCGTTTCCGGGTAAGCATCCCTCGCATCATCACTGTCGTATCATCACCGTTTTGGGATTGACTTTTCTGTGATGATGGTGGTGGTGGTGGTGGTGGTGGTGATGATGATGATGATGATGATGATGATGATGATGAATATAGGATATCAGAGTCGCGTGCAAGATGCATTTCCAGCCACAAGCTCCACAGGGTATATACCGACGCCGCCACGATCTTCAATAGCTCATCCCCTGAAGGACCAGAAGGCGTTCCGTAGATGCGCAATGTCCCCCCTACCACGTGATGCAGCCACTCACAACACGATCCGCCCAAGTTGCCTAAATAACGAGACAACGCATCTTAAGAAAAGAAAAATCTTATAAAGCTTTCTTCCCCCTTCAGAACAAACACAATACTTCTCTTACACGTTGATAGGATTTTGGAAAGTGGCTCGCCGTGATATACAGCAGGAAGGAACTTGGAATCCTCTAAAGTTTTATATCCTGCAAGTGTCTGGATATGGATCGAATCATAAAGCGAGGAATAAGAGCTCTCGGAAGTTGTGGTGCTCGTCAGATCCCGTTGTGCCTCTGACCAAAGCGGGACAAGAGCACTAATCAATGGGTATAACGTGTCGACTAAGGATGGCTCCATGTTGGCATGCGTCAGCCAACATCGCATCAAGTTGCAAAGATGATTGCGGCTGGTCTCGTCAAGCATCTCGATCGCCTTCTCTTGTTGCCGTTGCTTTTGGTATTGTGGTTGCTGGCCGCCATTGGTGATTTTGCCATTGGGCGGCAGTGGTTTGGAAAAAGCTCGCTTGTCAACGTGGCCATTCATTGACAGCTGAAGGGAAAGGGCGTTTTGTGTGGCTGCTCAGAAATATATAGAAAGGGCCAAAAAGGAGTATGTCTGCGTTTGAGGTGCGAGGGAAGGTTTTGCGGTTACAAAAGCGCTATTGCTACGTTACATAAAGCACCCATCTAATATCTTTTTGATTCGAACATCTCCTAGATATTGTCTGCATACCAATCTTTATACGCGTCATTTTATCCGATGAAGCAATCTGTCGCTACGAACTAGTTGTTGAACAGCGTCTCGACATACTTTAAGCCGTTATCACCCTAAAAATGTTGTAGATTTCTGGAGAGTGGTACCACTACCTCCCAAAAGAAAAATACTACTAAACCAAAACAGTTGTCACCCTTCCATCACAGTTGACTGTCGATATGGCTCATGCTAAGGGGTGACAGAGCACGTCGCTATTGACTGATGTTAAAGCTAAAGTGATATATTCATTGTTTTTATCACGGAGTATGCTGTCGGTAGTTAATAGACTTTACTTCGAACGAAGAGCAAAAATCACTGTTACCATAAATCATTCATTATAACGAGAACGAGAAAAAATACACACCAGCATAAGAAGAATCGATAAGGTTAAGCTTCTATAGCAACCACATGTTCACAAGGCAGTCGTCCTTGTTGTTAGTCACCACTTCCGGATGTTTATATAGTCACATAGTGAAGCAAGCGAGCGAGCCCACGACTTCTTTCATCTCCTGGAATCACCACATATCCTTTGAAATCTCCTGCGTCAAAGTAATCGGCCTTCTCATCGCTGCAGTAGAGCTTCTTGAATCGGCAAGCTAGCCAACATCATATCCAGAATCTCCAATATCTACAGATACTACAGTGAACGTCTTTGTACATGCCATATTGCCTTGCTGGCGTTCATATCTTCTGCTGGTAGTGAGTATTAAAGATTCTTGCCCACCAATGACGTGAGTCCGACAGAATGACTTCCGACCAATGTGCACATTTTGACCGACAAAAAGTTATTTCTTCGACAAGGCAGCTTCGACATAGAGCCATGTGCGCTGGTTCCATTGTAACTTTGTTAGCTGGTGAAGGCATTGGTCTATCCGAGTGTAAACATGATGAAGTAGCAAGTTTTCCGAATACATGGTGGAAGAGGAGAGAATACGACGTCGTGACGGAGTAGCTCTGATGTCCTGGAGCTCACCAGACCCAGTACCAGCAATAGGACAGAGCGCAGTAACCTTGCTTCGCTATGTGATCTGGAGATACAGTCATATCAGCCGTTTTGACGAGCAAAGTAGGCCGAGATGTAGTACTGTGCTGCTGTAGTTCCATTGATGACAGCGATGATGACGCGCTCGGTGTCGCTACAGGTGAACTAGGAGGTCGCTGCAGCAATGTTGCTGCCGTAACGCATGAAGTCGAATCTGGGATGGGTGTGTAGACTGGCCTTTTTATGTCTATCTCTTCTCTTCCTGTAATACAGTATTGCATTCTATCAAGGTGACGCACATGCTGGTATGTGCCGATATATCTATAGTTTGGTAGTAAAGGAAAAAACCAGAGTTTCGGCACGGTATATAGAATTCGGCGCACTTATTCATATCTTTCTAGGAATACGAGCGTCTTGTGGTACAAATGACGCAGTATATAAGTACAGTGAGCTCGTACGCAGTTAATTGTAGTATAAGAAGTGAATTACAATATAATATTGAATTCAAGGGTGCTCATACAATTTTTCACCTATGAATAGTCTTCGTCGAGTAACAGGGTACAATAGGAACAAACGTCTTTTCATTGTAAATCATACCCATTATGTCTAGCAGGAAAATATATGACGCTTAGCGCGAGTGACTCTTATTACCGTGTAGTATTGTTGCAGTAAATAGTAGTTTATTAGAAGGATCCACAAACACGCGTGTACAACTGTTGAAAGATAAATGGATGTAGCAGGTACAAGTGAGGGAATAACATCAGTAAAGTTTGTGGATGAAAGTACGTGATATAGCTGTATAAATGGTTTATTTTCATTTGCTCCTTTAGGTAGCGTTTATAACCAAGTTGGAGGCCCTTGAATAGAGCCGTAGCACCATTGCCATCATCCACTGTTTTTGCGTTTCTCAATTTCTGTGGTACAAATTACGGAAATGACGCACTGGCCATGAAATAATTTTGCAGCACAGATTACTTTTGCTTTCTTCTCTTTACGGTAGTACATGTAACGCCAATGCATCTCGCAGACGCAAAGCGATTTTATCAAAGTATCCCGAGATAAAATAATGCAAAAACTTGGAAAAAACATAAGACAGCTTGCGCAATTTGGAGGTGTGAGCCTAATTGGATGTGTATGCTATGAAAACCGCGGCGGTTGGACTAAAATATGATTCAAATTCAAGCCCGGCTGGGGTGCTGTGGTGCTACGCGTTTCCTCCTTATTCCCATTTTGCACCCATAAACACACTCGAGATTTATATTGCTCACACATAATGATCAACCTCAGCCTCTTCAACCAGCCACCTGGTGAATCATGGGCCGACATGATGGAGGAAGAGGACGAGGATGATGATAAAGTGAACAACTCGTCGCCCGGCCAAGGTGTAAATGACGAGATTGGTGAAAGCATCGGCGGCAGTACTACAACTGAAACCGAAAAGACTACAGATGCATCGTTGAACGAGCTCGTAGAAGATAAAAACTTCCAAGACGTTAAAGAGGAAAGCAAAATCATTACTGTTTCCAATGACAACAAAAAGGAGCAAGCTGACAGAAAGTCGCCAGAGCCTGTTCAAAAGGGAAAGGCAAATACTTCTGGCATCGTCTGGCGGTTACCCACTAAGGTGCAAAAAGAGCGGCAAGAGGAGTATATGCGACAACTCGTAGAGCGACGACAAAACAGTGAGAACTCGGATAATTGGCGAAGAAAAGACGACGGTCCATCGTCATGGCGCAGTAGCCGAGTATATAAACCACCAGAGAAGAACAACTCCCAACAGTGGCACACCTATTCTGAAGTTTTGCAACAGGAGTATGAAGAGGAACGCGAGGAAGCGAAACGTGAGTTTATTCGGCGATTTGGCAGTGCACCTGGTGAAGAACCCGAAGAATCATCACTGTCACAACCATCACCAGCGGTACGGCCAACACAGACGTCAATTAACATCACTGCGGACGGACCAAGCGACTGGGCGGATGATGTACCGACATCAGACGAGGAAGGAGAGGAAGATGACGATGTAGTAGAGGAACGGGTGGAAAGACCAATAATCGAAGAAGAGAAGGAGACTACGGAGCCCTCGCCAGAACCCGTCCAGACAGTTTCCATCCATAACGTATCGCTACCAGACGAATTCGAATCTGAGGAAACGCAAGAGGCCGCACCCGCAATAGCGTCAGTAGCAAGTCAAGATGAAACAACGCAGAAGGTAGACGGAAGGAGCACCCATATGGCGACATCAACGATTGAAGAGGCTTCTATCTCACCGCAACATCAACAGCAAAACCCGTTGGCTGATCTTAATGGCGAACAGATCAATCGCCCTTCAGCAGCTTCAACGTCGCCTACACAACAAGAGCCAGCATCTGGCGGCCCAAGCTTATGGACCGCTTTTGCAGAAAAAGAATCTACTAATTCTCCATCCCCTTCATGTCCTACAGTGTCGACGTTAACGCTTACGCCGGAAAAACAGACGATCGAACCCTCACAAGATGAAAAGACAGGCATTAGCCCAACCATTGCTGTGCAAGAGGATCGAACAGCCAGTCCTACAGTGTCGATGTTAACGCTTACGCCGGAAAAACAGACGATCGAACCCTCACAAGATGAGAAGACAGGCATTAGTCCAACCATTGTGATGCAAGAGGATCGAACAGCCAACTGGATCGCGTTTGCCGAGCAATCCTCCTGCAAGCCATTATCATCGACACAGAGATCGAATGAAACCTCCGAACGCAGTTGGTCCAGCAGTACTCATACGAGTCCGGTACAGCAACACGAACAGCATCAGCACCATGCACAGCAACAGAATTTTGAACAGCCACGTCGAACGCAAATCGACCAAACCAAGTCCCACCCGACTAGAGAAACACTAGCAAAATCACCGCGCGTGATGATACTGAATCATTTGTTTAAAGACAACAAACAAAAAGCACTAGATTTACCGCCGTCGACCACGGATTCGAGCCCACATTTAGCGCCAACAGTGACTATCTCCCCAGAGCAACCTCGGGAAGAAACTTCTACATCAGTCAATGGCGCGCAACGATGGAGCGATTTTGCCGATCAGCAAAAGAAAACAAGGACACCAGCAGCCTCAAGCATGACAAAAAAAGATGACGATAAGGACGTGGATAGCCATAGTAGTCCACGAAGTGAAGCCTTTGAAGATGATAGCTGGCGGGCAGCTGCGACATGGGATACCCCAGCTGCTAGAACTAGTGTCAATGGAGATGACGCTTGCAGCCATACCAGCAGTAACAATGATACCAAACAACTTGTGGTGAATGACAATGGCTGGCGTACCAATGCTAACGAAGACGCAAGAAGTCATAACAGTCGAAAAAGTGATACCAAGGCGTCCGTGGGGAGCGACACAGGACGTGCATCGGCTGCATGGATTGCTGCAAGTGCTCATAGAGACGACGACGATGCTCGAAGCCATTCCAGTCGAAAGAGCAATACCAAGCAGGCAGTGGACGGGAATAATAGTTGGCGCGCTGGTGCAACCTGGAATCCAATTACTGTTAATGCTGATGAAGAATCAAGGAGCCACAGTAGTCGAAAGAGCGACGTGAAGTCATCGACGGAAAGTGATACGGGACGTGCATCAGCTGCGTGGATTGCTGTCGCTGTTTCTAAGGACGATGATACTCGAAGCAATTCCAGTCCTAAAGTTGATGCCAAACAACTTGTGGTGAATGACAATAGCTGGTGTGCTAGTGCTGACGAAGACGCAAGAAGTCATAGCAGTCGAAGAAGTGATATCAAGGCGTCCGTGGGGAGCGACACAGGACGTGCATCGGCTGCGTGGATCGCTGCAGGTGCCTCCAAAGCCGATGGCGCTCGAAGCCATTCTAGTCAAAGGAGCAATACTACAAAGGCTGAGGAAGATAATAGCTGGCGTGCTGATGCGAAGACCGATATAATACAACCGGTGGAAAGCGACATAGGACGGGCGGTAGCTGCTTGGGTTACTACAACAGTTGCCAATGACGATGACACTCAAAGTCATTCTAGCCATCAGAGGAGCGATACCAAGCAGGTGGTAGATGATGATGATAGCTGGCGCGCTGGTTTAACGTGGAATACAACTACTGCCAATGCCGATGAAGATGCAAGGAGTCACAGCAGTCAAAAGAGCAACGTCAAGTCATCGATAAGGAGTGACACAGAACAAGCATCAGCAGCGTGGATTGCTGCAGGTGTTTCTAAAGGCGACGATACTGCAAGTCATTCTAGCCAAAGGAACGATACAAAGCAGACGGTGAAGGATGACAGTAGTTGGCGAGCTGCCGCTACAGTTAATACTGCTGCTAATGTTGATGACAATAGGAGCCACAGCAGCTGGAAAAGTGATACGAAGCAACAGGTGGGAAATACCAACGGACAAGCATCAGCTGCATGGATCAGAGCAGGCAGTAATGACGGCAACGGAAGAAACCATAGCAATGTATTAAGCAGTGCCAGACAACGGCGTATATGACATGTATGTGATCCTAAAAAATATAAAAATATAAAAGAAAGGTTAGATAAATAAATTAATCAAAGCAATTTTGAGTGTAACAGTGTCGATGCATATATTAGTAACAACTTGGTGCACCAATGGAATCAAGGTAAATATCAGCAACGACTGTAAGGTACGACTTAACGACCAACTCAACCACTAGATATCAATGATTCATCTTCCAATTTAGCCCACAAAGCCGATTGTAAAACCACTAAGTTGAAAAGACAGACAGTTGTGAGACTGGCAGACATATTCTTCGAACAATGATGAACGACGACGAGCACAACATCTCAGTGATAATTAACGACCCTGATCTAAAAACCGGCGAATTTAGTCCTGAACAACTCAGTTACTTTTCACAAAGACAAACGTTGGATTTTCTTCAAGGGGACCTCAGCCTTCATTCTACCTTTCTACCCAGTAACTTCGAATCCAAGCAACTTGTGTTTCTGTTTTCTGGTCATTTTTCGCAAGCTAAAAACTTGGAGCTATAACAGTTTTCTTAGAATATACCATTGTATCAACAAAAGTTACAAAAAAAAAAAACCGAGTTCCGGGTTAAAATTTCCCGCGCTATTTTATGAGTATGATAATGATTATGGAGTAGCTACTAGAAGGATTAGATGCAATGTTGAAAAAGATATGTATTAAAGGGGTGTAAAAGAGAGGATTAGTGTAGAAGCATATTTTCTACTCGCTGCTGCAACATAGCCACGACATAAGCTTCTTCTTCTTGGGCTTTTCTCCTTGCTGTCGGGATGGTTGCTGCTGCTGTTGAGACGTTGACTGCGTCTGTTGTTGCTCCTGCTTTGGTGCAGCGGATCCATTCGCAGTGGCTGATGATGTTCCTTTCTGTGCAGCGGATTCAGTTGCAGCTGTACCAGCAGTGTCCGACGCTCCTTTGCTTGCCGCTGCTGCTGCGCCAGCGCCCGCGCCAGCGCCGGCTGCAACAGCAGCAGCACCTACGGCACCAGGAGTGGCAGCATCATCGTGGTTTTGCTGGGTTGTCTGGCCTTCAGGGTTGGTCGTGGTGATGGCAGGTGTTTCCTTGCTATTTGTATTATGCGATGCAGCCTTGAGAGAACGTATCGAGGCGTCCGAGTCAGCACCTGTGGTCGTTGACAGCTTCTTTTTTCCCTTGTGGTAAGTGTTCACGATACCCGCAAAATTCTCGGCCTGGTTCTTTGCGATTGTCAACTCCGTCTCACTAGGCTGACGCGACCCGTCACCATTCGTGATCGTGCCCGAGCCGTACGCTGAACCACCAATCACCTCGTCGTTATTAAACATACTCGCGTTTGCGAATCCAAATGGGACGTAGATAAGACCGTGGTGTGCAAAGTATGTTACTGCGTTCAGTGCAGTGGTTTCTTGGCCACCGTGTTGCGATGCGGTTGAGAAGAATGTGGCCACAAACTTGCCAGCGAGGGAGCCTTTAGCCCACAATTGACCGGTTGCATCCAAAAGACTACCATCATAATCATTGGTGCGGTTGTCGACCCAGTTAGTAAAGCTCTATGTACGTATCATTGATGTAACCAAAGCAAAAACCGGCCCGATAGACTTACGCTTTCATTTGAGCAGGAAAAATGCCGAATCTTGTGGGAATTCCAAAAATAAGACCATCCGCCTCTGCGAGCTGACTGGCTTCGATGTTTGGCAAATCCGGCTTGGCAGGAGCGTGCATCTTCTCAAGCACTTGGTCAGATAACGTTTCTTGAACTTGGAAGATCTTTGCATCGATGCCATTTGCGTCAAGCCCTATTTAGCACATATATGAGCATACACAACGTTGTCAATTGACATCTCACGTTGAGCGCGTAAACCGAATCAGGTGAGGCGAAGAGGCTACAAAAAAAAGCGTGTGGCGCTAACCTTCCTTGATGGCGAGTGACAGTTTATAGATGTGATGATACAACGAATAGATCACAATATATACTTTTGGTTTGTCGGCCATTCTGCTGGTCCTGGTGCTGCGTATTCCACTAGTGTCGGTAGTGATCTTTTGTTGTTGTTGTTGCTGTTGAATAGGCAACTGCTCAAAGCGAGGCAAAGAAGGGAAAAGGGAAGAGCGGGAAAATTGAAAAGAAATAAAAAGAAAGTGCAAGTGTTTGCGCACGTCCCAAATAGGCTATTCGAAAAGAGAAATTCACCGAAACCCATGCGTGTTTTTTCTTGCTTTGGGATATATTCTCACTGTTTGCATGCTGTATAAATAATCGTTTTATTTTCCTCCAGAACGCACGCTTTTATTTCCCTTTCTTCTTTCTCAGACAACTACTTCAAACCAACTCCAATTAATATAAGCTATGGCCGGAACAGTTTACATTGTCATCTACACACTCTATCATCACATCTACAAGCTGGCTCTGGAAGTCCAGAAGGGCTTGGAAGCTAACGGTGTCAAAACCAAGATCTTTCAAGGCATCTTTTTCTTTTTCTCTTGACAGAATGCTGTGCACTTTAGATATGCGACATACTAACCCAGCTCGTGCCAAAAACAATACAGTTCCCGAGACTCTGACTGACGAGATTCTCGAAAAGATGCACGCTCCTCCTAAGCCTGATTTGCCTGTCATTTCCGTCGAGGAACTCACCGAACCTGATGGTATCATCTTTGGTATTCCTACAAGGTATGTGTAAATAGCCCTTAAAATGACAACCCTGTTATCACGAAACGTTTTTGCTCAAGAGAAAAATGCGCGTATTTTACGTAGATTCGGTACCATGCCCGCACAAATGAAAGCGTAAGTACTTCTTCTTGGACTGTTGAAGCGTGTTTTCATGTTAGGCACACTTTCAATACTAAAAGCTAAAACCGTTTTACCACGTCAACTCTAGTTTGCTCGATGCTACAGGTATGATGGGGTGGTGGTCTAGTAGTAGTAAATAACAGAGTCCTTGAATGTATTCTCACGGGTTTGTCTGTTTGTTTGCTCCAGGCAAACTCTGGGCTACTGGTGCGTTATCCGGCAAGTTTGCTGGCACTTTCTTCTGCACTGCATCGCAGCACGGTGGTCAAGAAACCACAGCCTTGACTACTGTCACCTACTTTGCCCATCACGGTATGATCTATGTGCCCTTCGGCTTTGCCCACACCGCCCTTTTCGATAACAGTGAGGTTATTGGTGGTTCCGCTTACGGATGCGGCACTGTGTCGTAAGTCTTTTTTTTCCGATATCTATATATTTCCTTTATAGGTTGCTTCTCGCGTTATTGTCTAAATTTGGCTTGGTTTTATTAGAAATGGTGATGGTTCGCGTCAACCTACAGAGAAGGAGCTGGCTATTGCCAAAACACAAGGCGAGAATTTTGCCAAGGTTGTGTCTACCTACAAGCTTGGTAGTAGCAGCAACTGATGATTACATAAGTGGACAATACATGCGATTGATTTTGAACTGGCTCTTCGGCTTCCCAGAAAGAACATATTAGCAGTTTAATATACAAAGTTTTATAATCAAAGATCGAAGAAAGCCTGGTTCTAAGTGTCGTGTATGATATTGTAATATAAACTTTGAAACATATAAACAAGCTCCCTTTACAAAGTTTCATTGGTTCTTTTCCTCACTCTTTTCTTTCCTCTTTTCGACCATGCACGACACATCATAAAGATCTGAGGTTGCTCTTTGTAATTGGGGATACAATGATCTTGATTTTAGTGGTTCTTGAGGTTACAAGCCTGCCTTCAGTTGCCTGCGGCAGACGAGATACTTCTTCAACAGCATGGCGTTTTTTTTAAATCGTCCTGACGCTGTACAGTTCACCGGTATGGCCTATTTATGGTCTATCTACTTCATTTTTTGATACCACCGACGTTTTTCAAATAAAGATATCTGGACAGACAAGACGGCTTGTGTTTGTGGTCCCTTAGGCAAAGCCGTTTAGAATTGCTACAAAATAATCATTGGGCTTTGCTTGTCCAACAAACAAACCGTCTCTTCGTTTGCGAACACTCCCTTTCTCTAGCAATGTGTATGACTCTACTACATTAAGCCCCTCGACGATATCTTGATCTGCGTCCTTACTCAATGCTCTGTTTTTCGTTAAATGATCCTCTATTATATGTTATGAGCCAGTACATAATGGCATACTAATCGTCCTCCATGTTGCTTCTTGCCTACATGTACTGTACACCCTATATGTACACTCTTGGCTTACCGTCTGACTGAAAGACGCGATTTTTATGTAGAACGGTATAATGCTCTGAGCATCGTAGCTACATACTCTTGTACAGTATTGTCAAATGCACAATATAATCTACTGTGAGACTTTCTCTTCTTAATGAGTTTTGTTCAATGTATTATCTGTACAGACAACCTTTTTAAGCGGTAACGGAGGTAATCTATTTATCGAGCAGGTTCCGACGGCTGAATATCACGTAAAATGATTCTGCACGGTATATGATACGCCGGCTCCGTCTCGCAATATGATATGATCAAGAACTTAAGCATAATATTAATAAGGGTGAGTACCCTCAGAAAGTCAAACAAGTTGGAGTTTGCGCTCAGCTATACAAAACGGTGTCTCAGGAGCGGTGATTTGCCCAAGAATAACCTGGAGTTTACAAGTTGTATGCACTTTTAATTCATTTACACACCCCTCAACCCTTTCACAATGAACAGTACACTAAGCCAATCTTTGCAACAAAAACGACAAAATCCACATGCCTCGGAAACTATGTACACTGCTCAATCGGCTAACAACACGAAAAACGCTTCTGCAGATACTACTGATAGAAACAACAACAACAACGATCAACAGGACGAACAAGACAGCAGCGGGGACGAATTTCTAGAGATTACCGAAGAAGAGATCGAAACGTGGTCTAGTGTTGAACGTAAACGATTCAATTTTAAAACATGTGCTTCGCGCGATGAACATTTACTTCGCCAAGCATTAGATGTTAAGCCATTTAACGGCGCAACGAAAAAGGAACGGTTCGATCGGTGGCAAGAAGTTGCAGTGGCGTGCGATGAGATCATCAAGAGTTTGCCAGAGAATGCAAGCGGCCAACTTAATTTCTTTCTTGGCAAACACGCAAAACGACGGTTTAAAGTTCTCATGGAGGCGCACTATGGATTGATAAACAATAACAAGAATCCTATGTTTTTTGGTATCTATGGTGAATACGGCAATATTCAAGCACTGATTGAACGCGCATATGAACTGGTATTTTGAGAATAAGAGGGATGTCAATTATCTGATAATAGCTACTACGACAATGCTGATACTATTGCTTCTTTTATCGTTAGTACCTTCTTGCTGGCTACAAATCTGGGCAAAGTACCGGTTTTTCCAAGAAGAAGCGGCGACTCTTGAGTGGATCGATACAGAATGCTAAGCGTCTACGACCGGAAGATGATGACGATGTAAGAGAGCTTTGATGCTGATGTTAATTTGGATTTATATAAAAGAATCGTGGTCGAGGCAATAAGAAAACTTAGCAGTTTCTATGGATGATATCAGAATCCCTCTGAAGTCGCATCGGCCATTCAACAAATACAAGAATATCTGAATACACATCATGCCAGCAAAGTTGAAGATACCAAGCAGGAGCAACTCCAGATGATACGGGAAGCACTATCGCGGATGGAAAAGGTACACAGGAAGCTTCTGGCTACTTTGGATCGGCAAGGGGACAGCATCCGCACATTGATAAAAACGCACAAATCAGAGGTTGAGGAAATCACGCAAGAAAGCCAGAAGAAGATGCGTGATATGGAGCACGACATGGAGCAACTGTTAAAAAAATACGACGAGGCAGAAAAACAAAAACAGAAAGAATGGAACACCATGTGCGAGCGATGGATGACGCAGCAACGCGAGATGCTTACGTTGCAAAAAGATATAATTGTCATGCAGAGCAAAACGGAAGGCGCGCGTATGGACTTGGTCAGAGAACTGATTGAAGAAATGAAGCAACCATAGTATAGTATTACCCCCGTCGCCAAAAATACCAACGCAATTATCTTTCATTTACCATAGCTTATCATGCTTTTGTTTATTCTACTTAAAGTGGGTGGAATTATATGTACATACGATACAATCGCGAAATTATTATCAATATTGCTTTTCAGATTCAAATTGGCGTTGTTGTTGGCGAGCGTTGCTGATCTGGATGGGAAGAGGTTTTTGATTCCACTGAATACCGGCGGGCATCTTGCCTTCTGAACGGATGACGGATCCAATAGCTAAAAATACGATTGATTGTGTTATTGTTAAGCCTATAAGCGTGTATCTGGCCTACTATTCCTTCTCTCTCGCTTCTCTTCTTAGCTTACACATAAAAAATCCGAACGAGGCGGCAGAACCAAGCATGTACTGGCTCAGCAATGAGATAGGACCCTTGGAACCACTACCAAATCTATTCATGGCGGAACGACCAGGGGTGAAGTTCGCGATTATGCGTAAGCGTGAGCATTCATTCGCGTGAGCAACATTCAATGCAGAGTCAATTTTCTTACCGAATAATGTTGATAGTGCCAAAAACAAAACCAACACAAAGACCGACAGTACCACCCATCATGGCACCCATTTTCATTTTGTCTGTTGTCGAGGGCTCCATTAGGTTAAATTTAACTCTTGAAGGGAAAAAGTGAGAAAGGCCAAAAAGAGCTGTCGCCGCTGGCTGCTGGCACCCAGCCACCTACACAATAGATGACTAGCACTTTGTCGTTACACAAGCGCATAGTTGGGAGAACCTCATGTCCGAAAATAGGACCTCTGTGCTCTCCTCCCCTTTCGCACTCTAGACATTTCGCCTTAACCAGATCATGACAAGCAGCAACACCAAGGTAACCACCATAGTAACAGCTATGCGTAAATCCCACTTATTTTGCTAACGACATTTTTTAATAGCGGCTATATATAGGAAATCTCGATTCAACAGTAGACGAGTAAGTTTTTAAAGGCGATCGAAATGGAACAGTATCTTCTCAATCGCATAATGGGCTAATCAGAGCAATTTGAAAGATATGCTGTTGTCAAATTATTCGAGCCTCATGGCAAAATTACGTTTTTAGATTATATGTTTCATTGGAATGGGCCGAAAAAGGGTCAACCGCGCGGCTACTGCTTCTTAGAGTACGAGAAAAAAGAGGTTCGTTCCACCAGCAAGCATGAATCATAGACAGCAGTCGCAGCGAGTAACTGAACGTTAATCAAAATAACTACTAGGCTGCACTCAACGCTATTAGCGCATTACATGGCCGCATTGTTAAGGGTCGTCCTCTAGTAGTATCATTCGCACACATGGTGGGTTTAAATTTAAATGTTTCGAAATTCAACACGCACGAATCTAAGCGTGATTGCTAACATTGACATATTTGATGCATTAAGAATACCGAACAAGAAGATCGGCGTGGTCAGACCTCTTCTGGTGCCCAAAATAGACCTAATGCATTTACAATATTACGAACACAGCGGATGGCAAATGCTAGGTAAATGTCAAAGAGGAATCGAATACAACACTATGCATGATTATTGATGATTAGCATCCCATTAGTACCGATGCGAGAATACAAGCAATTGAACGTAAGCTGGCAACGTTACAGAGTAAATCATCTACTCCTGCAAATGCCGATCACGGAGCCGCTACCGAACAATTTGTCTCCAAATCATCTTTATCACCAACACCGTCTTCAGCAACAATGAAATCACCATCCTTGTCAACAGCTGTGTCATCTTCTTCCTCCCATCCGCATCATCAGCATCCAAGATTAATACGTTCTGCAACATCAGGCGAAACGAATAAGTATCCGAGTAAATCTACGACGAAAGACTCATCACCTTCATCATCAACTTCTTTCTCTTCTGCATCACGACGTTACAAACCATACTAGCTCATTAATACACGACTAGCATCATATATCCACTCGCTGTTCCTTCCTTCTTCTCTTGTTTCTCATTTTGTATTTACCGCACTACTTTCATTTTGCATGTATAAAGAAACATACCTTAAGCACCTTTTTTTAGTTTAAATCATACAATATTGTTCTTCACAATAGTACGCTTTAATTGTGTGTAAAGTAAATATGACGGCTAACATAAAGTGTACTTTTGTACCAACATGATGTTCACGGTTCTGCTCCCGAGACTTACGTACCGTTCTTTATGTGTTCTTCTAAGCAGCTGTCTTTCTTGATGTGCTTCTTGTCATGTCCTTGCTATGTATGTATATCAAGTTTTTATTGTATCTGTCTACGCTTTTTACTATGCCGTATGTATACCGGCGTACAGTATCTCATTTAGAAGAAATAAAGTGACATGTTTGCCTTTATCAAGTGGCCTTTATCAAGCCATCGCTTTTGGTCCTAATAGAAATCTAAAGTATCTTGAATCAACCAAACAGAAGCCTTTTACTCTCTACTGTAGTAGTAACAGCAGTTCTTAGCAAAGTAAAAACTCTCTATGAGGGTTTTTCCTTATTACAGTTTATTTAAAGTAGTCGAGCACTATATTGATATTCGATATACAGGGTGTAAAGCTGATTTTGCAGTAAATTATATATAGCGATGAAAGATACGAGACTCTTGAAATAATAGTCATAACGTGGGCTATGTAGTATATAGGGCTTTTTACTAAGTGATGTGATAAAACATGCACTTGTTTTGCATAATTTATTACTGAGAAGCTGTTCTTCTTCAAAGTTCTTCCTTTCTATGTGTGATCACGTTTTTGGGGACGCCGAAATCTGCCTTCCCATTTTGCGGCCTGGAGCTTTTCATGTGAGATGCTAATAATGATCCAAATAAAAACACTAACGCTATTGACAGACTCTTGCTTCTCTGAAAAACGGGACGCTTTTGGTACTTTAGTATCAATACCAGAAGAGTCAGTAAACACAGATGTAGCTTTATGCACCAATAACCGTCTACATACCAAATGTAGTTTCTACCAAATCTTCTGTGTTTAGGTAATGTATAACCTTTCATCTTTATACATAATATGATATAGTAAAGATTTGTTCATTAACAGAATAATTTCATGAGATAAAAGGCATACTAAAACGTAGTACATGTTAAGAGAAATATATTGATATAAGCAAGAAGTACAAATGGATTAGCACTATAGTAATGTGTAAATGCAGCAATAGTAATTTATACGGAAGTACAAGTAGAAGAGAAGAATAGGTGGTGATAATAACTTTCTAAACGGTTATGCAATAGTACGTAGTAGGATAGTATGTAACTAGGCATTGACCTCCGTCTTGTCAGCTGCTGCGTCAGACGATGGGCTTGCATGTTGCTGAGCAGGTGTAGTCGCAGATGGCGATGTGGTTTGCTCTGTGGTGACTGGGAGAACAGGCTTACTGCTACCTTCGGAAACTGTCCATGTATGGCCAACAGTAATCACAATACCAAGGGCAAAGAGACCGAAAAGCTGAGCCAAAACAAAATTTACCGCTTCGATACTGACGGCAGCGGATTCATCGCCTGCACTTGACGTTGCCACTGTTCGACCAACAACAATGAGAAAAACCAAAAAGACATATCCGGCAAACGTGTACAGGAAAGGACGAACATAGGCATAGGATTCCCACATCTGATGAATGAAAAAGGCCCAGAAAGCCCATAGACCGTAGTTGACAAACTGAGCAGTATGGTAGGCATTCAGAGCTTGTCGATACGTGCTATAGCTTATTGATCCCCTGTTCACGATAGAACCAGCAGTGCCTGCAAATCCGACCGCTGCAACGATGATGATAAACGCCCAAAGATAGCCAAGAAAGGTACTGATAAGTTTGGTGTTAGCGAAGCCCCAAAGCACCTTGCGACCCTCGCCTGCAGGAAGAGCAGCTTGAAATGTGTAAAACACAATGATCCATGCAATAGGTGGGAAGATGGATCCAAAAAAGTATGCCGCCATGGCCGGAGGAAACATTCCTTCGAGTTCTCCCATAGATTGATTGAGACTTCCGGTAATCGCAGCCTGCAGCAGATACGTGAAGGCTCCCAAACATGCGAGAATGTATAAAGGCAGGGGTTTACGATGGCGAACTCCCTGCACTACACCCGCAATAAGCGTCACCGCACTAAGTGCAATCATTGCTTGACCTGTTTTGACGTGCAGGTCATACGAGTCTGTATATCCGACGAAAAGGCCACCGAAAGAGCTCATGATTTGATAAAAGAGAGAAATAAGGGATGGAGAAGGAGAAAGAGAAGATTAACGAACACTTATGAACAAGAGCGCATTATAAATGCTCTTTCAAATCGTGTTGATTTATGTTATTCACTGTGTAACTGGCAGTACTGCGTATGGTAATCCATGATAGTGGCGCTGCTCTTAGTTCTGGGTGTTCATACAAAGAAAATCAGTTCTGGGTGCTACACACTTTCGCTATGCGAGAGGGCTATTTCCACTAGTCATTTGAAGGTTGATAATTTTTATGATACATAAGTTCCCAAAACATTAGTAGGACCATATTATTACATGAAAGGGCTTCTTCAAACTATCATTCAACTCATCAAAAGTCGTACTACTTGCCTATTTAGTCTATTGTCGACTGACACATGTTGCTGGTGGGTGCCGCCGCAGCCCTCCTACCAACCTACTGCACGTTATAGGAATTTTTAATTCACAGTACTATAGCCCGTCGATTTACGTACTCTCGGCCTTTCTCAACCTTAACTTTTCTCTTTAAAAAGATAAGGTTTGACGTTGATGTTGACCGTGTATAAATGCTGTTAAACCCCATCCCAAATCTAAACGACCAGGGGCGATGAGATTGTGTGTCGCACGCCTTTTCAGATGATGGATCTGTTGATCTGTTGTCGCAAAGTATAATATATATTGTGTGACAAAACATAAGCTATTACTATTTACTGTGCGCGTGAGCACCACTCTATCAGACTGACAGTGCAAAAATATGGTCTGTACCACCAAGTTTCATAAAGTTCACAAATGGTCAATATTTCGTGCAGAATCAAGAACGAATGGTTATAAATTCATGGCCGCTGCTATTGTTGTTTCGTCACTACTATTATATTCTGCTATCTTTATGTAATGCATTCTGTACATATACTTATAGGGAGCTAGAGCTGGTAGCTCAACCTGTTACCTATTCATATAGACGATACAAGGCAGGGAAGCACCCTGGTGCTGATAATCTATTAAAGAACTATACTGTATATATGGCTGTACTAACCAGTACTCTGGGTTTGTGACAATCTGGTAGTAAAATAGCATTGCTGCATTGGATTTAGATAGTAGTACTGTATCCCATAACTTGCTCGTTGTAATATCATCTGAAGTGACTACGGAACAACAGCCCTTACTTGCTATTTCAGCATTGGCGTGTCTCACAGCAGCTTTGTATCTTCCCAAAACCTCATTTAACGTATGTACATTAATGCTTAAGTATAACGAGACTATATATATATATATATATATCTATATATATGTATATCAAGCTGCGTGGTATAAAGCCATTTTTTATTTTAATAATTTAAAGGTATAATACGAATACAGCTTTGCTTTGTATGCTATAGTGAAGATAACCATAGTACTTCCTATGTACATATAATCAGTCAGCACTATCGCTTGCGGACTGGGCTTTAGGCCTTCATTCGTTTGGATCCTTTTCAAAAAGATATCTTCAAGACAGTCGCTAACAATAAGTATATCGGTTTGGTAAACATGGAAGACGTTATATGAGCATATTGTTTCAACAAGGTGAGCGGCAGAGGGTCCCGTAATAGCTTACAAGCTTAGACTTTAATATCCAAGCTCGTTGGCAAGTACTGTATCATCATAGTTAACAGATACAAATCAGCACAGCATAATAATCTGTTGGTACTAGTCGTCTTGCTCAAGCTTTCTAAATGTAAGCAGCCAAGCTGACAACAAATAAAATGCTAGCTTTCAAACCATCAGAATCGTACAAAGGTCTAATTTCAACTGTTAATATACAGTAAATAATTTAAATCTGATAAAGGGCTGTGTCCTGACGGTAGTATAATGGCATCGTCAGTCTCGCATTAATAGTACGTACATATAGTACGTGCATATCTTGAAGCCGTTGATTTTACTTGTCATGATGTCTTTTATACTTGTATACATGTCTCTTCAACATTGATTTTTTTAAAAAATATATTTCATCTGATTTGACATATTGTTGTAGAAATAAAAGATATGATATGATACAGCGTTATAATAGAGCAGTATCTCTTGGCATAAATGGATATGCTCAAACCTTAAGCGAAAGTGTAAGATCATTTGACTCATTGTTTGTTGATGAACTCATTGTTTTGATTGTGCATTTATTGTAATGGTGACGGCGAGTTTAACAGAGGGGTATGCAAGTCAGGGCAGGATAGAATCGACTTGTCTGGTCGCTGGGTGCTTATTACGCGTGGGCTTACTGCGCTTACTATCTCAACAACAAATGTAGTTGAATTTATGATTCAAAATCGTATGTCGATAGGACTTTTCATCCCATGATACTCAACGTAACAAGGAGCTAATATTACCCCCATCAAATTTATGCCCGCAACACCCCAGCAGTGGCGAAATCGTTGGTGTAACATGCGTAGAAAAAAGAACAACCGGAAAGAAACGAGACCATCGGATCGGCAACGCCAACCGTTTTTCCTACGTTCTACTTTTGACTTTCTATGATCCATCACGTATAAACACTCTAGTTAGCCTCCTCCCCACTCTCTTTTCTCTTATTTATTTAAGCTATTGCGCGCCGGCTTGACACGACTAGTGGACTGTTAAACAAAGACAACGGTTCGCAAGAGGTTGAGCTTTACTTTATATTTTTCGAAAGTGTTGGGCATCGACGATTGTCTAGGGAAAACCAAGCGCACAATGATGTTGGCCAGAGCCGCATCGCCCGCGTCTCCAACAACATCCGGTTATGATAGGGCTGAAACTCCCTCTACGCCGACTACTCCAACACTGTAAATTGTCCAATCAGATTAATGTGGGAGAGAAACAACGAAAAACCTTGTGTTTCCTAGATTCGATCGTGTGCGCCAATCGCTAATGACCAAAAAAAAAAACTATCAGGGAAAAGAAACCAGAATGGGCTTGCAAGCCATTGCTTGGCTTCTCCACGTGGTCGACGCAATTACTTGACGATGTTCCTGGATACGGTGGAAAACATTTAGAGCCATGGTAATATTGAGAAAGATTTAAATAGAACAACCAATCCTTTGCATAAGTGAATTCATCGGTGGCAAGAAATTAGGTTTAACGAAAAGAATATCAAAGAGATTTCAGACGTCATGAAATACAAGATGCCCAAGTACGAATATATCAATATGGATTCGGGATGGTAAGACGTACCTCTATGTTTCCTTTAGAATGGTAACACGCGAAGACTATATATCATACCGCGTTGCTAATTAGTCATGGTTAGGTCAGAGACATTCGATGAATACGGTCGCTGGACATATCGAAAGGATCTTTTCCCAAACGGACTGAAAGCGGTCTCAGATCACTTGCGTAAGAACGGCCACCAATTGGGGATATATATTTTGCCTGGTATTCGAAAAGATGCGTACGATGCGAACGCACGAGTGAAAGGCACGGATTACCGTATGCAAGATTTGGTTGTGAATAAAAGAGAAGGCAATGGATTCAAAGGCGCAACTTATATGCCCGACGCACATCTTGATATTGTGCAGATCTATTACGACTCATTGGCAGAACTCTTTGCCGAGTGGGGTGTCGGTTTTGTTAAAATTGGTAAGGAAAGTAACAACAACAACAACAACAATATAAGCGAGAATAACAGCATTTACCCTATGACGTGCCTGACAGATGGATGCGGTCCTGGCGGCGGCGATCAATTCTATCCTTACCAATCTCCTGATAATCGCGAGTGTTTAAAAATGTTAGCCAAAGCATTTCAGCGCTTCAACATCTGGATGGAGCTCTCTTGGTACATGGATCACTCTTATGCAGAGGACTGGGCACGACTTTCAAACGGCGCTCGCATCTTTATCGACATTGAATCTTACTCTACGCGGACGATGACGACTTCACATCGTGTATTCCAACGTGTTACTCAAGCAGCGCGATGGATCGACACAGACGTTGTTGGGAAGGAATATGGCTTTTTTGTCGATTTGGACGTGGTGCTAGTCGGTATGGTTGTTGGAGGAAAATGCGTAGATGGATTGGATAACGACGATGTGAGAAAAACCTATATTAGCTTTTGGGCTATTGTAAGTTCTGTTTTCTGCATTGGATCTGATCCACGGGCTATACCCGACAAATATCTTGCCTTCCTCAATCATCCCGGCATTTTGGAGATCCATCAAGCTGGAAATATGGCTAGACCAATCGGCTCTGGCAACGTGTGGCTTAACCGCCGACAAATCTGGTGGAAGCGGATGCCAGATGGTCAGATATGCTGTCTATTGTTCAATGCACACACGTATATCTTCATGCTTGGCTTTAGCCATGATATTCAGTTGGACTTGACCGATGTTGGCATTGTTAGCGCAGCTATACTGGATGTTTGGACAGGCGAAAAACTTGGCGTACACAATGGAAGCTACACGGCCCGCCTTCGCCCTGGCCAATGTCAAATGCTTATGCTGACACCAATGTAGAAATACTCTATATACCACACAAATTATATACGCATGTTTTTAAATGTTCATTGTTATTTTGTTATTTTGTTATTATTTCGGTTGATTATTCTGTTTTCAGTTTTAATACAATTTTTTTTAAAAGCTGGTAGTCATCAAGTTCAGAGGATAGCTCCTTTATGCAAACGCTAGGTCCCAAGACTTGATTAATTTCCTCTGATTCGCTTGCTCTTTGGACAGTCCTGGAGAGCCATAGGTCAACGGTGCCAAATACACAAAAATGGCAAATTGCACGCTCAAAATGGTAATGCCAATCAAGTAAGACCAGTAAGATGGTCTAGCAACCATTGACGTGAAGGATTGCTGCTGTTGGTTGCCAGCTGCTTGCGAGGTACGAGTCGGCGATGTAGGCGAATTGATGCCATTAATACACGCAAATTGGAAGAGAGAACCGATCAGCAGATAGCTGCATGCTGCGGCTGGTAGATAGTGATGTAAATAGAGAGAGCGTCCCATAAAGAAGAAAGGAATATAGTGAAAAGTCCAAAGGATACCGAAGAATCCTGTTGAACGGAATACACGCTGACGTGTGGCGGCTATTATATGATAGCAACACTCATGTTAATACACATTCTTCGTTATTCTGCAAGCAAATGAGTACTTACGATTTTGTACAGCATGTGTATCCCTTTGTCTCGCTAGAGTTTGCATGGCAGCAACAACACCGAAACATAAAATCGTGATTAAACCGAGTAGCCAACCAAAGACATTACCGGTCATGTAAATCTGTTCACGCGTTAACTCGTTTCGCCAGTATGAAATGCCCCGACGCATGAGTGGCCATGAAAGAGGTCTTGACTTATACGGATGAGGTGTGTTTAGACCCGCGTTATGGTTTATTGTTCGTATTTGCAGTTCCAGAAACTTTTTCCAGAACGGCATTGGTTTCTCCCGGTGCTCTTTCTTTTTCTTCAAGTTGATATCTGTCGCTATAAAAATATAACAACTCTGACATTAGTTTCCAAACCTCCAGCACATAGTGAAACAGCACGGTGTGTAGTGCACGTTAGATCCATTATATAATACCAACCATTGACACCCTGAATATCCATAGCTCTCCAATATGCAGTTTTCTCCTTTACGTGGTCTTTCTTTCCATTAATCTCCTGTAATCCGAAACCCCATTCCAATGGTAGTGTCTCTTCTTTAAAAGTCCACATTGCCACTGTAGTGGATTGATGCGCCAGCTTAAATGATTTCATTTGGGTCTTCATAGTATCCCCGTTGGCATGATCGTCTAAGAGCACTTTGAACAAAGTCTCGTTGTATCGCTCTTCAGGAGGCACCACTGTGAATTCTTGGTTTGTACGCGTCAACGGTGACGCGACATCATGCGTCAATAAGTGCTGTCCTGAGGCCGTATGCTCTAATTGAATGATATCTCCGTGGCGTACTAAAACACGACTATCCTTTGGGATGTCCTTTGTTGGCTTTACGCGCCAATAGCTGTTTTCATCAGGATCGGATACGCCGACAACTTGTTGGCCTATAATCAGGTAAGATAGAGTGGTTTCAGTGCGAAATGTGACAAAGTATTGCAGGATATCCCTTATTCTTTTTATAACTATCATTAATGTCCGTCTGGTACTTACCTGCACTTCCAACTCTTCCATCTTCATACCGTCGTGGATAGCGATGCTCGTGCGAGTGAAGGTATACGGACGTAGTCGGATGGAAAATTGTGATGCTATCGTAATAGTGTACATCTGTTGTTACACGTTGTAGAGTATTTATGTTAATATGTACAATGAAGACTCAGTATGTAAAATAAACTAGAATTGGGTTAATCGATGTAACAGCAATACTCACCAAGGGTCTTCAAGCTTACTGGTGAATTTTCGAGTGTTGCTTGGAAACTGGGACTCATATAAACGTCGCCAGGACCGGACTGATTCAGTACAGCAAAATGAACATAGAACCAGAAAAGGTAAACAGCAGTTGGCACTATTATAAAACCGACCGTACGTGCCAAAAAATGTGCTCCAAACTCTTTCTGTAAAGATATAACAAATTTTTACTTTGATATCTTTACGAAACCATATAACGTGCGTGGAGCTACTATTAACGACAATCCACCATTTGTTTACCAGAGAAAGACCATTTCGAATGTCAAGAAGACTCCACAAGTCAGCCGCCACAGCAACGCCAACCGAACCAACAGTGAAAAGTCCAACCATTTTCACGCTATTTCTCATAAACGTAATTTTTGAGCCGCTTTTTTCCTTGCTGATACTTGATTAAACAATTCGAGATATTACCTTAAAACCATCGCCATGGAAGCTCCACTTGCCACGAGCCAAGACCACCACCCAAAAGAAAAGGATCTACACGATAACGATAGCAAAACAGATTAGTATATCTTACTAGAAACCCTCACTCTACTTCCCTTTTCTATTGATTTCGCAAAACGTACCTATGCCGCAGCTTGTAAAAGCGAATGTATGTGTATATCGTAAGAAGCATGTAAAATACGAGTGAACTGTCCAGCAGAATCAGTCGATGCTGTGCAACAAGAGCATTATCTGTAATAATATATACAAAAACACAGCGTTACAATCAAACGATGCAAATACACTGGAATGAAGGCAATACACGGCTGTAGAAAGGGGAGAACCTTAGTACTTACCAAAAAGATACATGCCAGACGCGACAACACAAGCTAGCGTGGAGTAACCAGACTGTTTCATGATGGCGTACATAAGTGCAATACTCCAAACGTTCAAAGAGGCCGGCAACGCGCGCAATCCAATATATGGGACGTTGTGCTCTACATAGCTTTCGCCGATCTCAGCAAAATCGTAATGCCCACGGTATCCGATCAAATAGCCCATAGCAGCAAACATCATCTTCCCAAGAGGTGGATGGACATCAAAATAGAACGTGCGGTTCAAATAGTAGCCAGCGAATTTACCAAAATGTACTTCATCGAACCTATAACAGCATCATTATTAAAAATATCACTAAAGTTGTCCTATGCTCTCTTTCTCATTCCCGTTTGTATGCGGATGTGTAACTTACACGACCTCAGCTGGGTACCATATCTTGAAAAAGCTGATGAAGAAGCCCACCACAGTGATAACAATATGGCATGCCGTACGACTAGATACGCCAAAAGACCTTTTATTCTATTGTAATCAGAGAGGTAAGAAGCGATTGCCACGGGAGCCAGAGTACTACTCCACTATAGTTACCTTTTTCAGGTCAGCATCATCATGTATGGTGTTGCTTTGATGATATTGGTCTACACTAGAGAGGCCTCCACCATGTTGTAGGTTCTTAGGTTTTTGCTGATGATCGTGTCGGTTCCTCAGCATTGGTGTAGAGTTATTCTGAAGAATAGAGAAAGGAAAAAGAGGCCGGCTGGTTGACTTTGAGAATCGCGTTGTTGAATGCACTACATGTCAGTCCCTAAAAAAGGAATTATAAGGTGGGAGTATTTCAGAACAAACTAGCAACCTGTCAACAGGAATTTTCACTATTCGTTTGCAGGCGCCGCATCTAGAATTCTCATCTTCACTTGTCTTTCTTTACGTGTGCTTCAACGGAATCAAATAATTGAGAAGCTAAAAGTATCATTTGGTGTGTTGTTAGAGAAAAACGACGTAATTGACATCGAGTATCTACACAGTATAGAGTATACACAATACAACGATACAGACAAGGCATTGTGATGGTGGTAGTTGCTTCTTTTTGGTTCTATGTTTAGATATACTCATTTGTCACATAAAGTATTGAGCATAGTCGCTCACAGACAGCTGTGTATTCAGGTATAAGAGAGTATAATTAATGCTCTGCCAACAAAGAAAGATCCTTGCAAGAAAACCATTGTTTGATTTGACATAAAATAAGAAATGTCCCCTCATGCAATCCAACTCCGCAGTATTTTTTCCTCGTTTGCTGAACTTTTTTTTTTTTTGGCAGGAACTCGATTGATCAAATGGCGAAATCAAAAACTGTTGTAAAGGTGAGATCTAGTCGCAGCCGCGTGATAGAAAGTTTAGCTTTGATCCCTCTTTTAATATGATGACATTACTATGTGTGTGTTTAGAAGGGCGGCAATGTTGGCAAGCAAGACAAAATTGGCAGTGTAAAAAAGTTTAAAAGCAAAAGAGCCTCTTCACCTACTGGGGCAGTCGCTGGTGGCCAAGCAAAGAAAATACAAAAAAGACAGAGCGATAAAAAGGGGCCTGGAAAAGGAAAGTCAGAGCTAGATAACCCCAAGTTTGCAAACAAGGTACATCCATACTCTTATATCAAATTCACAGCGCCCGGCGTATGGGTTTCTGCTGTGCTAGGAAAGCCTCACCGGTTCATCTGTCGCTGTTGCTTATTTTTAGGATTTCATGATGGAAATGATTGAGAAAGCATCAGGCAAGGAAGAGCAACGACAAGCAGCAAAACTGGCACGAAGGGTATGAACAAGCAAGAAGAGGGTGGCCATCTTCACTATGTCATGCGTATAATGATGACAGCATTGTAAAGATACTTACTCACTATATTAGGAAGCTGTTGAACGAAAAGTGAAAGAAAAGGATGATAAGAAGGAAAAGGAAAAAGGCGTAAAGCAGGCCAAGCTGGTAAGTGCTCATTGCTTGCTGCTGTGTGTGTGGAATGGGACGGAGGGACCTATTCGATCGCTTTTGGCATTTCAAGCGATGCTGATAGATAGCCTCTGTAGGATAAGGCAAAACAAGTTGTTTCGAAGAAGAAAAACAAGGACAAGGCACATAAACAAGTAGCATCGAAAGACGCAAAGAAACGGACGGCAAAGGAAGCGGGGAAGAAGGATAGCAAGCGGGTCCGTTTTGCTTTATAGAAAGGAGGAGGAGCATGCACACAACATTCTACCAACATCATTTTCATCCAGTCAACCTTTACATTCGCACGCATTCTATCGTTTGTACTGGCTTGTTCATATATTTTACAATATCAAGAAAAAAGAGTAGCGTCATTGCAATGTAATGAGTGAGAAAAGAGAGCGGAGTATGATACTGTGTAACAGACGATCAAATATAAAAGCGAGCTTACAAAAGCATTATCAATATGTTCCTGCATCTCGAGCTGTTGAAGGAAATTGTGCACGCTACACAGCTGCACTCCTTGCAGATGATGAAAAGGAGACATCGTATATAAACCACTCCCGTCTCTTTCTTGAACAAGCTTCTTCTTATACTTACTTGTTCTTCCACCATATCGAGGACTTGATGAAATTCACTGACTGCCATCGTTTCCATGGCACCGTCGCTGCTGCCGTTGTCGTGGCACTCGGCGCTTCGGCTTCAGCATCCATCCTGCCCAACATGATCAAAGTGTTTACAGGCGAGAAACAATTCTGCTGGGACACAACAGATATGGTGTAATTTACTTATTTTTTCCAGCATACACACAGAATATTTGTGTTTTTCGTCCTTCTGACAACAACGTACAATAATCTACAGATTTGCTTATGGTGACTCCTATACCAACCTAATGGGATCGGCAGGATCAGTTTGGACATGGAACAACTTTGCTGCAGGAAAAAACTCTACTTTGAAAGGAACTATTCAACTCAACGGGGTATATATCAGACATACCCCATTTCATATATCTTGCTTTAGAAGACGAGAATAACTTATAGTGCTTCTTCTTTTCTTTCCTGCTACAAACGCTTGTTCTGTTTGAATTAGACTACCGCTCATGGCCCAAATTGGATCCAATATCTCACAAACTGCTATCAAGGGCTGCCACAGAATTGTCGTCCCCAATTGTTTGATGTAGCCTTTGGTGGTTCCACCGTAGATAGAAGCCTAGTTGCGCCAGCCTATGATTTCATTAAAGACCTTGACCAACAGATCAGCAATTGGGACCAATATGTCAGGCCAAAAGTCGAGTGGTCACCAGATACGACATTGACCGTGCTGTGGTTCGGCATCAACGATGTTACGCGAGCAGTAAAAGACACAGACGGCACAAATGGCACAAACAGCACAAAAAGCACAAACGACGCCAAAAGCAACGTAAGCGCCTGTTTGTCTCTATGGAAGTAAGGAAGTTAATAATTATTGGTTCTGTTTAGTTGAAGCTTGGCATATTGTTCAACAAAATCCTCGACAGATATTTCGAACATTTGGTAACAATTTCACTACCCACCTTTACAACATCAGCATGTTTTGCTTTGTAGTTAGCGCTACCTAACTGACTTTATACATTATCTTTTTGTAACTGTAGGATACCCTGCATAAAAAGTACCAGATGCGGTTCTTTTTGATTAATAATGTCCCACCAATGGATCGCACTCCTTCAGGACGTGCTGACGCTGACAGACTGGGTCCATTAGTCAATGCGTTCAACGATTTGCTACTAGGTCGGATAGCATATTATAGTACACTCAATCCAGATGTGACTCTTGTTCACTTTGATGCCCACAAGTACTTTGGTTACTATCTGGACCATTATAAGGAGTACGGCTTTAAGGATATTGAAAACTCTTGTGACAAAAAGGTCTGCAAGTATCCTCAGTACGAGTAAGTATCGCATAGTTTGCTTATTTAGAACGTTCAATCGTATTCATAATATTTCTTTCATCTTCTTTTTAGGTATTTCTGGATGAGTAAGTGTTGTTATCTAAGCAAGCAGATTGTATGAAGCAAATGTAGTAACTCTAACGACCTACTATATGCTCTGTATGACAACGTTAATAGATGGTGCCCACCCAATGTATCCAGTACATAAGCTACTGGGTGAAGACATTACGGCACAACTTCGAAACAAGCAGCAATGCCCTTCGCCATCATCCTAATCGAAGTAGCGACATAACCCGCACTTAGAAAAATCATATGCACTATGGCTACTTTATTAGTTTCAAGCCTAGAATAAGTCTTTGCAACTTATGCCTTTGCATTGACTTTAGTGTTCTTTTACATTTAACAGAAGGAGCGGTTTGGACCTCCGAAAAGTTTACAAGTTCAGGATCTTCTCCGAAAACATGGTACATAAAATGGGTCTATACATAAAACAGAGAACGAGAGAAAATAGAGAGAGACTCTATAAGAGTGGATGTGGCGGTATTGATTGTTGATAAGTAGGAGTAGTTAGTAAGAAGCAGTAAGATGATTTAATTAATGAGTATGAATGCAAAATATCTGATCCGCTCTTCCTCAAGATGAGCGCATTGTCCAATGATTTTCACCAGCTGTGATTCGAGTAAGTTGCTGGCTTTCGACTTTACTCGCTTTACTTAAACCTTGTTTTCAGGGTTAAGAGTCCCTTCAACCCACCTCTCCCCTCACCCTCACATCTTGCACTTGTTTGCATCGAGGTGGTGTTTCTGACGACACACGCACGCGTTTGGGTTACCCATACCACCAAAAAAATGATGCCACGATTGTTGGACGATCATCGTCCACTGTCTCGCAATCCAGATTTACATCAACCTACTGCAAAGAATGCTACCCAGGGTCAGGTATAAAAAACTTACTTTCCTCTCTGTTCTCCTTGTTGCCGTGCAACATTTATTTCTTCTTCTTCTTCTTCTTCTTATGACTACCATGACGTAGTTTTGGAAAGAAAAGGGGTGTCAGCCAGGCCGAGGTTGTTGTGCTTTTGTCAGAACGAGAAAACTCAAATTTGGCCCTTTTTTTTTTTTTTGAAAGCTTGCTGCACTTTTACACGGCAAAGTAGACTATGATTTATTTGACGGTAGTGGAACTTCTGAAGGCGGCTTCTTCCAGGATCGATCCAGCAGTGCTCCACCCAACAACGAAGTTCTTCCTCAACCTACGGAAGCAGAAAAGCCGCGTGTATCGGACCATCCTGGCAGACCATGGCAATTGTGGGAGAATACGAATAGTCCAGGTAAATAGCGAAGAAGTATGATGATCCCAAGGGCGTGGATGGTTAGACACCTGCTCACACTGTTTTTGTTGTTGTGACAAACGAAATAGGCTTCTCTCGTGCACACAATCAGACGGTTGGATTCGAGCAGATACCCAATGGTTCAACCCCACGCCAAGTGAAAAACCATCACGTTGACATGATGCACAAGGTGAAGATGCCATTCTTTGTTCTTTGTTGCCCTTCACCGCCTCTTGCATGCTCTCTATCTTTGGGATCGAACAGAGAAAGAATTACAGTCTAAATATATGCATAACGTAAAATGATAGGATTACACGCGAACATCTTCTCCGATGTATAACGGCATCCAGCGCATGCGACCAGAGGCGCGTGATCCGGTTTCTGGTGGTTATGATAGTCCATACGGACACACCGACCAAGACGATAGTCAGCTATCGTCGGTGTTGCAAATGTCCATGGATGATCACAAGCTGGGCCAACAACGTCCTCACCGTGCAGTGTCGCCTTCGATCATGAACAAATTCATCAATTCCTCGGCGCTTCCTCCACGAGCGAACTCGACTCCACCTGGTCATAATGATATGGACTTGTATGGTACCCGGTACAACCTCGATCCAACTGATTCGATGGTTAATCAACTGAGCGCCATGGGATTAAATGATGGTGTACGTTTATTTCATGAAATACGATGATGAAGTGATGGGTCGAAACGAAAAACTGACGACATTGGACATGTAGGGCGTGTATGGAGCATCAAACCAAGCCCAGCAGTATTGGCAAGCGCTCCAACTTCAACAACAGCCATACTTGGATAGCCCATATTATGATGCAGCAACTACTACTGCCCAACAACGAACATCCCAAGTACCTCTTTTGCCTTCGAACCTGGATCTCTCCGGCGAGCATTTTAACGACAATGGCTCTGACGGCTTGCTGAATCGGTATGGTGCTAGCAGACAGTACGAAGAGTATGGTACTAGTGGCGGTTTTGAAATGATGGATCATCACAACCATCAAGTCGACGAACAACAGTTGCATGCTCTTGAACAACTGCAGCAGCATCAACGGCGGCTTCTCATCCAACAACAACAGCAACAACACCAGAAGCATCAGCAGCAGCGACTCTTGGCTGCGCGACAGCAGCAATTGTTGCTGCAGCAGCATGTGCAAAGCAGCGACTCTCCTAGGTTACGTGGATTGCAGGAGAACGCTGCTGCTATGCGATCGCCCAGGGCAACGCAAGATTTGGCATTGAGTATCCAGAGTCGGTTATTGACTGAATTCCGAAATTCAAAGAACAAGAAATACGAGCTCAAGGTTTGTTGCTCACCTATATTCCATTGTTGCTCGGTGAAAATAGATGCGTACAAGTAAAAGTGAGTTTGAGCATCAACTCTGAACAAAACCATTGTCGACGTCGACCCGTGTATACTGTGTAGGACATTACCGATCATATTGTCGAATTTAGTGGAGATCAGCATGGATCTCGGTTCATCCAACAAAAGCTGGAAACAGCAAACAGTGACGAAAAACAAATGGTGTTTGAAGAAGTTTTGCAGAATGCGCTCCAGTTGATGACGGATGTGTTTGGCAACTATGTATTGCAAAAGTTCTTTGAACACGGTAACCAAGCCCAAAAGACGATCCTGGCAAAGCAGATGGAGGGTCATATTGTGTCGCTATCGCTGCAAATGTACGGGTGCCGTGTAGTCCAAAAAGCCTTGGAGCATGTCCTCACCGATCAACAAGCTCGATTGGTCGGCGAGTTGGACGGTTGCGTGCTCAAATGTATTAAGGATCAAAACGGGAACCATGTCATTCAAAAGGTAATCTTTAAACATGCTTTCGTATACATAGTCAATTAACAATTGGTTTTCTATAGGCGATCGAACGCGTGCCGGCCAAGCATATCCAGTTTATTATTGATGCGTTCCATGACCAAGTCTATAACCTCGCAACACATCCTTATGGCTGCAGAGTGATCCAGCGTATGTTCGAACATTGTACCGAAGTTCAGACGGATCCCTTGTTGGATGAACTTCATCGATGCACCCACCAGCTTGTTCAAGACCAATATGGAAATTATGTATGTGCTCGTCTATATGGTTGTATGGAAAGCTTCTTTGCCTTGATTGCTCACTCTTAGATACATCGGAATTGTATTTAGGTTATTCAACATGTCTTGGAACGTGGTCGTCCTGCGGACAAGTCTGTCATTATCGACAAGATTCGTGGCCAAGTTCTCCAACTGAGCAAGCATAAATTTGCTAGCAATGTCGTTGAAAAGTGCGTTGATTATGGTTCCAAGAAAGAGCGCCAAGAACTTATTGAAGAAGTCCTGCAAACCAGATCTGATGGGTAAAGAGACACAGAATATTTATTTATTCAATGTGTGATTGCCGTTATATCTTACCTTACCGTGGTTTTTTCTCTCTCATCTAGTTCTTGTCCTTTGGTTATCATGATGAAGGATCAATACGCTAATTACGTTGTACAAAAAATGCTGGACGTGGTGGACGAAGAGCAACGTGTGCTCCTCGTCACCACAATCAAGCCCCATCTTCAATCTCTCAAGAAATTTACTTATGGCCGTCACTTGCTCTTGAGTAAGTGAACTTTTTTTACGATGGTTTTGAAGGATGAGTATGATGGGATGACTGACGTACTTCTGTGTCTGACCGAAATAACAGAGGTCGAAAAACTGTTTCAGCTTGTCAACATCGATCTAACTGATGCTGCCGATGGATATCGCACGGATGATCTAGTCGATGAGGACAAGAAACTCGCTACTACGATTACTACGGCATCAGCAGTAGCAGCAGCAGGCGCCACTATCCCAGATGTCCAATAACAGTAGTATCTGTAAAAAGAAAAAAAAAACACACTCTCTTCCCTCCCTGTTTTATCAAACTGTACAAGTCCCGGCCTACCTTTGTCTTTTTTGTATATCTTCCCCATCTTCTTTCAACCTTTCGTATATCACATGTTTCTTAGATCGGCAAATCCTTCCTTGGCAAAGGGTTTATTTTGTACAAGAGTCCGACCGCTATTGTTATAATTCTTGAGAACCAACTTTTGGTCTCGATGTACATGCAACCTTACTTTTTCTTTCTGACTTTCTCCCCAACAGATCTTACCCCCCTTTTTTCCTTATCTTCTCTGTGATTATACATCATCTGTCTTGTATCTTTCTTTCCCTTTCCTTTTGTATATCCATCATACATAAATCAAACCTCTTTTTCTTCTTTCGATCCTTGTACACAGCAGTTTTTAGTTGTTTCAAGAACATTTACAAATGACTACATGTAAAAAGTTATCTGCAAATGATAGGTTTTGTGATGCCCAGCCTATCGGTGTATCTAATGGTAACTGTATTCCATGTGTCATGGGTATCGCTAGACTCGAAGGAAATAGGTCGGGTAAAATGGCACCTAGCACGTCACCTAGCATCTTTGGGTTGCCTAGATACATTGGATTCCAACAAATTACGGTCAAAACTTCCCTCTTTCCCTCGACCCAAAGATTACCACGTTTCTAGATGCAAAAGCAACAGGCGAAAATACCTTCATCCGTAAATGACACATTTTCCTGAATCACTGGACATTGATCTGGTAAATAGATGCGTAGAGGAACGTATCGTAGACCTTCCGAATCCGCTAACAAATGCATATTGACATTCCAATAATCATCATATCGATCTATATGAGATATAGCGTTTAGCAAAATTCTATCCATTAATATTTTTGTTATCGTTAAAAGCTCAATAGATACCTAGAGATAATGCCTGCCAAAGTTGAGATTGGTCGTTTTTGGATAGATTCATGACGCGCTTAGTCGATCCGTGCCGTATAAAATCCGCCTAGTTTATAACCGTAGATGTGAGCAACAGTACGCTATCAAAGCATAAGCTCACTACCATCGTTTCTGTCTCTCTCTCTCTCTCTCTCTGTATGTTTGTGAATAGGTACCTGTTTCACCATCGACATGAACATATTTTGTGTCGCTTCCACCGACGGGGTCATTAATAACTTGTCGGTGGGAAAGTTTTGAAAATGAACAGTGATATGCCAAGGTCGATCTTTTGAACCAGACATATCGTAGAGCAGACCGATAGGATAGTGCCTGAATAGAGGAAGCGTTTGTTATATATGCCCACCAAGGAGAAACTGTACTATATCCAATACAAGTGAAATATATTTGCGTACCACTTTAAGGGCTCGCCTTGATAATCGTACCATACGTCCGTATGTGTTAAATCTATATCAAGACCACTATAAATAGGTGCTAATTGCTCTGTGATTAAGGGCAAGTAGGAGCATCGCGCAGCTTCCGTCTACAAGAAAAGAAAATGTTTCTCTCTGTACATGAGTTTTGAATTGATCTCGAGCTGTCTCCCTCCAAGAAAGAAAAAGATATGTTACAAAAATGGGCTCAGTGAATGTTCGGGATTCGGTTGGATCGAGGGATATCTGAATGGGAAGTTTGCCATTCCATATTTGTTTGGACACGACTTGGTCTATGATAAGAGACATTATTATTGTTAAAATTCAGCATACAGTAAGCTGACTTGCCCAGGCACATCCCAGTTTTTGTCATACGCCGTAAAAATCCAGCCAGATAGGAGCTAGGGAGTTTACGATTTGTATAACAACTCTATTCAGCGCAACAAAAACAACCAAGTGGGGAAGAAGCTTCTTCTGTTACATGGAAATAGGCTTTTTTGCATGAATCCAACTATGAACGGAGTTATGCCACTCTTAATGTTCTTACCAGCTGAGAAGAGCAAGCACAACAAAAAAGCCAACGACCCATGTTTGAGTTCTCATGTATCCGCTAATTTACGTCTCGCTCTAAGCGACGGCGGTAACAATAGAGTTGCTTCATGTCACAAATAATAGTAAAAGCTGTTCGGAAAGTCTGGGACCAATCGTGTAGCAGATCACAAGCAGAACGTGGAACTGCTTGGTATGTAATCCCAATGCTACTCAAAAAGGCAAATAGAATTCACGTAAAACCTAAAAATGCACAAGCCATGTGCGTTATCACGCCACTTAGTAAAGCGCCTTTTGTTGACGTGGATATCTGTTTCCTTCATGGAAGCAGAATTGCTAGAAATATTGATGAAGATGTGTATGAACTGAGCTATCTCTCTTATCATCGAACATTGATGTGTTAAACGCATACCTTAAAGAGCATACACTGTAAAATCCGCATTAACTTTTTCGGGATTGTCTTCTTTAGTCAAAGGTAGATGGAACTTTTTTTGGGGCAATCAGTGCTTGCGTTGAGCGCTGGCAATGACGATTGACTATACGCTCTAATATTTGATGTAAGAGGCAGCGAACTATGTATTTATCAAGCCTTGATTCTTTCAGGAACCGCATGTCTGGTCAATGTGGATTCTCTTCTTCCCTCTCATTTCTATGACAATGATCCCTGAGAGCAGTCCAAGAAGCATATGATAGCAAATGCATGCTGGAATCTTTTCCGGGTGATACAACAAAACGCTAACCTTTTTTTTGACATCCGCCTGGAGCCTCTGCCCGAATAGTTAAAAAAAATGATGTGGCCATTATCTGATTTTCTTCGCCGCTTGTCTCGCTCTCAAACCATGGATTCCCTTGCTCCTTACATTCCATATGCTCTCTCTGCTGTCCTCGCAGCATCCACTGCATTCTACTTTGTGAGCAAAAAGAGTAAGTCAATTTCAGCAGCTCTATGTATTTTGCCACGCATTCTTACATACGGAAAGAGCGCGTACATATACTAACCTTCTTCCGTGATATTTCGTCAAACTATACAATAGAGGGAGCAGTCTTGGATCCCAAGAACTTTAAGAATTTCAAGCTCGTTGAAAAGATTGTCATTTCTCCAAACACTGCTTTGTAAGTTAGCAGTCGCTTTACGTTGCGGTCTATGGAAAACAGACAGCAAGCGTGGCACTGTTTTTTTCTCATATATCAAAAATAACACAGGTACCGCTTTGCACTTCCACGCAAGGATGCCATTCTCGGTTTGCCCATTGGTCAGCACATTTCAGTAATGGCTGAAATCAACGGCAAGGAAATCACGCGTAGCTACACACCCACGAGCTCTGACGAAGACCGTGGCCATTTCGACCTACTTATCAAGGTTAGAAGGAGGAAGAGAGAGAGAGGAAGACAAAGCGATAAAACGCGTAAAGAGAACATAGCAGTAGGGTACCGCACTGTGTCTTAAAATCAGGAACTTCTGTCTGATAGTCGTATCCTACCGGTAACATCTCTAAACTCTTTGGTGAGCTCAAGCTCGGCGATGCGATTGCCGTCCGTGGACCCAAGGGTCAATTTTCGTACACGCCCAACATGGTGCGTGCGTTCGGCATGATTGCAGGTAAATCTTATTGAAGGGAGAGCGTGTATGCAAATAGCGTCATTGGGATATGATGTGATGTCATGTGTATCTCCTCCGCGTATAATGTTTTTATTTGGCGTACTAAAACGGGATGATGTACGATACTATCTCGATGTCTAGGCGGTACTGGTATTACTCCCATGCTTCAAATTGTTCGCGCCATTTGCCGAAACCCTCAAGACAAGACTGTCGTCAACCTTATTTTCGCCAACGTCAACGAAGAGGATATTTTGCTCAAGAAGGAATTGGACGAATTAGCTGCTGCTCATGACAACTTTAACGTATACTATGTGCTCAACAACCCCCCTGCTGGTTGGACTGGTGGTGTCGGCTTTGTCACTGCTGATATGATCCGCGAGCACTGCCCTGCCGCAGCCAAGGATGTCAAGGTTCTTCTTTGCGGTCCTCCACCCATGATCAAGGCCATGTCCACCGTAAGTTGAAGTATCATTTGAAAGTTATAATGCGAGAAGGATAAAATGCAATTAGATTGTGAGAGTGTCGGTCTCTAAGTGTAAATTCTCGATATCTAGGCAACACTCGAATTGGGCTTCGAGAAGTCCCGTGCTGTAAGCAAGATGGAAGACCAGGTTTTCAAGTTTTAGATTGCCCGTTTGAAATTTCTAAGAGCCCACTAAACATTTTGTTTACATTCAAAAGTATAAAGAGTCCATGATGATAAAAAAATATACACGAACGTCTATAAACAATTCTTTTCCAGAGTATTTAAGATGCTAGCAATGCTATCTTTTTATGGGATACAATTTATTATGTAGGACATACTGAGAATCATGCTCCGGGATGTTTTGGCAGGGAGATTTTGATATTTGGTTGCTACGGATAATACATCATGACACATGTCGCTCTCTTTCTCATGAATAAAGTTGACGGATGGTGACGATCTCGAGCTCCCACAGACATCGGGGGGCCGAACATACTATTAAGTATGTTTTACATGTCCTTCCAAATAAGATGAATGCTCTAGTGTGCGCTGTTGCCAGTTCCACAAGTTTGACCCAGCTCGGTATAGGTCTTGCTCAATGCGTAATAGGCAGAGTGAACTCATAAACCGATCGACCAGCACGTTGATCTATCAGTTGTGTGCTAGTTTATTGTCACATTTATACTGGCAGAAAAGGCTCTTCTTAATAATGCAAAGTGGGATGTCAGCTTAGTTGCCGTCGTTTATTGGTAATCAAGAGGCGCTGATGCTTAAAACAGTCGTCGATGACAGGTGTTCTTCTGCGTCGCTGGCAAAAGACCGGAGATGCATGTACGCTAGTAGATATAAGTCATCATATCGTGCTGGAAGCAACAGGCAAAAGCAAAGGGCAACAGACAAAGAAAATGGTGCATGCGCAATGGGGCTTATTACGTTATAGCTGTGTATGTATGATACACACACCAGTTTTATGCTAACTCATGTGAATAAAAGAAATATGTGTATGCGTATCCACAGCTACAGCAGCTCGGGTTGCGTTTTAATTTATGTAACCTGTTGCACACGACATCGAGAACATTGGCGACTACTTGATACAAGAAAAAGAATGACAAAAGGAGAACTGGCCAGCGGCAAAAAAGAAGGAGGAGAGAGCCAGGGGAAATGCTAACCCCTCCCTTTCATTGCACTTGAGGGAGATGGCCTTTGCGTTCCATGGCATTGAACGATACAGGTTTTAGCTGTTTCGTAGAGAATATGGAGACAGGACCGGAATTAAAGGAGACTTACGCAGAGAGAGAGAGAGATGTAAGTGCAAAATAAATAAAAGCACGTTTTTCTGCCACCTTTCGGAATCTGGCAGTGTGGAGCTGCTGCTGCTGCACCATACATTATTTTCCAAGGCCGCGCACACACCTAGAAAAGTTCTTGTATAATTTTCCGTCCTGTGGTTTCTATCTTCAGCAACCCCTTTTCACCTTTTCCCTCATGTCACGCATAGCAAGACCTTTTCATGTCAACCTCCACGAAGATTCCGTGCAAGAGCCAGGCATAGCACGGATTTCTGGGCCCTATCAAAGCACCGTCACAGCCTCTGCCTCTCCCAAAAAGCGTCTCGCTCGACTACCTAATTCGTACACGCGGGATGATTCCAATGGTCCAGCAGTGGCAGACGCTCCAAAACTGCAACGTCGGTCCGCAACGAATCCGATACCAGCAACAAAACGGCCGAGCAAAACAAGCAAGGCCACCTTGCGGTCATCAACGTCTTCGACTGAAGAACTGTCAGAACCGGAGCCAATACTTCGCTTCGGTTCGCCTAAAATAAAACCTGCTCGGTCTTCTTACAACGGTTCTTCGCCGTCTCCTAGCGACCTTGCCAAGACAACCACGACTGCAACAACTACGCATACAGCAACCACGACAAGCAAAAAATCGCCCGCTTCCTTGTCTTCATCATCGTCAACAAAGGAGAACATGGTCGTGGGTTCCAAAGTCGCTGTCCCTAGCATGGGTGTAACCGGCACTCTGCAGTTCTTGGGACCAACAGAGTTCAAGCCAGGTATCTGGGCAGGCATCGAGCTAGATGACTCTGGCACCGGAAAGAACGATGGCTGTGTACAGGGGTAAGAAACAAACGATGCATGATGATGATAACCGTGCAAAACTCTCCCCATATCAAAGTTGATTCGTGTGAACTCATGACCTACTCTCTCTCTCTTGTGCTGATTGCTTTTGCCGTGTTGTACGTAAATGCAGTATACGGTATTTCACGTGCCCTCCCCATAAAGGCCTTTTTATCAGTGATTCTAAAATTGCCGCCCTCGACGTCGATCATTCGGAAGAAAAACCCGTAGCCACAAAAACGACAGCAGCGATCAGCACCAGTTACAGCAGTACTACCACTGGTTTATCGCCCCCTACCCAACGACGCAGCAGACAGCCGATCCCTGAAATCTCACGATCGAGCATTGTCTCTAGACGCTCCAAGACACTAGCAGCTTCGACTCGAAAGCCCAGCAAAACATCCATCAATCGATCATCGGACACTGCTGCAAAAAAGACATCGCGATACTCGGTAGATAAATTGGCTGCTGTCGAACCAGTTCCACCAGTTCCTGACATCAATGCTCGAAATGATGGTGCACAAAAGGCTGAGCGACGTGTGTCTAGTGCACTTGGCCCGCAAAGCACTAGTCCAGATGTAACAGCAACTCCTGCTGCTGCTGCTACTGCTGCTGCTGCTGCTGGCGCTGTCGCTGAAAAAGTTTCATCATCACCTGCAAACGGAGAATCACAAAACACATCAACAACCGCAGCAGCAGCACCAGCAGCGTCATCACCATCACCAGCGCCTGCTGCAAAGACTGTGTCTGAACAGGAACTGTATCACATCTACGAACTGCTGGAAAAGGTACAACGAGAAAAGGACAAGCTTACATCTGAGATCAGCAGCAAAGAGGCAGCCTGGGAGAGGCTAGTGTCGACCAAAGAAAGCTATGCACTGCGGGTTAAGGAAAAGGATGAAGAATTAGCACGGCTGCAGCAACAAATGTCCGACATCCAACAGAAATTTGAAACCGCACAGCAGCAGCTTCAGAAACAACAAACCTTGTTGGATAAAAATGTCAAGCATGATTCGTCACAGGAACAGTCGTTACGGCGGATCGAAAAACTAGAAGGCATCATCGAAGATATGAAAGCCAAGACAGCCGGAACCATTGAGACACATGAGACACAGCTCCGCGAATCCAAGGGACAGCTGGATCACCTGCACCATGCCTTGAAAGAGCAAGAAACTATGTCTGCAGCATTGGAGAGAGAATGCGAAGAGCTACGGAAAGCCGGTCTAGAAGCAATCAACGCCTACGAAACATCTATACTGGAACTGAAGAAGAAAAGCCAGCAGACAGAAGAAGAAAAGAGCGCACAGATCGACGAGCTAAACAAAGTAGTTGCTGATCTGCGCCGTGGCGATTTTTCCGCTCTCGATGACTATGATAGCCACGATCGTTATGCAGACGAGTGGCACGATCAACGGATACGATTAGAAGAACAGCTCGAGCTGGCAACAGATGAAGTCGAGCAAGAGCGGATACGCAACCACACACTTGCTAACGAGAATGACAAGCTTCGCAAAGAACTCCAGCTATTCCAAATGTCAAGTGCTTCATCCGACGACAGATTCGATACCTTGCGACGAGAACTCGAGACTGAGCTACAGGACAAGCGTCGGTTGATGGAAGAAGCGGATGCTGCCTTTGAAGCTCAAGCCCGTGCCGAGGATGAAAATTACCAGATGAAAATGGCGCGCGTCAAGATGGAACGGGAGTTGGAGGAGGCACATCAGCAAATCCAGCTTTTGCAAGAAGGCAACAGTGCTGCTAACGGTGATGGTATCAGTCCAGCTCACCATGGTGAAGACGAAAACACCAACAACATTCAAATCGCTCAACTCTCGGCTCAGGTCAAAGAAGAACAGCAGGGAAGACAAGTGCTCCAGAAAGAGTGCGACCGACTCCGTGAATCTCAAAATGAACTGGAACGGGAGTGCATGCGTTTGATGGATGAGCTTATGGTTGTAGAACAAAATGGAAGCAGCTCTCGTCCTGCTGCTGTTGAGGATGGTACCAATGCAGTCGAATTGCGAAAGCAGATCAAGTCGCTGGAGGATAACCTCTTGCAAGAGCGATTACGCTACAACGACTTGGAGCACACCAAGCGAACAGAAATCACACAGCTCAGCACCGAACTTGCGGAACTGGAAACACTCATTGAAAATGGAGTTTTCGAAGACAACGATCTACAGCAAGCACTCGAGACGGAACAAAAACGTGTTCAGTCATTAGAGAAAGAGCTCAAGTCACTAAAGGAAGAAGCCAAGTCATCAGTGCCCGAGAGTAAATCAAGTGCACACGACGTATCGAAAGATTTATACTGTGAACTGTGTGAAGTGCATGGGCACGATGTGTTAAACTGCACAGCCTTGCCATCATTTAACGGACACAAGAAACCAAATGAAATGGTACAGTTATCAATTCTTCTTTGTGTTCAGTGACCTGGTGAGATCGAAGTTATGCTAACAGTGCTAACAATAATCGTTTTCTAGTACTGTGAAAACTGCGATATCTCTGGAGTTCATTCGACGGAGGATTGCCCCAAGCAAGACGAGATCTTCTAGAAGAAAAGCACAACCATAAAACGCATACCCCGCAACTCACTGCATTCATAATTGTAAATTCATTACTACACCTTTGACATTAGGTACCGATAATATAGCTTGCTGCGCTTCAACCCCTTCCTTTATATATAGTGTAGTTTACTCTTCTTGATGCATAATATTTTGTCGTTGTGATTCATTTCAACCTTTGTCATGTACATTACATTTTCTTCCACATACCAATTAACACCAAAAACTCACAGAATTAAAAAAAAAGTATTACAGAAAAGATTGACTACCGGAGGATAGTGGGGAGGGCTGTTATATTGACGGATTAGTGTAAGTTTCTGGAGCGGTAGCACATTGAGCTATCAGAGAAGCAAATAGAGCCATTCATCCGGATCTTCTACACCAACGAGCTGCTTAACTGTATTTAAAAAAGCTTGCATTTGTTCACAAAAGCAGAACTGATCATCATGTATGTGCAATAATGAGTAAACGTTGGATCCTTTATTCCTCGCGGACCGATATGAAGCTTTTCCTCGATAAAAGCCGTAAAACTTGCACGCACATCATGTTGTTGAATCATATATGGCGGCAATGTCGTCTTTGCTGCTGAAGTTGCAGAGGTCAACTTGATAGTGGACATGATGTCTGCTAGCTGATGATTTATATGTGCGATCGGTATGTACATTAAAAATCGAGTGAAACGCTCAAGATGTAATTTGAAGGAACATACATAATCTTGCCTATCATGCATCAATGTAGATGCTATTAATTCGTTCCCATTCTGGACTAATGTACAGCACAGACCTTCCCTGAGTACATACACGGCATAAAAGTACGTTAATATTCCGCGTGTATCGTAGTACAGATTGGTAAATAAGGTTTTGAAATGTACACGACATTCCTAAAAAGCGCGGCGGTATCATTATATCCTTACCATTGCATGAACCAAATCCGTCATAGTGTCCACTTTCTCAAAATGATTACTGTGTACTCTGAGAATCGGAAGTTCCCTCGCAAAGCTGGTTCATAGACTGCATGCTCGAGTAGATTTTGCTCATTGGATACTTGTCGGCGTATCTGAGCAATAAGTTTTCAAAACCGCTTTATTCGTGTTTCCGCGGGCATAAGCACTTCGTTTGGGCTTGACAATATAAGATGCTATTAAGATGCCATAGAGTCGACCGACATCGCGCATGGTTTTGGCTATATAGCCAGTTTAGGAGCTCGACTCGACCGGTGGCTGCATATGGGATTATGGTGGTTCTGTTGAGGAAATCATTAAAAGGAGTCTGCATTTCAAAAGCAATAAATCTACCCGTGGTAGAGAACATCCAAAGCATCATTGTGATACATCCCAACAAGTGAAGGCGCTTTAAGGTTTATTACATGTTGGGATGTAAGCGTCCATTGGCCTCTCCAGTCATAGTAGAAACGGACAGTGCCGACTCTCAATGCACGTATTGCAAGTATCACCACATCACCTGAACCCGCTTTCAATGCTATAAATGGCTCCTGTTGGGAAAGCTAGGGCTGAACCCTATGCAACCTTTAAAATGCCCATTCACATTTTGTTCGTGGCGTTGTGACATCTGGATCTCGATAACACATTCTACTAGGATTGTGTGCTCGCCGAGACCCACAATAATACCCAGGATCTCGCGATTTTTGCTCTCTGGGATCCGTATTGGATCCGATAATGCTTTGTGATGCTACGTTCTGGGCAGTCGACGCATGTTATAAACTACCTATAAGATTGTCACCAGATACTGGATCAAGGTCTTTAGCACGGAACCATTTTACGTGACCTGAGGTACACGGTGGACGTAGTCTGCGGTGGTCATGGCATGGACGATCATGTCTACTGACGAACTGTAGTACATGCATAACGCGACGACACTGATCGCATACACACGCAAACTATGTTCGTATAAAGCTATTAGATGCAAAAGGTTATACTTTGGCATTCGTTTGGGTGACCGGAAATGTGTTTAATTGTTATCTTCCTGGTATTGCTTGCCAAAAAAAACACTTCAAATTCTTGTGTATGTTGAGCGTATCATATTAACTATTCAGGCATTGCAGCAAATACTGACGCATGTTGGGTATATCGTTCTTTCCTTGACAATGTTGTCATTTAAGTTGAATTGGATGAGCAAGCTTTCCAAAAAAATTGGATACTATACTAACCATTGAGTCACCGAAAAGCGGCACCTTTCTTACGGTATCGACATCGAATGTACATTAGTAAAAATGTTCCAATAGATATCATAGGAGGACACCGAGGATGGCACAGACATCAGGTTGAATACCAGTTGCAATGGATTAATCCTTTCGCCTGGCTCGCCAGAAAAGTGCCTTTTAAAGTCATCAATATTGACCATCATCATCCTTTGCTTTATGCTATACATTTGTGTGTACTACAGTACTACGACATTAGGGCATATATGATTAAGTAAGATATCTATAAGTGATTGCGCTTACATGCCCAGGCAGCTCCATGCGGCACTAAGTAATGCTTCAAGAACTCCATATTAATACAGTCTTATGGAGAGCAATCATAATAAACAGTCGTTGTTTCTTCTATAATTATATTTGTACATTGTCAAAGTTTCATTTACTGTACTGACGTGAGTCAGCAGGAAGCAAAGGTAGTCTAGGAACGAGGAGCTCAGGAAGAGCGCAACACAGATCTTTCTTCTTTGGATAGTGACAAGTGATGCGTGTGTCAAACCTCGAACGTTCCAACAGCTTTCCCTTGAAACGAAAACTCCGTAGAGTGAAAGCGCATTGTTACGCAACGATTTGGCCAATTTACTTGGTACTCAAAGTGCACAAAGGAATGGCGGGTGAACAAGGTGATCAATGGAGCAACGAGTTACGCGCAAAAGGGTCAAAAGATGTACAGTAGGAAGTCATCGTTTATGGTGTTATTCTTCTGATCGTCCCAATGGATCTTGAAAGCTGCTAAAAAAAACGTAGAACCCGCACAAAAACAAACGAACCGATTAACTTTATCAGCAGCAATGAAAATCAATGAAGGGTGAGTCAGTTTCACTAGCGGCAGCGTATACTTACCATGAGCGGTCAGCTTATCTGCGGCAGCACACTTGGATAGAGTATGAATTCGGAATGGATGGAGGGAGGTTACACGGCGTAGTTCAGAGAACTGTTGGCGGATGGCGAAAATTATAAAGCAACAGTAGACAAGCACGCTTCACAGTAAAAGATAACGATCTTTTTTTATATACTGCAGCGTTGGAGTCAAGTGTGTGTTGTATCTATTCCCGCACACAGCACATGCAATCAAAAGATACTAATCAAATGGAATAGTCTGTGGACTACGCTCTATACTCATGCTGTTTACCTTGTTGGGTGAAGAATAGAAACTGGCTGCTGGGAGGATCGTGTTCTTAATGTTTACTAATGCTGGATCAGGAACAACTGATGCCGTAGAATCTGTTAAGTTGTTTACCTTGTCAATCACTCCTGTATTGCCATTTGATTGCTCACAGAAAAGCATTTCTTCCGTGAATCTACATGCTCATTCACATTCGTGTCTTTGTTTTCGCTTGACACGGTGCCGTGCACGGACCCCCTCACAACCAAGCGGCGACAGCATCGGAGGTACAGCAGCCCATGGTGAGAGACACGTACCACTACCGCCGAAGCACGCTTGTCTACTTGACCATCAGGTACCACTCCTCCTTTCATTTCCTTTGGTGCTGTATCTTTTGTTATGCCATAGTAGGCAACCCACAAGTTGATACGCAACCCGTTATCTGGGCCAATGAGAATTCACGGGGATTTGAAGTCCCGAACGAGAAAAATGTCTATATAAAGCGAGCAATTTCGCCTTTCTTTTTTCTCTTCTCTTCAGTTCGTTTTGGTACAGCATTGGTCTGTAGTACAGATGCACTGTTTGGTGCCATGATCAGGTCATTGCTTGTGCTGGCTATTGTCATAATTCTTTTGATGATCGGCAGATTCAGTGGTCCGCGCCCTGAAGAAAATTTGCAATATATACCAGTGGGAATGTGGTCATATACTCCGGCAGCCGATCGTGAACCTTCGGGTGCATGTGATGCCAACGGTATATGTTGGGATAATTGAAACGAACTTTTTTTTTATTATTTATTACACACAAATAAGAAAATGATAAACAAAATAAAAATATATTTTTCTTTTTCGCACTTTCCGCATAAACGTTTTACCGTTTTTGCCTCGCCTTTTTTTTATGTGCACGACAAGTTCCTTTTTCTTTTTTCGCGAACAAAAAGCTAATTACTCCCCCCTCCATCCATTCACAGCTCCGTGCTAAACAAAGCGGGGAACAGTGACAGTGGCTCTGTATCGTAGCCGAAAGTAACACGATCACAATGCTTTGGCACTCTTTTTCACTTTCTGTGTTCGCCTAAATTGCCAAAGCAATTGTCAAGAAAAAAATTGTTATCGAGGATATGGTCGGTTATTTTATAAGAGGCAACGCCAGAGCATACGCCAGCAGACCTGTATAATTGTCAGATCTGTAAAAAATTGGAATGTTTTTTTTTTCAGCTGTTCGTCTCACTCACTCTTCCTGCACGTAGCTTATCACAACACAATTTTCTTATCATTTTGGGTTTCACCTGGATCGAAAAGCTTGCACTGATCTTTCCGATGTGCCTGCTTTTAAAGCGTGATTCTTGTAACAGCTCTTTCCCTCCCCTTACACCTTCACTTCTCTCTTCCTTTTCTTATTTAACTTTACTTCGTTACATATTTTCAAGGTATGCGTTACCTATTTGAAAGTGATGATCGCTCACCAAAGATATCAGGGGGACCTGTTGAAGATATGATATATTTGCTCTACCAAAACATGCACGCACCCACACACACAGGGATGCTGTGTTTTCCAGGCCAAGCGATTCGTTACTTATATATGACTTTTGCGGCTCGCAAACAATAAACGCGAGTATTGATTGAAGCCGATGGTTTTAGAAAGAGCCTGTTCTAATGTGTATCTGCGTATCGCTATGATAGCATAGATTTAATGAAGTTACTGGTGGTTACAATAGATCAATCTTCAGGGTCCCCCTTTTCCAAATAAAATTCAGGTGAGCTACCTGGTTCGACTTGCTTTTCCTTTGTCGGACATATTATTTCACGAGTCCGGATTATGTTATACAGGCTTTGTTCGATTAAAAGCCTCGTGCCAAATTTCTTTTCGCGCGTCCCCTTTCACATACACGTAATATGACTGATTTGATCTCGATTTTGCCTCCCGAATCATTCAGTACATCT